TAGGAAATATCATGAGTGTTATCAACCTCATAATTTTGGGATAAAATAGAAACAGGAGTGAATATTGAATTATCAGAATTATCTCGAGAGAGAAGTTTAAAAGGAAACTAATTTTCATAAAATATTACATTTCTAGAAACATGAATAGAATGAGTTTGTAAATCATAAACAATGTATCCTTTTACATTCGGTTGGATACCAAAAAAAATACCAGCTTTAGCTCTTGGATCCAATTTGATTCGATTGGCTGAAATAGTAGAAATGTAGCAAAGACATCCAAACACTAATTGCCTCATGTCAAACGTTTGCTGTATAACTTTTCAAATGGAGTGCAATTTTCAAGAAAAGGTGTAGGTAAAATATTTATCAACATGACAGCATATTGTACAGCAAAATTCCAGAAATTTTGAGACAAGTTGGATTGGAATAACAAGGCACGTGTTACACTCAAAATATGTTGGTGTTTCCTTTCAACTAAGCCATTTTGTTGAGGGGTCTCAATACAGCTAGTCTGATGAATAATTCCCTTCATATTGAAGAATTGAGTCATTTTAAATTCTAAACCATTATCACTTCTAATTACCTTAACATTTTCTGAAATTGAGTTTTAACCATGGAAACAAAGTTAGTCAATATCACACGCGTATCGGCCTTAGTTTTCATAACATACAACCATGTAAATCTAGAGTGATCATCCACAATGGTCAGAAAGTATTTATCTCCATTTATAGAACTAACCGGGCAAGGTCCCCAGATATCCACATGTATCAAATAAAAAATACAAGCAGCATAAGAAGAACTATTTGGAAAAGGTAACTTTCGTTGCTTAGCTAAATGACAAACATCACAACTCATTTTTTCAGGCTATGTAGGGAAACCGTTTATGGAGAATAGACATTCTATCAAGAGAAGGATGCCGAAGATGCATGTGCCAAATGTCATGTTTAACAATACTATTGCAAGCATGAAGGTCATTCTTGATGACGTATAAACCAGATTTTATCCTAGCTGTACCAATCTTCTTGGTGGATTTCTTGTCCTGGATAAGATACTCATTAGTGGAAAAAATAACAATGTAATCTGAACAAGAAACTAACTTAGAAATAGAAACAAGATTATATGAAAAACTGGGAACAAAGAGCACATTCTGAATACACATATTTTCAAAAATTTTAGCAGAACCCGAATGGGTAGCTTGAACTTTAGTTCCATCAGGTAAGTTGACAATTATAGGAGATATAAGTTTAAAATTGATTAAGTTTGAAAGAGAACAACAAATATGATCTGTGGCACCAGAATCAATTATCCAATCATCATGAGAAATAAAATTGGTTAGAGAAACATAAGTTTTACCTTGATTCATTGTGCTGCAAGATACAGTAGAACCAACCTGGTTAGCTGAAACATTTCCAACATCTTGATTATTTGTCTACTATAGTAGATACATCAAAGCATGATATTGCTGTTGTGAAAGCTTGAAGTCCTGATTTTGAGCATCATGATCGGTCTTTGCTTCTTGAATGGTATCAAGATTATTCACGATAGCGGACTTACTAGTATATGTCTTATACCCTGGGGGAAACCCATGTTTCTTGTAACAATTATCTACCGTGTGACCATTCTTTCCACAAAAAGTACAAATATTTTTCCCATTTCCATTCTTAGCATTCCTATTTTCATTATTTCCTGGGAAACCATGTTTACTAAAACAATTTGACTCCATGTGGTCAATCTTCTTACAGTAAGTAAGAGTAACAGTGCTACTATTGATCTTGGTTTCGATTTCATTCATGAAATTACTTCCTCCAATCTGTCTCCAATCTGTCTTTCTTGTTGAACTACATAAGAAAATATTTTTGAAATAGAAGGAAAAGGATCCATCATTAGAACGTGATAGACAACGTTATTATACTGATCATTAAGTCCTCTCAAGAATTGCATAGCATGATCTTCTATCTTCCTTTGATGAAAAGAGGCAATGAGACCAGCGAACATTTACAAGCCAAATTTGGACGAAAGCTATCCAATTCATCCCATATAATGCGCATTTTTTGTGAAATATTCAATAACATATAAACTCCCTTGTTTAAGAGATGAAACCTCTAACAGTAGTTCTGATATACGAATCAAATTACCTTGAAAGAATCTTGATTTGAGGTCTTTCCATATTTCTTCAGATTTATCCATCCATACGATGCTTTGTCTGATGGAAGGGGAAACAGAATGAATTAGCCATGCCATGTTATTGCACCTCTTCCATGCTTGATACGTAGGATCTGTTTCTGCTGGTTCAGGAGCAGACCCATCGATAAATTCAACTTATTTTTGGTGCTGAGGGCAATGGAAAAAGATTTGCTCTAAGAATGATAATTGTGTTATTCCAACAAAAGGGAAACAAGAGAGATGGCTAGGTTTTCACTGGGATGCAAATATAGAAAATTATTCAACGTATTGAGATCATGAGTGGGTATAACAACCTTTGATTCACTACTTGAAGTCATGATGAAAGAGACGAAACAAGAAACAAAAAGAATGGAATAACAAGACCAGAGAAACGCAGCAGAGCTCTTCTAATAGAAGAGCTCTGATACCATCTTGACAAATCTACAACTCATAAAAGATAAAGAACATAGAGAAAGAGAGAACAAAAGACACATTCTTCGAAGATAAAAACATATATTATTTTTCTCTTCTATATAAAAACATATTCTTCTGATGATATATATATATATATATATATATATATATATATATATATATATATATATATATATAACGTAATAGAAAAAATAAAAGAAAGAAAGTAACAACCTTATCAAACGTTGTGGTTCAAGATGATAGGGTTGTTATGTAGTTGATTATTTTGACATGTAATCCACTTCTTATGAGTTTTACATAAATATGATAAAATCCAATCAAAATGGTTTTAAAAAATATGAATTTACCTCTTTTAAACTTCAAATTTTCATACTCTCTTCCTCATAAGGTATTAAATGGTACATAAAAAAAACGATAAAATACGAAAGAAAAGAAATAAAGATAAGAAATGAGAAAATAAATATTTTTATTAAGAATAAACAGATGAGATAGATAATAAAAATAATTATTTTAATAAAAAATAAGTAAAAGAAAATTTAAATATAATTTATTATTAATGTATTATTAATATTATGAAAAAAAAAGTAAAAAGAATGTTATACTTAATTATGTTTACACCTTTTGAGTTGTAAATAATATTTTTTTCGTTGTGTTTTCATTTTATTAAACTTATTAAGACGTCATATAAGTTTAATTCAATAAGTCAACTAAAAAATTAAAATATATTAAAAATTTAATTAAATATATTTTTATTTGTCTTATTTTAGATTAGTTTATAAACTTATAAATCAATATATTATAAAATAATAATTATTTTTTAAATAAAAAATAAGAATATTTTATTAAAAATATATATATATATATATATATATATATATATATATATATATATTATAAATTAATCTAATAAAAGATTCACATATTCTAAAAAGTAGTAAATATAAGAGTAAGTATCTAACAACAATTTATTCAAAAATCTAAATTAATGTTAATTATTATTTTAGATTAATAAATTATTAAAAAATAAATAATAATAGCAAAGAATAAACTTTTTAATTCTTATTTTGAGATTAAATGAATATATTCTCTTCTAATTTATATATTAAATTATTATATCTTAAATAAAAATTAATTTTATTAATATAGTTTAAATATTAAAATATATTGTAATTTAAACAATTTTTTAATTAATTGATTTTGTATAGATATATTAATCATTTTTTTTTAATTTTAATTAAACTAAAATTAGTTATTTGGTCTAACATAGGATAAAATTAGATTTAAAATTGTGCTCTGTTTTAAAATACAACTTAAATTTGACCATCAATTTTTTTACCTCAACTGTAACACTAGGTTAGATTGAGTATATGATCCATTTTAATAGTTCTACTCATTATAAAAAATTACTTTTATTTTTAATTTTTATTTTCTTTTCATAAATTATCAATAAATAATTGATAAAGAGGGAAAATAAATATCTAAGTATTATTTTTTAAATAAATAAATCTTGTCAATAATAATAATAATAATAATAATAATTATTATTATTATTATATATAATTATTAAATGTTTTCGCATCTTATAAACTTATAAAATCATTAAATTCATGTTATATAAATTCCTTAAAATCTAAATTAAAGACTTTTAAAATAATATGTCATCATCAATAATTTTCCTAGCTAATAACAAATCCAATTCAAATCAAGAAGATATGAAAATAAGCTTAACCCAATAACAAATCCAATCCAAATCATAAAAAGAAGATATGAAAATAAGCTTAACCGATAATTAATAGATTAAGGTAAGCAAAGAAAAAATTTATGATCTAAATTTAATCATATTTATTTTGTCTTAGATTATGTTAATCAATAAATTTATAGGTAGATTTATTTTATAAAATAATAATTAAAAAAATAAAAAATAAAAATAAAATTATTTAATTAAATATATATATATATATATATATATATATTATAAATTAATTTGATAAATAATTTACTTATTTTAAAAATAAATATTAGAATAACTTTTTAATAACCACTTGTTTTAAATATCTAATTATTACATTTAATTAATATTTTAGATTAAATTATTAAAATATAAATTTTATAATAAAAAATAAATTTTTAATTCTTATTTTGAGATTAAATAAAAATATTTTCCTATCATTTATATATTAAATAATAATTAATTTTATTTCTTTAATTTAAATTTTTTAAAAATTTAATCAGAACATTAGTTGATTGATTTGAAAATATAGGTAAGGGTGATATAAAGTAAACCACCCGTTTTGTAAGCTATGCAGGGATGGACGGGCCAATCGGACACACTTTCTTGCATTCTCGTTACGAGAAAGAGTTTAGACGGCGCTGACTTTTGTGCTGCTCTCTGATTTGAAGCAATGGAAAAACCACCCGAAGAACCATCACATTCACAAGACCCATTGCGAGATCACCACACGTGGATAACGTTACGTCTCTACAATTTCCCACAATTCAAACTCTTCTCTTCTCTTCTCTTTCTTTCAATCCTTAACGTATATCACCCTTTTCAGTGCACAAGACATTCTCAGGGAAAAGCTGATCTTAGAGGACAGTTTCGCATGGAAATTGCCCACCACAGGCGCATCACCAAGTGAAACTGATTCCAACAAGGGAGAAGAATTGAGATACGTTGGTGGGGTTGACATAAGCTTCTTTAAGGATGACCCATCACAGGCATGTGGCACCCTTGTGGTCTTGGACTTCCACACACTCCAAGTTCTCTATCAGGACTTCTCTTTGGTCACCCTTCAAGTCCCCTATGTGCCCGGCTTCCTCGCATTTAGAGAGGTTCTTTTTCTTTTCTTTCAATTTGATAATTTTGAAATATGACCAAAATATTTGATTTTTTATTTGTTTTATATTTGGTTATGTAGCATATGTTATGTGTAGATAAGATTGAATTGAACCCAATGGGGTCAGGTTAGTGGTGGTGGGTTTGAATAGTTTTTACAAGGTTATTAATTCAAACTCCATAAAGACATTTAAATGTTGGTTTTTTACTATTTTGAAGGAGGTATATGACTTGTGTTATGTACAAGATTAGTTGTGACAAAATGCATTAGAACCTCTGTAAACGTTGGTTGAGTGAAACAAGATTGAGCTCTTGTTTGGAGAGAATATAAGACAAAATAATTGAAAATAGCTTCTCCATAAGTTGAAGTTAACTTATACATGCAAAAAATCTAAACCCTAAACCAGAATAGCTCCAGATTCTGGAATTTGACATATTCAGGTTTGAACCCCACTTGTCTTTATGGGATGAGGCAAATGTAGTTACCTCTTTGAGCTTGGAGTATTGTCCTATCTTAGATTGGAGCGCTGTCTCCCTCTCTAATTTGTTTACCAGAAAAAAAAAATGCATTAATAGGAAAAAAAGTTAGGGTTGTAACTGAAGATTGATTCTCCGCTCAGGAGAGAAGTTTGGACATGCATGGGGAAGACCAGTAGAATCCTCAATTAGAGAGCAAATCAGATAGAAGGTAGCCTGGCCTCTAGAGACAAAGGCAGGCTGAGAAATATTATTGGAGAACAATTAAGAAAGATCCAAAAGTCCATAATTTAACTATAGACATGATTTACAGTAGAACAATAGGAGTTGTTTTATTCATATAATCGACCATGACTAGTGAGAAAAAGGCTTCGTTGTCCTTTGATTTTTAGTTTCAAAAATGGTTTGTTTCTCCTATTATATTGATTTCTCCTATAATTTTAGGCCCCAGTTCTTCTACAGCTTTTAGAGAAAATGAAAAGGAGTGATAATCCTTACTACCCTCAGGTAATGTTGTTTGTTGCATTAAAAAATACGTATGAATTTGATCGTTGTTGATAATCCTTGCTCATTTTTTTTATTATTCTGTATTCACATAGCTGGTTCCAATCTTGTTAGCTGCACTAAAAACTCAGATATGCAGAATTCTAACAGATTGGTAACTGTTTTGGAGTTTTCTATCAATCTATGATGTTTTTATTCCTAAGTTTCATTACCTGAATTGGTTATTTGATGGTTGTGGACAGCTGTTAATGGTTGATGGAAATGGAATACTTCATCCCCGAGGCAAGTGCTTACACACGAATATTGTGCATCCATCCCCCATATAAGAGTCGTGCACAAGATTTTTCAGATTGAATAATTTTTTCCTTTTCTGAAAAGTTTCATATTTTAGAAGAATTTACTTAGATTTTATGAATACGATATTTACAATTGTACAGTTATTATTATTATTCAATTTTTGCTGGAAATAGAAATCTAACAGCTTTTATGTGAGCAATCGTTTCTTATAGTTTACTGGTCAGTTAAACTAATGGAGAATTCAATCAGTCATTTTCCATACTTAATATTATGGTTGGCTGTTGTTTTAATATTTCATCAATTTATAACATTGAATAGCAATTTATGTTTGGTGTAACTGAAAAGTGGAAAGGGCAGTAAGCTTTAGATTTCTCTCAAAAAATTACTCCCTTTGATGAACCATTACTGGATATACTTCATAGTTTATCCGTCCCAACCAAAGGACTTTTATGACTCAATTTCCAGTATAAGTTAATTTCTTATCAATTGGAAATATCTTCCTGAAAAAGTTTAAGTCATTTTAAGTTCTTCTGAATATGTTATAACTGGTTTAATTCAACATGTAATTTTTTGCCTTCTACCTGTGTTTAACAGAGAAATTCTCTACACCTTTAACTTTTGCAGGTTTTGGGCTAGCCTGTCATATTGGAGTTGAGGCCAATCTCCCAACAATTGGGATTGGAAAGAATGTCAGTATTGATAGTATCACTTACTGATCTCTCATCGCATTTGTCCCAGTACCTGTTACCCTTGAATAGATTTGCACTTGTTCCTCTATCAATTCAATGATTCAATAGTTATTTTTTGTAGTTAAGAACTAGAAATGCTGAATAGGTTCCTGAGTTCTTTAGCTGTACATGTTCCAGTTGCATCATGTGGATGGTCTTACTCATTCTAGTGTGAGAAAAATTCTTGGAGATGAAGACAACTCTTCTAAAGATGTTATTAATTTGGTGGGTTGTTCTGGGCGTATATGGGGAGTGGTAAGAACTTGAACTAATGGTACACCACTTGTCTTTATTTGTTATAATTATGATGTGCTGACAATCATATGCCATAACAAAAAGACTGTATCATACTCACGGAAAACAATTTATTGAATGTTATCGAACATAGCCTACTAAAGCTGCTAATTCCAGTTTTGTGTTTTTATGCATTTTTAATGATTCGCATGCTCCAACACTTTTTTGCTACACTTTGTCCAGGCCATGAGATCTTCACAGGGATCCATAAAACCAATATTTATATCAATTGGTCACAGGATATCACTTCATACTGCTATTATGATTGTTCAAATGACTTGCAAGTATCGTGTGCCTGAGCCTATTAGACAGGTGAAACTATTCTTCATTTGAAAGCATGTAATGTCTACTTAATTTCAAATAGATGTATAATACATACATCTCTCGTCACCAATGAAAATTAAAGAAAGAATGCACGAACCAGACCATTAAAGGCATTATTTCTGCCTTTTACTTTTAATCCTTTATCTCCCCTTAAGCTAATATTGACTCTTTTATGGAAGTTGTTGTTGGTTTATTGTAATAGGCCACTTTGGAGTTTAGGATTTACTTGAAAATTTGCAGCTTATATATTATAGCCCAAAGATGCAGTATTTTACTCTTTGGGTTGCACTTGTTCTCCTGCACTTAGTTGAACTCAATCTTCTCACATGTTATTGGGCTGACAATGCATTAAATGCTTCTGTATCTCGTTTATTGATATCTTTATTTCAGAAGTTCATGGTGTCAAATGCTTGTAGCTAGACTGATTTACCAATTCCCCATTTGCTACTTAATACTTACTTTGATTAGATACTTTACTTGGTTAAGCTTTCCATCATGTAACTTCTGCTGGAATTTTGTTCTTAAAAAAAGACTATAAATCACTGGCTGTATGTATTTCAATTCTTGGAAATCAAAAGTACCCAGTTATTTACACCTCTGTTTGAAGTGCAGGCTGACATAAGATCTAGAGACTACATTCGGAAGCTTGAAATGAATGGCAAAGTAACGTAATTTCACTCATATGGTATGTCATTGTCGACTTTAAATATTCTTTCCACATTGCTTTTTGAACACCAAAACCGATGGCAGTTCTTACTAGTAGTTTACTACTCACTACATGCTATCGTGAATTAAGTTAGACACTTGTATGGTATGTAGGTGGTCATAGCAATGTTAATTTTCAAGTCCAGGGATGTAAAATGAATAGACACGGAACTTATGATTATGCTTTCGATCCATCCTCGCTTGAGCTAAAAACGCTGCAATTTTTGGTGACTCTCGGGTTTAACATCGTTCAAGTGAGAGGACTCTAACTTGAGTGAGACTAGGTTAAAGTTTCTTTCTTGATTGAATGAGGAGCGGTAGCTTGAGCGAGAAATCATTCAAACAAAAAACATATAAATAGCATAAGAATGTTTTGAGTGGCAGCTGCATGGGAAAGAGAATGGAGAATAGGGTTTAAGGGATTGAAAAAGGAGAATAAGAAGAGTCAAGTTCCACCTCTGGGTTTCTAACTTTAGTTTATATCTATTCTCACCATGAGTAGCTAACTTTATCCTGTATCGAGATTAAATGTAACTTATTAACTTCTTCTGTACTTCTCTTGACTGAAATATATATGAAATCTTACTATTCAGTGTTAATGATTTAATTTTATGCTTAAAGCTAAGGTGACTTGATCAACCATATTTTAATTTCTGATTTGGGTTTATATTGGAAAACTGAACTTGAATATGTTTAAATCATAACATCTAATAATGTTGTATGCAAAAAGAAAGGGATTTTAGTTGATATAATCTTGAGCTTAATGCAAAAAGCTTATTTTAATGATTCAAGGGATTGATTGTTACAATATGATTTTTAGAAACTCTAAAGCAATGGATTGTTTAGAGAGAATTTTAAGACTCAATAGCACTGGACTGAAAAATTAAATATGTGAGTAAAGAAGACAAAAGAAGGAGATAAGCGAAGTTCATTCTCAATACATCTATTTGATATGATAGTTTCATCAAATAATTTTCTGCTTTGACTAAAACTTTCACAATTAATTTATCAAACATGTCTAAATTTCTTATTTAAGTGCAAGTTAAACTTGATTCTATAAATATTATTGAATACTTCACAAGTCCCTGAGAATACAACACTTATTTATACTATAACCACCCAGTACGCTTGCTGGTAAAAGAAAAATTCTTAATAGTGGTCAGTACATATGGTTAAGTCAGCAATAAAACATAACTAAATGTCCATCATAGTTAACCACATAATCTCAAGTAGGTAACCATATATGTTCATATAAAGAAAACTGTCAATGACAGTTAACCATATATGTTGGACTGAATAAAGTTAGGAAATGCATACATGAAACAAAAATGATTGGTTGACATCCATCTTTAAACATCCAAACGACAACTTGGGGTTTAAAATATAATTTTATAAAAATTTATGGGTCTATTTGTAATTTTGAAGAGTAAATATTATAATTAAGAAATTGATGAGGGCTCTTAGTGTGAATGTGGAAGGATTCATTTTGGAGCACCCTTCCCAGATGAAAATCAAATGAAACTGCCATGTTTAGTTATTGGGATAAGCTTGAGGTGGCCAACACATATATGAGTAAGTCAACTATAAAACATGACTAAATATTCATCACAGTTAACCACATAATCTCAAGGAGGTAATCATATATGTTGCATATAAAGAAAACGGGTCAATGACAATTAACCGTATATGTTGGACTGAATAAAGTTAGGAAATGCATGCATGAAACAAAAATGATTGGTTGACATCAATCTGACAACTTGGGGTTTAAAATATAATTTTATAAAAATTTATGGGTCTATTTGTAATTTTGAAGAGTAAATATTATAATTAAGAAATTGGTGAGGGTTATTAGTGTGAATGTGGAAGGATTCATTTTGGAGCACCCTTCCCAAATGAAAATCAAAGCTGCGAAAGGCAGCCACACTCTTTGTGAAAGAAATTCACCCGCTCTTATGAATCTTTTGATCCTTCTCGCTCCCTTGAAGCCCTTTCTCAATAGAGTATCTGGACCATGATCCTCTAAGCCAAGTTATGGGTGTACCTCCTTGACAATCATAATATCCTTGTGTAACACTTGTTCATGTAGTTTGGTACTTGTTGAATATGAAAATTGTATACTTGAAATATTAATTTAGGTTATTGTTATTTATTGTAGCCTTATATTATTAGACACCATCCAATATTTACTTTATTAAAATTATAGGCTTATAATGTTAGTTTAGGTTATTACAATTATTTAATGTTTTGTCATTGTAACGTTAATTTTATTAATTTGTAACATGAGTAGTTTTGAAAAAAAAAAATGTATGCAAAAAGAGATCGTCGCGACAAGAACAAAGTATGTGTATGTTAATTATAATAATTTTGTCAAAAGTGATTTACTAAATATTTAATTTGTGCAGAAAAGATTAAGACACAAGGTATATAACTGATATAAATTCAAACATGATTACATGCCAACGAGCAGCTATTGAAAAAACCCTTTAAATGACTTCTTTAAATAAAAGAGTCATTGCAAATATCTAACAACATTATAAAAGAACTAATTAGTCGATGGTCAGTTAGTGATAATTATTTTAGAATAAAACAATATCATGGCTCATTCACCCCTTTAGATGTTTGTTTTGTGTTAGGTTTATGTATAAGCAGGAAGTAGTTGTTTTAGAAGATAGTAGTATATGTTTAGTAAAAGATTTATTTGACGAAGAAGAACAAAAAATAGTAACAAACATAATTTGGAAGCTTTAAGAAAAAAAAATTAAGAATGATAAATATGTATTTGACTTTTGTAGGATTTATATCTTACTTGGTTGGACAACTTTTTATTTTCCCCGCACTGTTCTGTTTAGTTCATTAGATGATTTGGAGGCATTGGATGATTATAATTGGGGATATATTGTGCACGGTCTATTAGTTGATAGTTTGTATCGTGCTAGTAAAAACTTAAATGACCAAAAGAATGTTTCTCAATTGTACGTTGTTGGTTGTGTCGCTATCTTACAGGTAACTTTCGTACCTAATAATGCTATAATTCTCACAAATGATTGATTTATTTGTTGGTATGAAATTATTGTGACTTATGATATTCTGTCATAGATCTGGGCAATGGATCACTTGTCTATGTCTTGTGATCCACAACGAAAGATATGTTTTCCACGTTTTGTTGAATGACCTAGAGTGAAGATTTGAATATCAAAAATACAAAGTGCATTCATTTCAAACAATGTAAGAAATATTGTGGAGAACATATATTAATTTTTCTTTGAAATGTGGAACTATTATATTACGTTAATAACATATAAAGTCTTTCTTTTGTTAGATTATATGGGATTAGGCAGTGTCTACGGAAGATGAGACAAATGCAGTTATAAGAGAAGCTTTGATATATTCACAGAATGAGAATGCAAACATACCTTCCTTCAGTGGTGTCTCGCATGAGTTACAACAACTTTTGTTTGAACAACGCACATGGAGATCTAAAACAGAACAAAATGAAAAAAGAATTATTGAACTTGAAGATGAGGTCAAAATGTTGAAAAGAACAAATTGGGAAACACATGAATAACTCATTCATAAAGGTGAATGAGACATGTAAAAGTAGTCGTACAAGTCTTATAAAATATACAAACATGAAATTAGTGGAAATGATGAAATGTATAAATTATATAAGTTTTGTATAAGCATGGAATGGGTCATGTTTGTACATTTGATAGGATTTGTACGACTACTTTTACATGTCCCCTTCACCTTTATGGATGCGTTATTCATGTATTTCCCAATTTGTTCTTTCAACATTTTGAACTCACTTTTAAGTTCAATAATTCTTTTTTCATTTTATTCTGTTTTAGATCTCCATGTGCGCTGCTCGGACAAAAGTTGTTGCAACTCACACGAGACACACCAGAGGAAAGTATGTTTGCATTCTCATTCTGTGAATGTATCAAAGCTTCTCTTACAACTGCATTTGTCTCATCTTCCGTAGACACTGCCCAATCTCATACAATCTACCAAAATGAAGACTTTATATGTTATCAACGTAATATAATAGTTCCACATTTAAAAAAAAATAATATATGTTCTACACAACATCTTACGTTGTTTGAAATGAATGCACTTTGTATTTTTGACATTCGAATCTTCACTCTGGGTCATTCAACAAAACGTGAAAAACATATCTTTTATTGTGGATCATTAGGCAAAAACAGGCTACCCAGATCTATGACAAAATATCATGTCATAAGTCACAATAATTTCATACCAACAAATAAATCAATCATTTGTAAGAACTGTAACATTATTAGGTACGAAAGTTACCTGTAAGACAACGACACAACCAATAACATACAATTGAGAAACATTCTTTTAGTCATTCAAGTTTTTACTAGCACAATGCAAACTATCAACTAATAGACTGTACACAGCATATCCCCAATTATAATCATTCAATGTCTCCAAATCATCTAATAAACTAAACAGAACATTATGAACAATGTGTGAGGAAAATAAAAAACTATCTAACCAAGTAAGATATAAAGCCTATAAAAGTCAACTACATATTTATCATTCTTAATTTATTTTCTTGAAGCTTCCAAACTATGTTTATTACTGTTATTTATTCTTCTTCGTCAAATAAATATTTTACTAAACATGTACCACTATCTTCTAAAGCAACTACCTCCCCTTATACGTAAACCTAACGCAAAACAGACATCTAAAGGGGTGAATGAGACAAGATATTGTTTTATTCTAAAACAATTATCACTAACTGATCATCGACTAACTAATTCTTTTATAACGTTGTTAGATATTTGCAATGACTCTTTTATTTGAAAAAATCATTTAAAGGGTTTCTTCAATAGCTGCTCGTTGGCATGTAGTAATGTTTGAATTTATATCAGCTATATACTCTATCTCAACCTTGTGTCTTAATCTTATATGCACATATAAGATATTAAATATTTAGTAAACCCCTTTTAATAAAATAACTATAATTAACATACACATATTTTGTTCTCATCGCGACAGTCTCTTTTTGCAGACATTAGTTTTTTAAAACTACTCTTGTTACAAATTAATAAAATTAACCTTACACTGACAAAATACTAAGCAATTATAATAACCTAAACTAACATTACTAGCCTATAATTTTAATAAAGTAAATATTCGATAATGTCTAATAATATAAGACTACAATAAATAATAACAACCTAAACTAACATTTCAAGTATACAATTTTCACATTCAACAAGTATCAAACTACATGAACAAGTGTTACACAAGGACATTATGATTGACAAGGAACAACAACAAATACCAATGAGGTCCACCCATAACTTGGGTTAGAGGATCATGATGCAAGCTAGGACCCTTATCTCCAAAACACCCTTGCTAGCACAATATAGGCCACCAAATAGTCATTCCCAATTTTTTTTAGCTAATTCAATTCAAATTCCAACCACAATCTAAAATTTCTACTAAACAACAAAAAGTCATTAATCTTTTATATGGTTTTATTCTCTTACTTTCATTACTCTTTTCCCATTTTCAAACCCCCCATAATATGATCTCATCAACAAAAACTAATTCATGCAAAAAGGGATGATATATCAGGATTTTAAGAGATCTTCAACACTATGCATTTTAGGCCACTATGGCTTATCTTTCAAGACAGTATGACCCTTCTCTACAGTTTCCTTCCACCATGCTTGAAGTTTAGTATCTTCATCAAGTGTATCTCATTTGCAAAAAAAAAAAAAAAAAAACTAATTCCAAACCTAAAGCTAAAATTTAGATAACAAAAGTGCTTATTTTGTGTAGGAAAAATTTAACCTTTTTCATTATGCAATTTCATCGAACACCTGATGGGCATCATTTAGTATGTATCCCAACTCAAGTAACAACACTTTCATAACAAAACATGTTCGTATTAAAGAGAAAAAAAACAACATTCATCAAAACATAGAATGAAAAGAGTGAAGTAGCATAAACACACCACACTTTCGCATGAATAGTATAAAATAGAGGTTTAGCACCGATTAATCATCCACACACTATTATACCATGTTTGTCAACCAAAGAAGAGAGGGATAGATAACTGTAACAAATATTCAAAGAGGATGCAAAACCAAAACTGTGCTGGAGACAACCACGGTGACGGAAAAACTCGATACAACCACAGTGACGGAAAAACTCGAACTTTGCTGCACTCGTTCAGATAGTCTGTTGAGAAAGGACTTCAAAGCAGCGACAAGGGTCAAAAGATTCATAAGAATGGGAGAATTCCTTTCACAGATAGTGTGACTGCCTTTCGCAGCTTTGATTTTCACCTGGGAAGGGTGCTCCAAAATGAAATCCTTCCACATTTACGCTAACAGCCCTCACCAGTTTCTTAATTACAATTTTTACTCTTCAAAATTACAATAGACCCATAAATTTTTATAAAATTATATTTTAAACCCCAAGTTATCGTTTGGATGTTTAAAGATGGATGTCAACCAATACTTTTTATCTAAGAAAGGGACAAGGTCCAGAGCTGGAAGCATAATTTTAGCCATAAAGAATTCATTCATCATTCTCTTGTTCTTGATTTTTCAATGGAGGATAATGTTACTTGTCCTTGGTATTGTGTAGCTCCAATGGTTTCTGTAACAATGGACAGAAAAAAAATCTTTTTCTCAAGCTTTGACTAACAATTGCTCTTTTCAGCAAAGTCCGTATATATGATCTACCTCAATAATATTGGAGGCTTTTTAAATATCAACTTTTAAACAAAGTATGAAACCCTAACTTTAAGGATTAAAAACGAGAACATGATTTTGGAAATTTTAGAGCAAACTCTATATAAAAATTAATTTCCCCTTAATAAAATTTTACCATTTACTTTGTTACTGAATTCAGTTTTTTTAACTGATTGAATTTTCTAAAGTTATTAAAAGTAAAACACTTATTTAAGGGATTTGTTATTTTTTTTCATAGCGTTGAGCGAATTTGTAAATGTGAAAGAAAAACAAAAAATAATTATGCCAAAGATTACCTTTCTTGCAACATTTCTTCTAATGTACTTTTTCTTTTGAATAGTAATGATGAATGCTGAGAGAAAAGGGAAAAAAAAATGCTACTATTACCATTCCAAGAAAAATGACCTATACATACAAACAAACAAAAATTGCTACTAAAAGTTAAAAAAAAAAACTATAATTAATGACATATCATTATAGGTTTTACCTACAGATGTATTCTTATCTACAATTACATTTAAAGTGTCACTAAATATACTACCCACCATTTGCATTGTGTGCAGAAGCCATTACCTACAACTTCCAATAATAGGTAAAAATTATTTTGTATTCAACATCCTTCACAGAAAAATGTTTTTTAACTAACAAATTCATAATCAGTAAATAAATGTTCTAATCATGTTTTCTATTTGTTATATTTTTTCCTCTACAAATTATTATTATTATTATTATTATTATTATTATTATTATTATTATTATTATTATTTCTTTCAACTTAATATTATTGGCTTATTTTTCTTCCCCGAAAATATGGTATTTTTATAGCTACTATTTTATAATTTACTTGCAAAATTTCCCGTTTATTTTAAAATTCACAGGTATTTTTCGGAAAAATTAAAAACTATAGCAAACTAATATAAGTCGTGTAATGTATTTTTAGTATATCAAGACAAGCTATTTTATCTCAATAAATAATAAAATTATTAAATGTGTTTTATATTTGATACTGATGAGTTTTCTAAAAATAAAATGATAAATACATATAATTTATTTATGTAAAACAAAATGATATTGAATGCATTATATATTTTGAATAATCTAAACTTTCGTGTTCCATGCAAAAATGTACTACAGTTATGATGACAATTGAGTATGCCTGTGGGATTGGCGGGAACTGTTCATGGGTTGAATATGATCCTATGTTGATTATTGAAGAGTTTAAAAAGCATCATATCAACACTTGGAAATTAAGTAGTAGATAATTGAGATGTCACAAATTAACGAACTTATTTTTCCTTTCATTTTTAGCTTATACTTTATTATTATATACCCTTCCACTTAACCATGACCTTTTTCTCTTCAATTTAAAATTTGAAATCCTCTATACTCTCTTATTTTTCATTGTTCCAAGCCCAGCATAAGAGCAGTGGTAAAAACTGAATGGAACGATCAATTGCGGATCATACACTAGTCTCTACTGTTCTTTACCTAAAAACTATGACAGAAATAGGAGTGTTTGCAGTTCAAAGTGGTGTTGTATTATTGGCCGATATCTATTTTCTATTGAATGTTTGAAGCTGAGAAGGGGGAGGGAATCTGTACAAATATAGGCAGTAAAAAATTCATCAGACCTATACACCATGCAGACCAGTGCTACAGTTACTCAGAACTGAGCACATCCCAAGCTGGAAAAGGTTCCAGTAGACAGTGGGAGGGAGTTACAGTATGCAAAAACAGAATCTCCCCCTCACTGAACCCAATTCTCGTCATTTAAATTTTCTATTGAACACCGGAATAATGAAAAGATGGCCACAACTGTTGAACAAGTAATACCAAAGGCCGTTGATTTGCCAGACTAGTCCTCAGAAGCTTTCATTTCACCAAGCTCCGAAGCGTTCATTGCTTCTGCAATCATTAGAGCTGTCATGGCCTTATGAATGGCTACATCTGCTTTGTATAGCAATCGTTTAGCCCTATCTCTTTTCAACTTAGCCACGTGCCGTTTAATATTAGCTTCAGCCACGGCATCCCGTAGTCTTAACTCCTCGAGAACTGAAGCATCCAAATGTTCAATCCCTTGCCTCTTAGGGCCAGCAAGGTGATGCCTATTATGAGGCAACTCATATCTGGATTGGTGAAATTTTGGGACATGATTTCTGTAACCCGATCCATTGGTAGGATGGTATTTCAAGCTGCCAGCATCACGTGGTAAGAATACCCTTGGTGAGGTCAGAGCCAATGATGATTCATCAAAACAATCGAAATTATGGCCTTGGTAAAGGAACTTTTCTCCACCAAAAGGTAAGGCACCGTGTCTTCTTCCTGAGTTCACAACAATTAGATGTTAAGCTGAATGTTAATAATTTGTTTCAGAAATGTAGAACCCATGAAATCAGCTTGTAAATCAAATACTCACGGAAGCCATCCTGATCTAGATTACTGTTTGCGTGCCCAGAGACTGAAATCTTCTTTTGGGATCGATGTTTCAATCCCTTGTTCAGTGATTCTAGACCCCTAGGTTTCAAACAGAAAGCAAACATGGCTGGCTTCTCCAGAGTTGTGACCTTGTCCATGCATGCATTGGAGGGGGCATTGCTCTTGGTTATGGCTACTTCCCACTCTCTCGCTTGTGTCTGATACAGTTCCCATTGAGGGGGCTGAAAAGTACATAAAAATTCAAAGATGAAATTTCAGGCACATAAATAACAAAGCATACATATTAGGTATAGAAGGGAACAGGCCATGTTGGAGAGATGCTAAGGTAAAATGCATAAATCATACGCTTTTAGCCAACCGAATATAAATTTGTGCCCCCTCCCTTGTTCTACCGAAGCAATTGAAACAATTCTCTGAAGTTGTATCCGAGAAATGCTGTACAAATTCATTCTCTCCTAACATGTTCTATTCTTTGGCAGCATTAATCATGTCTGAATTAATTCTGTTAGGTTAGTACTTGTCCGAATAAAAAAACTTGCCTAACATTTGCGAATTAAATAAATATCAAACCTGGAAGCCTAAATACAATTAGAAGTATAGAAAATGTCGAGTAGAAGAACAACAAATAACATGCATCATGATTCAGAGGCTCGGAAAACTTGTCCTTAGAGATTAGAAAGGCCTCCAAAATAGATAGGCATAATATTTTAAATGTAACAAAGCAAAAGACCAATCCACTACTGCAAATTAATCCTCCTCTTACTATATCAGTAAAGCTAATGTCTTTCATATAAATTCATTAAATGAATGGAGGCAGAGACATATTTCCAAAATCAAAATAATTATAACATAAACAAAAAAGGTAATTTGTACATTACCTGAAAGTGCCGTATTAAAGCCATTCCTTTCTTCTTCCTTCTCTGCTGCCAATGATCATAAATGATTTTCATAATACACAAAGGCCCAACATCAACCATGAGTTCCTCTATCTCATTAGAAGTAAAATGTTCGCGCTTCTTAGCATATGCAGCCTTTTCAAACATGTCTATTGTCTTCTCAAACATCTCCTCTGAAATCCAACTCAAGTCAGTGTTGTCTTCTTCAGAATTTTGAGCATTTGCAATCCATTGTTCATCCTCACTATCCATGTCATACAGAACACGGGATGGATCCAGAGCCATCTCAACATCTGTTTCAACCTGTTGGAAGTACATACAGCTCCGAACAATAGTTGCATCACATCCATTATCATCATTTTCTTCTATCAAATGAACACCAGGAATAGGTATGTTTTTAACTGAAGCAGCACGGATGTTCCGCTTGTAGCATTCCTCATGCATCTCCTTGAAAAGTGCCCACTGACTCCTATTGGGAAATTCCAAAATCCAATCCTTCCCACCTTTCCACATCATTGCATGTGTGAACCGATTTGTTGATCCAGGCTGCAGAAACTGATGTGCTTTGTATGAATATCTAGTAATTCCGGAAAGTTTCACAGAAAGTCTCCACTCGTTGTGGTCAAACAGCTCTAGTACAATATGGGCCCCAGATTCTCTCCAACCCTTACTACCAAGAGTGATCAAGACATTTGCACGACAAGATAAGCATTCAAAATTCTTTTCAGGGCCCCTAGTAACATCTGATGACTTTTTCTCACTGGCTTTTCTAATTCGTTTGTGAGGAAGCCCTTTCTGATGATGGTTTCTCTGCCTTGAACTGAATTCATACCCTGCAGAAGGCACTGAGTATGATACTTGTGTGCGTGGTCTTCTAGGTCCATTGCGAAAATCACTATAAAGAGAATCAGCCTTGTCATCAGACCAAACATGAGACTGAAATCCCAATGATGAGGAACTATTCTGGTTCTGATACCAAGAACTTCTACGAGCAGTTGGATTTGAGCTTGGCATAACACCTACATTTATATTCCAAGAGAAATCAGGAGAGTGTTCAGGATCACATAAATCACCATCACAACCAGGTTTCTCAAATTGATCAACAGCAGGAATTTGGATGCTGAGATCACCAATAAAAGAATGAGAACCATCAGCAGCCTTATCTTGATGAAGTAAAGAACTAGAATGTAGAGAGCCTAAATCTTGCTCAAAATGGTGGGATTGCCATTTGGGTAAGGGAGTTGCACCAAGCCTCACAGGAAAATGGGAAATGGAAATACCAGCACCATTATGACCAATGCTCAGGTAATTTTGAGAGAGAGTTTGATCACAGAAGGTAGAGGGATGATCTAAGTCAGCACAAGACCCTCCATCAACTGCAGCTCCATTTGACAAAATCTCAATATCTTTCCTTGGAGTAATTTCAGAATTCTTGTTTGAGCAACCATCGGTGCTAGCACATCCATTGGTCACCAAACTAGGGTCTTCCTGATCAAATACTGGTGCGTGATCACAGAAGCTTATATGAGTTGCAGACTGCTCCATCAGCAACTTGAGATGGAAAGAAAGAAAAAATGTAGGTGCTGCAGCAAAAGAAAGGGTAAATGGAGGAAGTTTGCTCTCACCAACATCAGAACACTGATGAGTATCAGCTTGTGTGGAAACTTTGGAAACACCCATGATGTTAATCCCTGGTCTACTCTTCCGCATGACCTGTTCATGCAGAAGTTGCATGATTTGATTTACCACAAAATCCAACATAAGCTAACTTGCAGTGAGTTTGGAAGCTTTGATATACAATGTTTAATTACAGTAACATGCGTTAAACATGGAAAATATATTCATAAAATCATGGTTAAGGCTTAAGTTACCTATCAGGATACATAGGAAAAAGGGGAAAAAGTACCTTGACTGAGGAGGACCTGCTGATAGAAGTTATGGAGAACCCAATTGATCCATTTTGAAGTGCCTGGATGTTATCATATGTACATTCAGAAAGATGGAGCTGCTTACTGAGAAGGCAATGCCTCTTAAGCTTAGAATCTAAGCCCATCCACTTAGAATTCCTCACTCCAGAGAAATTATAGAACTCAAAAACAAGTGGCTTCTTAATAACATGCAGACCAGAAAACTTGAATCCAATAGATGTGCATGGAAATTGCGAGTCAACATACTTCTCTTGGCAGGAAGGTTGTTGAAATACCCCAAGGACAAAAAAGACAAAGGCTACAGCCATGCTCAAGCAGCCTTCAAATAATAGAAATCTCAACCCAACCACATTATCGACAAAAAGCATCTCCAAACAAACTCTAGGCCACTTGGTCATAACTGTACCATACTGGAGCAAAAAAAGAGGATAAAGCAACCACAAATTTTCAGATTGAAAAGAATCATTCCAATCAAAACATATTGGAAAGTTTAAGCCAAATTTTAACAATGCTGATTCCATGTCCCAAAAAACTTTTGATACTCCTGCCTTGTAAGTGAAGCACAATGGGCCCTCAGCTTCATCTCTAGCATCACTAGAACGCTTCATATTCTCAGCCCCACTAAACATATGGTCAAGGGAAACAGAACCAGATGCACTTAAAATAGCATGCTTTTCTTCGTAGATATGAGGTGATATTGGAGCTGGCTTTCGAATCCGCCTTCTGAAATATACAATAGGCTGTTTTCCATCTTTATTGCAAGTAGCACTTTGCAATGAGGACGTCATCCTAAAATCATCACTTAATTTATCCTGTGATACATAATCACTAGATAAATTATTTTTAATACCCTTCAAAGAACTCTTAGATAAATGTGCCTTTGTAGTGACAGGTTCATCATATAAGAATGATGGCATTGTACTTGTAAGTGTAACAGAAGTCTTCTGTTTCTTAATGCCTTGAAAAGAAGATCTTAATCGATGAGTAGATCGAGACAGCCATGAAATTATAGGTTCTGAGTCCATACTGCTCCCACCACAATGATCATCCTCTGGATTCTCTTCTGTTCTTTGCCTTTCTTTTCTGGATTTGATACCCTTCTGATGATCAGAACTTCTACATTTTGCAATAGCTCTTTCACCCTTTGCATTTTCTGGAACTTCACTACGATGTAACAAGAGTTTGAATCTCTCAGTATGGAGATTAACCCATTCTACATCCCGATCATCATATTTGATATGGTAAAGCTTGCTTCCTTCATCATAGCCATCCACACGGCCATAATACCAACTCTGGTCTAAAGGCCAAAAAATTTTAATTTTCCGGTTTAGCACCCAGTATACATCTACATCACCTAAAAGAATCTCATAAAAATGGCGCCTCTTCCTGGAATTACCTCTGCTTTTATATTGTTTTCTAGGCCTCAGAACTCTGCCATCAGTATCAGCTGATGTGGATTCTGAACCTGATTGAGACTTCAAACCATGGTTAACAACACTTTGACTTGAAGATTGAAAATAGGACAAACCATTTGAACCTTTGATTGAAAATCCAGTACAGCTTGGATCAAACCTTGAAGAAAGCATCCTAGCTGCATTCTCCTCAAGATTTTCCTCCTCATCTTCTTGCAAGTCATCAGATATTTTACAATTTGAAACCAAAGGTTCAACCTCATTGGAAACATTAGTTATATCTAAAGCAGAAGTCTTTCGCTTCCTATTCTTCCTCCGTGACTTTGTTAAAGAAGAATCACCACCACTATTTACAACAGAATGAGATACACAATCCCCATTCTCCTTAAAATGTTGAACTGAATTTGAATCACTATTCCTATTTTCCTTAAATTCATCAAACTCTTTCTTATGCTTAATCTTGAAAGACTCAACCCCACTGCTGATATCCTCACTACCTAACTTTTGCACAGGATCGTCATAGCCACTTGTAAGTCTATGCTGCTCCACCAAATTTGATGCTTGACCAGGTTCTGATTTCTTCCTCCCCATAAAACTCCTCTTCCTCTTAGGAATGTGAAAATCATCACCACCAACGCTAAACGAAACTCTATTTAGCATACTACTACTCAATCTCTGACTCACCCCTAACTTCAACTCACTGCTACCCTCACCATTTTCTAAGCTACTTAGAGAGACTTCTTTTCTAGCCTTCTTTCTCTTCCTCTTCTCATCACCATCCCCACTACTACTTCTAATCCTCTTTAAGTTCTCTTTTGCAGTTTTTACTGACAATTTTGATTTATATAGACTTTTAAGATCCAGAGATTTTGATTTCTTGGGAACTGTAGTGCCATTGGAGTTCTCTGCTCTGCTTTCCATGGCAAATTAACATAACAAACACCCACACCAAAATTCCCCTAATTGTCACATCTCATCATACATATCCGGCCATTTTCTTGGATCTGAAACACCAAAAACCACAAAAGTATCACAAAAACCCCACAACCAACATAAACCTAAATTCAATATGCCCAAAACCCCCATGCATTGCGTTTATTGTATCAAACGACACCCAGAAAAGTTATACAATATTTTAACACCGAGAAAATACAATTATTCGAAAATTTACTTACTTCACCCAGCATGCCCCTAAGCAATCAATTCGTCCTACAGCCATCAAGGATCACCAGCGCGAATTGGCGGATTAGGGTTTGAGAATCTCTTACAGATTGGAAACCCTAATAGAATCCCTGAAATTGAAATTCCCAATAATTTCGATTTTTATTTTTCGGTTTATTTTTTTCTTCTGTTTTTTAACCGCTAGAGGGCTAGGGTTTCTTTCTCGCTTAGGGTTTAAATTGAAAATTCCCAGAACTTTAGATGGAAAATAGAAATGCGAAACTGTTCCAGCTCGACAAGTGGAACGTTCTGGCGCGTCCGATCGAAATCTGGTGATCGTCTGCGTCGGGGCGTACAGTAACCTAGTGCTGCTCAAAACATTTGGCAAGTTGATTATTATGTGCGGTTCTGATTCAATGCTTTTGGTGAAAACAATTTGCTTCAAACGGAAAAATAGAAAGTGAAATTAACCATTTTGCACTGTCTAGTTTTACATTTGACCATACTTTTCTATAAAACTTCGGAAATGCCATCGAGTTTTTTTGAGTGTTTGGGCGCCATAGAGGAATTGATAAGATCACGCACCTAGAGAAGATTAGTTGTGTTATACTTTCCCACTCCCTAAAAACAAGCCACGTGTATCCTAATTAATTCACCCATAAAAGAAAGTTTCATTTTATTACATACTTTAAATACACTTAAATACTAAAATATAATTTACAATTTTTTAATAATAAAATCATAATAAAACTTTAAAACAACTTTTAATACTAAATTAAAATATATATTTTTATTTTTATGTCACACTTCAAAAGATTCATATGTTAAAGATAAATCAAATCTTTATTAATCATATTTACATTGGGGTTATTTAAAAAATAATAATATATCTCATTCATGTTAAGTTGGATAAATTAAACTACCTATATTTAATCATAAACTTATTAATTTGAATCAAATGTATTAATATTCTTATTTCTAAATACTTGTACATGAAATAGTTGATAATTATACTAAGAGAAGACTCTATTGATTTTTACTAGAATCAAATCTAACAAATTCACATGTGTTTAATGTCAATATGGGTACACACAAAATTTACCTTAATCTTCAAATAATTTCAAATATGTAAGTTCATTTTTACAATATCAAAATAAATTGTGAATTATGAATTTAATAATACATAAAAAACTAAAAATAAGAAATCAAAAGGACATGGGTTTTTACTTAGGTTTATTTATAATACAAATATCAAACAAAAAATAAATATTACATCTCAATATATTTTAATAAATGAGAAATGACATGGGTTTTTAATATAATTGGCATGTAATATATTATTTTAACAAACATTTTCGTTTATAAAGACCATTAATAAATAAAATATTATGAGAGATAGAAGTAAATAACGTATATTATCATAAATGTCTTACATGTAATTATTTGTCACATTTGACTAAGTTTCCCTAAATTTTATACATTTTAATTTTATAAAAAAATAAACACAGGATATTTTTTAAAGATTAAAAGTGATTGCTGAAAGTTTAGATGAGTTACAATTAGATTTCAGTCTTAATTTGAATAGGAAATAAAATTTTATCTTGAGAGAGTAGAAGTGAATGAAAACCTAGAATAATTTGCGTGCCAAAAGTAAAGCCCAATTTTTTACTTTCACCGTTCCACCTCGAAACACAGCCAATCAATTTCAACCCGTCTCCTCCCAATTGAAGCAAAACGCAACGCAACCCGACACAAACCAAAAATTTCAGACTCCACACTCCCTTCGTGTTTTCAGACTTCCAGAACGTGCCCTTCGAAGTAAAGCAACGCTGGTGATGCAGAGGGGCAAAATTTGTGTTCCTCTTCAATGATTCTTCTGAGATGAGACTCCACAATGAGTCTGAAAAACCACGCCTTGTTTATGGGAACAAGTCTTCATGGCTCTTTGGAAAGTGGCACCAGCAAGAGGAACCCTTTTCGTTTGGACAGAAGGAAGTTGCCGCAGAAGGGTCTTTGCAGTAGCAGGTGCTGCGTGTCCCCAAAAAGGTGTCGGTTGGTAAGGCAAGCGTTACGGTTTCCAGCTTTTTCCGGGCAAAACGTGGGGTTATTGGGAAAGGATCTGATTTTGAGAAGTGGGTCGAGGTTAGAATGTGCCAGGGAACCTTATTTTAGGAGTGAGGCTTTGGTTAGTTATTTGACACCTTTTTGGAAAGAGGGTCTCCTTTTGATAAGGGCTTCTGTTTGCACTGCTGTTATATCTGGGGTGTGTATGCTGGTATGGTATGGCCAGAATAAAGCAAAGAGTTTCATTGAGGCCAATTTGTTGCCTTCTGTTTGTTCAGCAATCAGTGAGCACATTCAGCGTGACCTTGTGTTTGGCAAGGTTCGGCGGATTTCGCCGTTGAGCATTACCTTGGAGTCTTGCTCATTTGGGCCTCACAAGGAGGAGTTTTCTTGTGGTGAGGCTCCCACGGTGAAGCTTCGCATCCATCCATTTGTGAGTTTGAGGAGGGGAATGTTGGTGATTGATGCGGTTTTGTCGCATCCAAGTCTATTGGTAGTGCAGAGGAGGGACTTTACTTGGTTGGGAATACCCTTCACTGAAGGTGGCAGGGAGAGAAGTTTCTCCGCTGAAGAAGGGATCGATTATCGTACAAGAACAAGGAGGCTTGCACGAGAGGAAGCCTTTTCTCGGTGGGAAAGAGAAAGGGATGATGCAGCTAGGGAAGCTGCTGAGGTGGGGTACTTTGTTTCTGAGCGGAGTTGTGGTCTGTCTCAAGGTGATGATGATTTAAAGGAGATGGAAACTCGTTCAATGGAGTTAACTGCATCTGCTCCCTTTTTCTGCATGAATGATGGGAAGCACGATCATAGGTTGATGGACAAAGGTGTTAATTATGATACAAAACACGCAGTTTTGGAAAAATCATTTGGTGTGAGGTTTCCTGCATCAGGATTTCGATTTTGGTCCAGAGTAATATCCGGGCCTAGGAAGCACAAGTTTAAGAGGAAGGCTAATGGGAGTAACATCTTTGCATCTGGTGCTGCTATCAAAAAGAGAATGTTTGAGCGTAGTGCATCAGCTGCTCATGCATACTTTTGTGATCAATCACAATGGAAGTTCGGGGAGTCTTTGTCACCTTCTGAATGTTATCATTTTATGAGTCATGATATGCATTTAGTGAAAAGTGAGGTTGACAGAAATACAAGATCTGTTGTTGGTGATGAAAATAGAAATGATGATAACCAAAGTGGAACACAATTCAAAGATCTGGGATTGCCCCCGTCAGTGAGTGAAAATGTTGATAGTCAATCGGAGTACTTAAAATTTGTTTGTGATCCAACTTTACAGACAAGAGAGGGTGAATTTGAAAATTTGCAATCTAGCGATGATGTTACAGAACCTACTAATTCAAATAGTATAACAGAGAAAATTGAGGAGTTTGTACCATATGTTGCTGACAATCATATTAATGATAATGGTAATTCATTAGGGGGCCAACTTGGTTTGACATCTGAAAATTTGGGTTTTGTGAAGTCCAAGTCTCATTTGGAACCCTATTTTCAAAATCAATTTGAGCTCTTGCTTGTGAAATTTGGCATAACATCAATTTTAAGAAATATTGAAGAGTTAACATCTCGGTTTCTTTCTGGTCCCATTGAAAAATTGAAGTCTGATGTGGGTCTGAGAGTTGAAGATATTGTTTCGGAACATGTTGATGGGAAAGATTCTGTGCAGTCTGAAGGCGTTACTAAGATTCTGCCTATTACATTGGATTCAGTCCATTTCAAAGGTGCAACCCTGATGCTGCTTGCATATGGTGACAAGGAAGTTAGGTGAGAGTTGATCTTGTCATCTACTACTAATTTTAAAATCACTATATAAATGAAGTAATGGATACACCTCTTCATGAGTTTATGGTTTTAATATTATGTACATCATTAGAGATGTTTTATGTTGGGCATATTGACAGTTAACATACTTGTACTAATACTTCATTTTTTTAATTAGTATGACAATGACAATTCTAGTAGTGTGGATCTCTATTAGGCTTATTTAATGAGCCATCCTTGTAGTAATTTAAAAGGAATTTTATATTCAAATACTATTTTCAGAAACTTAGAAGATTGAAGAGTAACTGTTTTGTATTGGACTGAATATCTTTTAAGTGCTAATCATAGGATGTTCAAAGACTCTAATTCAAGCTGTTGTAGGTCTCTACTTCAGTTATTCCTATGTGTTCTTTTCAGGAGTTTATTAATTATATATTTTTAGTTTCCATTTACCTTATCATGTGTGTTCATCAAACACGTGCATATTACTATATTCAGAGGAGGCAGATGAATATCATATAATTCTGCTTTTGTGATTCAGTTCTATAAAATACTGATGCTGCCATTAATAATATGTTATGTAAAGTCTTAATGGTTGTGTTTATCAGTAATTGGGGATGATGGTTGTTTTCAGCTCAACATTTAAGGATGAGTTTCGTTAATTTAGTTTCTTGAGCTGTGACATAATTGTAATATGGAAAAACATTCCTTTCTTTGTGTATCCTTGAAACCTGAAAATTTTGAATTTAGTTTCTAAAAGAGTCAGTTAACACTCATTTGAAAGGAGATTTTATTTATATTTATTTTCTGGATAGCAAACAAATAGGATAGTTTAGATGCCATTTTTATATCGAGGATTAAGTTGAAGTCCGCATTTGTTGCTGGACCACATTTATACCTCTTATAATTTTGCAGTGAACTAAAATGTGTATGTAGTTACTTTATGTGATTGAATAGCTTCTCATTTTTGGTCTTGAAAAATGGCAACTGCAGACTGTTGGTTTAACTATATAATAATTGTTTTCATTTTAGCTTCTCATCTTGATATTAAAGACTATATCATATAGTTATGTCACTTTCGTATTGCAAATTAAACTCACAGAACAGTCTGAATTGACATGGGATTTCTTAATATTTTATAATAGTAGTGTTTTACCTTGGTGTTGTAGTATAAACCTGTTTTTGATTTGGATATTTTTAGTAGAATGTTTTTGTTGAAACATGTTGTTTTTCTATCTTTTTGTATTCTCTGTTTATGTTCCTTAAATTAGGGTTAAGGGTTTGGGCTAAGGCCCATATCCTCTCTGTTGTATCTCCTTTATCTATAAATACAATATAACAGTGTCTTTAGACACTGTATTGAAACCCTAAATAAGTTTCTCAAGTTGGTATCAGAGTGAGTATGATCCCGCACTGATTTCTAGTCATCCCTGTCATCTCCTGTCGTCGTTTGCCGTCGACCACCATTTTAGCTTGGTCCGGTGAAGGTAGGGTTTGGTGTGCCCTGAAGAGCGTGACCCACCCCTGCCAATCGTTCCTCCATCTGCAGCCCCATGTGCAGCTTCTCCAAGCGAAGCTCCCAGGCTCTGCACACGCGCCACCCTCCATTGGCCAGAATCAAGCCCGATTACCACCAGTAGACTCGCCGGTGCCCTCTGAGTCCAATGGTGCCCTTATTTTTCTGTTTTGAGAACTTTGGAAGCTAGGTCACGTGGGTACCCTATTGGTTAGGTTCATCTTTCATCTTTGTTTCAGATAAATGACTTCATCTAGTGTTTTTTCTTTTTTTGCTACTCCCACCATAACCAGTGCCAAACTCAATTGGAAAAATTATCTATCCTGGTCTGCATCACTTAAACTATGGTTTCTAGGTCAAAGGTATCATGGCAGTGGGAGAAAATAGACTTCGAGCTTTGTGCAATCTTATGGCAGTATGTGGAACCTGAGGTTCTTGAGCTTCTCAGGTCATTCAAAACATATTCTTCCTTTTGGAAAAAGGCTTAGACATTTTTGCTAACGATATTTAGCGTCTTTTTGATGCAACTCAAAGAGTGACGTCTCTCAAATAGACAAATCATGACATGATGTCTCACATTGCAAAAGCTAGGGCTACTGTGGAGGAATTAAAAATGTTTCTTATGACAAATACCTTAGAGTAGTTAAACTCCAAACTGAATAAGTTGTATATGGTCTTAATTTTGAGGAGTCTGCACTCTGATTTTGATCATGTATGTGATCAAATCTTAGTTGGTGATCAGGTTTCGTCAATGGATAATCTTGTCACGAGGCTGATTCAAGTTTCCAATCTTATGATAGATGAGAATCAGGTGGAGACAGTTGAAACTTCAGCTACAATTGCTTCTCGTGGTCGAGTAGGAGGACGTAACAGTCGAGGAGGACGTGAGAGTACAAAATGTCTTCCTCAATGTTCCTATTGCAAGAAGATGAGGCACACGCAAGAAAACTGCTATTCCTTGCACGATTTTCCTATCAGGAATACTGCTGCCCATGTTTCTAAGTCTGAAAAACCGGATATGAAAATCTCTGATGAGGAGTATCAAGAGTTTTTGAATTTCAAATCACGAAAATTCTACCATCAGGTCAATCTTCTTCCATGCCTAGTATTTCAACAACATGCATTTCTCAATCTATGGAAGGTCAAAACCCATGGATTCTTGATTTAGGTGCCTCTGATCATATATCTGGTAACAGTTCTTCATTTTCCTCCATGTCCTATCCTAAAATTCCTCATCTGATTACTATGGCTAATGGATTTAAAGTAAAGCCACAAGGAATTGACCATGTTCCTTTAACCCCTTATTTGAATTTAAATTCTGTTCTTTTCATTCCTAATTGCCCTTATAACTTGATTTCTCTAAGTCAATTGACTCGTTCTCTGAATTATTCTATAAATTCTAATTCCAATTCTTTTGTTATTCAAGAACATGGTACGAGTCGTCTGATTGGAGGACATGAATCACATGGTTTGTACTATCTAAATCCAAGTCCTTCAATGTCATGTCTTGCTTCTCCTGCTCTTAAACTTTTGCATGATTGTCTGGGTCACCCAAGTTTACCAAAGTTGAAAGTGATGACTCCTAATCTCAAACATTTTCGGGGTTTAGAATGTGAATCTTGCCAATTAGGAAAACATGTTAGGTCTACCTTTCTTAAACACTCTGAAACTTGATGTAATTTTCCTTTTAAAAATATTATTATGAAATTTGGGGACCAAGTTGTATCTCTTCATTTGGCTTCTGCAATTTTGTAACTTTTATTGAGGAATTTTCCAGATGTGCTTGGGTTTATTTAATGAAAGACAAATATGAAATTTTATCCATTTTTGTGTCTTTCTTCAATGAAGTTAAAAATCAATTTGGGAAGGTAATTAAAGTTCTTAGGAGTGATAATGCTAAAGAATATTTTTGAGTTTCTTTTTTTTATATTCCCAAGGCATTTTACATCAGTCAACTTGCTCTCACACTTAACAGCAAAATGGTATTGCAGAAAGGAAAAATAGGCATCTTATTGAGACGACACGCTCTCTAATGTTGAATGCCAATGTTCCTGTTCATCATTAGGGAGATGCAATTCTCACTGCTTGTTTTCTGATCAATCGCATGTCATCTTTTTCTCTTCAAAATCAAATTCCTCATTTCCTTATCTTTCCAGATGATCCTCTTTATCATGTGTCTCCTCGTGTATTTGGTTGTACCTATTTTGTACATATAATGTCTCTCCAGGTATTGATAAGTTAAGTGCTAAAGCCATTAAATGGGTCTTCTTGGGGTACTCTCGCCTCCAAAAAGGGTACAAATGTTATTCTTCATCCACCAAAAGGTATTACATGTCTGTTGATGTCATATTCTTTGAAGAAACACCCTTCTTTTCTTCCCCCATGGAGGATGGTTCCACGATTCAAAATGTTCTTCTTATACCCTCATGTGATCCACTTATAATACTTGATCATTCACCAATTCAACCTACAAGTCTCAATGATTCTTCTCCTCTTCTTACATATCACTGCAGGACCCACCTACACCTTTACCAGATTCTACAGATAATCGTGATTCAGAACCTTCCCCATCAGCTTCTCATACTATATATCTTTTGACCTCCTTTCCCACTTCTGGTTCTAAATGGCCTATTGCACTCAAAAAAGGTATTCGTTCCTTTTGGAATCCTTTTCCTATTTATAATTTTTTAAGTTACCATCGTTTGTCTCCTTTCTATTCCTCTTTTGTTGTCTCTTTGGCTGATACCACTATTCCAAATATTGTTCATGAGGCTCTTGATTATCATGGATGACAACAAGCCATGATTGATGAAATGCAGGCTCTTGAGCACAATGGCACTTGGAAGCTTGTCCCTCTTCCTCCTAGCAAAAAGGTTGTGGGCTGTAGGTGGGTCTATGCAGTTAAAGTTGATAATAATGATAAAATGGATCGTCTTAAAACTCGATATTTGCTAAAGGCTACACTCAAATTTATGGCTTTGATTACTGTGATACCTTCTCTCCAATAGTTAAGATTTTCACTATTTTTCTTTTCCTTGTTATGACTGTTATTTGTCATTGACCCCTTCACCAATTGGACATTAAAAATGTCTTTCTTCATGGTGACCTTGAGGAAGAGATTTATATGGAGCAACCTCCTGACTTTGTTGCTCAGGGGGAGTCTAGCTTAGTGTGCAAGCTACACAAGTCTCTTTATGGCTTGAAGCAGTTATCCCGAGCTTGGTTTGGGAAATTCAGTCATGTCGTATAGTTGTTTGACTTGAAAAAAAGTGAAGCAGATTACTCAGTGTTTTATTGTCATTCCTCTACAGGCAAGTGTGTGTATCTTATGGTTTATGTTGATGATATTGTTATTACAGATAATGATTATACTAAGATCAGTCAATTGAAGAATCATCCATTTGCTCACTTCCAAACCAAAGATCTTGGTCAGTTGAAGTATTTTCTTGGTATTGAAGTGACCCAGTCAAAGGAAGGTGTGATAATTTCTCAAAGGAAGTATGCTCCTGATATTTTGAAAGAGACAGGTTTAACAAGAATTGTTATACGAAGATAAGGGTAATACTCAAATTCTAGGTTATTGTGATGCAGTTTGGGCTGATTGTCCCATTGATAGAAGATCTACTATTGGGTATTGTATCTTTATTGGAGGGAATTTGATTTCTTGAAAGAGTAAAAAACAAAGTATTGTTGCTCGATCTAGTGCGGAAGTTGAGTATAGATCTATGACACTTGCTACATATGAACTTGTGTCGATCAAAGAACTCTTTCAAGAATTAAAATTTTGTGATAATGCGCAGATGAAGTTGTTTTGTGATAATCAGGCAGCTCTCCATATTACTTTCATGAAAGAACAAAGCATATCGAGATTGATTGACACTTTGTTAGAGAAAAGTTAGTGTCTAAGGAACTTGTAACTAAATTTGTAAGCTCCAATGAGCAACTGACGAACATTTTAACTAAATCCTTGAGAGGTCCTAGGATTTAGTTCATTTGTTCCTAGGATTCAGTTCATTTGTTCCAATCTTGGTGCATACAATCTATATGCTCCAGCTTGAGAGGGAGTGATGAGACATGTTTTTCTTATCTTTTTGTATTCTCTTTGTATTTTCTTAGACTAGGATTAAGGGTTTGGGTTGAGGCCCATATCATGTCTGCTGTTTCTCTTTTATTTATAAATACAATGTAATAGTGCCTTTAGACACTGTATTGAAATCCTAAATAAGTTTATCAAGTGTTTTAGATTATTGAGTATAAACTTCTTTGCGAGATGTTGTGCTTGTAACTTGAATCAGACTTAAAACAGAGAAAAAGCACAGGATATGAGCCAGAAACTTGCTTAGGAGAGTCTCCCAACTGTATACATATCTATGATAGAGCTGTAGAAGAGGATTCCCATGATCAGGGAAGAATATTGCACGACCCACAAGATATTTAGCCTAATTTCCTTAAATATACACAGCTAATGAACAAAAAACATAGTTATAATGAAAACAATGAATTGTTCTAACCCAGTTTCAGTCTCTAATTCAAGAAATCACAATACAATCTTATCATAATCTCAGCACTTGTATATATTATAAACGATGCTTTTATATTGTAACAAAAAATGATGGTCTGTGAATTGAAGTCTTTTTTACTCTTGCCTTTAGGGAGATGGAGAATGTCAATGGACATGTAAAGTTCCAAAACCACTATAGTCGCATACATGTGGATCTGAGTGGAAATTGTAATACTTGGAGATCAGATATTAAATCTGAAGATGGAGGCTGGTTGTCTGCCAATGTTTTTGTTGACACCATTGAGCAGAATTGGCATGCTAATTTAAAAATTGATAATCTTTTTGTCCAGGTAATGTTTGTAGTTTGAGGTTCTTATATTTGTTGCTTTTCATTGAAGTTCTATAAATTGCTTATGTAGTTTGTTTGGCTTGAGTTTGGTGCAGCTGTTTGAAAGGATCCTTGAAATTCCAATTACATGGTCTAAAGGGAGGGCTAGTGGTGAGGTGCTTTTCTAACTTACGTTCATTTAACTTTCTATTCTATTTGATACTTCAGGAAGATTTTTCTGAGTTAAACACTATTTTTCTTACATATAGTATAATATTAAATGACAAACTCAACATCTACTTAGATATATTTGGTAAGTATACCTGGTTTAGTGGTTCTATAAATTTAAGACTTGCCCCTTGACAAGAACAAGAGTTTGTGTTAAAGCCAACCTGACCTATGTAATGTGAGTAATTGGTTGTTGTTTTTCTTCTATAATCAGTTTGAGTTAAAATCAATAATGTTAATAGCGGGTCATGGAAAATCACGAAAAGTTTAAATCTGCTAAATCATACAGTGGGTAGAATCAGGCATGAATAGTGGAAGGTGCATATTGAAAGAAAGAAAACAAGAAAATATATCGATACAGTAAGAACAAGTACAAAGGTTATGTTAATTCTTTGTTGCAAACCTATATATATACACTAAATAGAGAATTACCAATAGTTAGTTGTATACAATTACTACTGACAGAAAACAAAGATGGGTGAGATACACCATGTAGATCAACCATTGCGAATTTGTGGTTTAGTAAGGATATCTGCCCAGTGATCAGGACTAGGATATGTTTAACAATCAGTTGTTTAGCGATTACTCTCTCAAACAAAGAAAATATCAAGTTCCATGTGTTTTGTCTTGGCATGTAAGATAGGATTATGAGAGAGATTAACATACTGGATCTAGTACCAACAAATTGCTTACGAGACCGCCATGAAACCAAAGTAGGGCCAAGAAAAATTGCAGCTTCAAAGGTAGACCGAGGATCATATGGGTCTGCAGTTCAATTTGCATTGCAAAAGGCTTAATCATTATCGGTTGATTAACAATATTTGGAATAATTTTTATACCACAATAAAGAGTTCCCTTTAGATATCTAAGTATTCATTTTACAACAGTCCAATGGGATTTAAAAGGTGTTGCCATAAACTGACGAACTTTATTAACAGAAAAACATATTTTTGGGCAAGTGATAGTGAGATATTGAAGATCGCCCACCACAAATCTGTAAAAAGAAGGATCTGGCCATAAATCAAAACCCTGTTTAGAAAGTTTACAGCCTGAAATCATTGGAGAAGAGATTGGCTTAGCCTCAAGCATGTTAGTCTGGAAAGAAGATACTTTCTGTATTTAGTTTGAGTCAGTAGCAGAGACTCATAGGACCGTGGACGAACTTCTATACCAAGAAAACAATTGAGACTACCAGCTGTTTGAGAGAAAAGATTGAATCCATCTTGTGAAGAAGACTTTGAAGAAAAGGAGAGTTTCTATGATAATGATATCATCAATGTATACCAACAAATACACAACATAAGATTGTTGATTATAGATAAATAAGGAAGGGTCACACTTGCTGTCTTTGAAACCAAATTGCAATAATGTTGTTTTGAGACGATCGAACCATGCATGTGGAGTTTGTTTTAGTCCATAAATTGTTTTTTAAAGACAACAATCAAGAGATGCATCAGCAGCTTCAAAAACCTGGTGGCTGAACCATATATACCTCTTCCTTGAGAAAACCATTAAGGAAAACATTATGAACATCTAACTGAATATAGACCACTTGTAAGTAAGAGGCAATGTAAGAATAATTCGAATTGAGATAGGTTTAATAACATGTGAAAATGTCTCAGTAAAATCAAATCCAGGTTGTTGATTAAAGCCCTTAACAATTAACTGTGCTTTATATCATTGTGAAGTACCCTTAACCAAGGTTCTTGGAGAAATTCTCAAGGGGGAACTTTGAATATTGATAGTCAGGCTGAACTCTTTCTCTGGAAAATTAGATTAAATGAAATCTTATTTTATTATTTTAATACAAAGATATTACAAGATATATACAAGAGACCTAAGCTATTTTAGGAAATATAATAACTCTATTTTATTCTAGGATCCCTTGATTTATGGGATTGTTCCTAATTGTTCAAATCTGTACAAATTACAAATTTCTTAATTTATTCTTTCCTAAAATACTATTTGATTTCCCACACGCCCCCCCCCCTCAAGCTGGTGAATAGGTGTTTTCCATTCCCAGCTTGGATACAATCTTCTCAAAATTGTGGCAGCTCAGTCCCTTGGTAAGAATGTCTGCAATTTAGTTTTGAGAGGACACATATGGAGTGCATATTAAGCCACTATCAAGCTTTTCTTTGATGAAGTGTCTGTCTACTTCAATATGCTTTGTTCTATCATGCTGCACTGGGTTGTGGGCTATGCTGATTGCTGACTTATTATCACAATAGAGCTTCATAAGTTCTTCCCATTTTATCCTCAAGTCTTCTAAGATGATTTTAAGCTAGAGCAACTCACATATATCTTGTGCCATGGGCTCGAAATTCTGTTTTAGCACTGGACCGAGCCACTACACCCTGCTTGTTGTTTCTCCAAGTCACAAGATTTCCTCCAAGAAAGGTGCAATATTCTGTAGTTGACCTCCTATCCACAATTGACCCTGCATAATTAGCATCCGTATAGGCTTTAAGCTTCACATTACCATTCCTTTTAAATAGAATCCCTCTTCCTGGAGTTCCTTTAAGGTACTGTAAAATTCTGTGGGCTGCTTGTAAATGGGTCTCCTTTGGGTTATGCATAAATTGGCTAATTAAACTCACTACATAGGCAATATCTGGCCTGGTATGTGACAAATATATATAAGTTTGCCCACTAATCGCTGATACATATCTTTTTCAACAGCAACATCTTCTGCATTTCCAAGCTTTAGGTTTGGTTATAATGGGGTACTAGCAGGTTTGCAAGCTGCCTTGCCAACTTTCTTGAGCAAATCAGTGATGTATTTCTGCTGGGATATGAATATCCCTTTCTTGGAGTGGGTAACTTCAATTCCTAAAAAATATTTTAGTTTTCCCAAGGTCTTGATCTCAAATTCCTTGCCTAAGCATTGACTCAACAATTGCTGCTCTTCTTTATTATCTCCAATTAATATTATGTCATCCACATACACCAATAATATTGTTACTCCCCCTGACTTGGAATGTTTAAAGAACAAAGTATGATCCCCTTGGCTTTGTTTGTAACCTAGGCCTGTCATAACTTTAGTAAAACTGGCTTTTTTCAACTTGCAAACAGTGTTGGCAACATCTCTACCATATCCCGGAGGTATCTCCATATAAATTTCTTCTTCAAGGTCTCCATGTATGAAAACATTCTTAACATCAAATTGTTCCAAGTTCCAACCATAATTGGTAGCAAGGGACAATATCACCTTAACTGTGTTTATTTTGGCAACCTGAGCAAAGGTCTCCAAATAATCAACTCCATAGGTTTGGGTGAACCCTTTGGCAACTAGTCTTGCCTTATATCTCTCAATTGATCCATCAGCCTTGTATTTCACTGTATAGACCCACTTACATCCAACTGATCTCTTTCCTATTGGTAAGGTGACTAACTCCCAGGTGTTGTTCTTCTCCAATGCCCCTATCTTTACATCCATGGCTTGCCTCCATTTTCTGTCAGACAATGTCTCAGATAGGGTATTAGGTAGAAGTACAGTGTTTAGGTTTATTAGGAAGGTTTTATGGGTAGGAGAGAAATTTTTAAAGGACAGGTAATTTGAGAGAGGGTAGAGTGGTTGTTTGGTGCATTTTCTTGTCCCTTTTCTAATGGCAATTGGAAGGTCAGGATCATTTTGGGTTTCAATTTCAACCTGCACAGTTGGAGAAAAAATTGTTACCTTTTTTTGTGGAGTCGAGTTGGATTCTTGAACATGGCTTGATCTTGGAATGACCTTAGTCTTCCTTGAGTACACCAGTTTCTTACCAAATTTTCCAGCTTCAACATCTTGTTGATCAGCTTCACAATTAATTTCACTTTATTGACCAACTTCCTTTTTTTGACCAATTCCTTGACTTGTTTCATTTGTTACGACTTCAATTTGATCTCGTTTAGGTTCAAATATCAAGTCTGAAAGAATGGGAAAACCAGAATTATTACTTTCAATATGATCTCGTTTAGGTTCAAATATAAAGTATGGAAGAATGGGAAAACCAGAATTACTACTTTCCTTATCTTCCCTGAAACTCTCCCCCTGAAGATAAGGTTGATGGAAATAACCCTCTTGTTCATTGAAGGTAACATCCCTAGACACAGAATTGTTTGGATGGGGGGTGGTAGCATTTATACCCTTTCTGAGTGGGTGAGTAACCAACAAAGACACACTTTAAGGCTCTAGGATCAAGTTTCCCCCTGTCTGTACATTTGAATATGGACATATGAGATGCACCCAAAAACTCTTGATTTAAGATTATTTGTAGTAGACAACTTTGGATAGAAAGATGACAAAGCTTCCATAGGGCTTTTTGATCCTAAGACTCTAGAGGGTAGTCTATTGATAAGGTATGTTGCTGTAAGGACAACTTCCCCCCAGAAATTTTTTGGGACACTTTTTTGGAACAACAATGCCCGAGTCTGATTTAATAGATGTTCATTTCTCCTCTCTGCGACCCCATTCTGCTGTGGTGTTTTGACACAAGAGGACTCATGACTTATATTTTCTTTTTGACAAAAAGAATTAAGGACATGATTGAAGTAATCTTTGGCATTATCTGACCTAAACCTCTTAATATTAACACTAAACTGATTTTTTATCAAGGAGTGGAAGTTTAGGAAGACAAAACTGACTTCTGATTTTTGTTTAAGTAGGAAAATCCAAGTGACCCTTGTACAGTCATCTATAAAGGTGACAAACCATTGAACACTAGACACATTTGGAACATTAGAAGGTCCCCATGATGAACAAGATAAAAAGGGAAATTGCTAATTCTATTACTTATTGGAAAAGATACACGCTTGTGCTTAGCAAGTTCACACACCTCACAATGAAGACTTTCAACATCTAACATGGTAAACAGAGAGAGAAACATAATTTTGATCACTCCAAAAGTGGGATGTCCCAATCGACAAAGATAAAACATGATTTTTTCTCTGTTGGTCATCAAGGATTCAGTATGAAGGAGTGAGATATTCTGTTCTTGCTGGGCATACTTGGATCTTAGAGATAATAAAGGTCATTCCATTCTCTAGCATGTCCAATCATCCTCCCCGAATCCTTGTCCTGAAATACTCAATGATCGTTGAAAAAAATAACTTTATATGACAAATCCTTTATAAGTTTTTGTATAGACACTAGGTTGGTGGACAACTTTGGGACATGGAGAACATCTTTTAAGGTTATTAAAGAATTGATTTGGATATTTCCTTGACCAACTACAGTTATAAGGGTTCCATCTGCTGTGACAATTTTCTTGTTGCTGGGACATGGGGAATATGTAGAGAAGTGTTTGGCTAATGGTGTCATGTGGTCTGTGGTTCCAGAGTTCAATATCCAATAATGGTTAAAAGGTGTATTTGAGACATTTAATCCAAAAGAAAGTGGAAACTTACCTGAGTATGCCAAAGAACACATACATGTAGGTTTTTCCAGCTTACTAAGAACGGTTTTCACCTTTTCTATCTCCTTTTGGTTAAGATGGGCAACAACTTCTGGATTATTTCCTTCATTTGTTTCAACAACAACATAAACTTGTCCTCCTTTCCTTAAGAAGCCTTATCTGTGTCCCCCTTCTCGATCTCGATTTAAAGGCTTCCCATGTAACTTCCAGCACTTCTCTCGAGTATGACAAGGCTTATTGCAGTAGGTACACCAGAGACCATCACCTTTCTTCTCCACATTTGCCGATCCTCCTTTCTTCTGTTTGGCTACCCCCTTTCTATTCAACACTGTACTAACAAGTTGGGCTCACTTCAAATAATTTCTTCCATTTAGTCTATATGTAGAATGGATATTCTCCAGTTCTCCAGATTGTTGGGATTGGATATTCCCCATTTCTGGGGTTGGGTTCACAACTTCCTCTTCCCTTGACATTATAGCAAAAAAGTGCGATGCAACAACAATGTAGGCTGGCGTCTTAGGATTAAGAAAAATGCAGCAGCAATGCAGGCTGCCGTCTTAGGGTTAAGAAAAATGCAACAACAATACAAACTTTCGTCTTAGGGTTTATAGTGCGCAGACAGAACTTCCTAGATCGGAAGCTCTGATACCATCTAGAAAATTAGATTAAATGAAATCTTATTTTATTATTTTAATACAAAGAGATCATACAAGATATATACAGGAGACATAAGCTATTTTAAGAAATATAATAACTCTATTTTATTCTGGATCCCTTGATTTATGGGATTGTTCCTAATTGTTCAAATCTATACAGATTATAAATTTCCTAATTTATTATTTCCTAAAATACTATTTGATTTCCCACACTTTCTACTCAAGAGTGTAATACACACCATGATTTTATTGCAACTTGATCCATCCGGTTTCGACGGGATAATTGAGTCATGTCCACAACACTTTTGTTGTAATGTTCTTATTCACTTTTAGTAATCTAAAGTCCATTTCCAGGCTTCTTTGACAATATATATGTTTATTTGTGGATATTAGTTTGGATACATAAATAGAATCTCCTCCACTTGTTTTATTAATTCAATTGCTTAATTTTAGTACATTACTTCATGAATTAGCCTTTTATTTCATAGGGACAAAAGTCCTATGTTTGTTTGCTGTGGTTCTATCGTGTAACTTTATGCCTCATGTTTCCTCCTGTTCTTCATACTGTTGTAAATTACATTTGGATGATGCTAATTTTTCTTATACATATGCATATTTTTTCTTACCTTATGTTTAGGTTCACTTGTGCATGTCCAAGGGGGAGACTTTTCCAAATTTTCATGGACAACTTGATGTGATAGGGTTGGATTTCCAACCGTTGGATGCTCCATCATCTTTTTCTGTACACTTTCTCTACTCTCCTCTTATGACACTAGAAGTTTCCGTTTTTCTATGTTTGCTATTCCGTATATAGTATGATTGGGCTTGATTAGATGTAATTTGAAAGCAACTCAATTGTTGTACACTCAACATATGTTTTGTTACAGCGTTAAATCTGAGTGATGAACTTATGTACATTTGGTACCTTATCCATCCTAAAAAAACAAATATGAAATATTAAAAAGTGCTATTTATTGGTTAAGTGCAATCACATTACTAAAATTAGATGGATGCTATGATGGACCACATATATCTATTGTGGACCATTATTTACAGCCTTTTGATTAATAAGGTCGATCACCAGAGAATGCAAAGAGGGACAGGAAGGGGAGGGAAATGAATTGGAAAAGAGAGAAAAAAAGGGGCTCTGCTGTCTTAAATCACCTTTAGCGGTAGTGTATGGCAGAATGTAGGATGTTTGAATGATTTCCTTTCTTGTTTCGTAATGGTGCTTTGATTGGCCAAAAAAGTTAAAGGTTTTGAGTGGGCCATTATTATCCTTTTAGTTTGAAAATTTTCATTTATCAATTGTTCTTAATGGGGTTCTCTTTTTTAACTTCATTTTTTTAAAAAATTGAAGAGTAACTTATGATACTTGATTCTTGATCTGTTAAAAATTAAATTCCATGCATTACTTGCCTAAGGGAATCTATCCGAACACAATTGATAAAAGGTTTCATTGAGATCATTGAATTGAGCTGCACCCAAGCTTTGTCGTAGCCGAAAAAATTACTTTGAAATTGAACATGCATGGACATGTGTCATCAAGTGTTTGTTGAATATGTGCTCAGCATGTGGACATGGCACCTAACTTGTGTGTACATACTATCTCTATATAATGTTATATGTTTTTTCATGAATCAAGATTCTGGATAATTTCATAGTTGATTGTTATATGATAACAGGATATAGTTCCAGGATTATTAAGCGGAAGACAATACTTCCTTGTTTCATAAAGAACATGTAGCCAGAAAAAATTGAAATTGCATTCTCTATATGAAAAATATTCCTTTCTGAGTTGCACAATGGGTTTCTGTGATGAGTTAGCATGGCTTGGTAATGTTGTTCAACCAATCCTTTTTTTTTTTTTTTCTATATTTCTTTTTCTTCCACCAAGTTGTTATATGATTTATACTCAATTTACATGGTTCACACTTCCTTGGTGCTCCGATAATTTTAGTTTAGGGTTTTGGGTTTGTATTTGGTAAATGCTTATACAGTGTGCTTCTATTTTATCTGTTTTTTATTACAGATTTGCAACCTTTTTAAATTTTCCTCTCTTTTTTTAGTATTGTGCTGTGAAATGTCTTTTTGCAGGAGATTCCCTTAAAGATATCATAATTCATACAGGACTGAGTGCCTTTGTGCTACCCAAACCCAGGACTAACCTAGGGTTTCTACTTTTAATTTGAGGCTTTTGTTGTTTGTGACTTATTTGCCGGGTTTATACTAGACCCAACCCAATAACAGCCATAAAAAATGAAAAAAGTTGGGTTATATAATCCAACCTAAACTTTCCATTCAGAAAAAACACAAGGTTAAGCTATTTTATACTCGACCCAACCCAGCATGTCTCTCTCACACACTTCTCCCTCCCCTCAGACCTGAGTCACTGTTGACACAACTGTCATTCAATTGTGCTGCGATCACTATTGCAGCCACTGTCACACTGAATTTGTGGCTTTTTTTTTTTTTTTTTTCTTTCTCTTGTATTTTTTCATTCTCTTTTAGTCATATGCAGCAAGGTGAATCAACCATTTTTTTTCTTTTTTTTCTTCTTTTCATTCGTTCTACATTCAGCCCCATTTTTTTTCTGTTATTCTCTTCCCTCTTCATTACAGCCACAGCCAACCTCCCCAAATTTTTTATAATTTATACATCTAGAAAGTTTATCAGCTATTTTCCATCAACTCCAATGGTTTAGAACTTGAATTTGGTAATGTTTTGCTTTGATTTAATTGTTATTTGAAATTCTAGACTTGTTATTATTATCAGTTATATGGTTGTCTTTCATTATCTTTTACATTTCAATTATGTTCATGCTTTCTTTTTGATATATTGTATTGTTTTTTTGCATTACTTTTGCCATAACCCATTATGGCATTCCATATTTTTGTATATTTCATGTTATTCGATAATAATGACACTGGTATTTATCTTCTCAATGAAGTAGTTCTTTTACTGTTATGGACTGCGTAGGCATAACTGTTGAAGACTTTTATCACACATGTGAAGTACTTAGGCACGATGATGTGTAAAACAGGCGCAAGTATTTTTCATTCCATGAAACTGAAATTTGGTTTCCCCTTTTGTTCTGTTTTTTGTATGTCATTGAAGAACATATCAGCAAGTTTATGTTTTCGTGGTCAAAGAATATTTTTGCACAATGCAAGCGGCTGGTTTGGCAGTGTTCCTTTAGAAGCATCAGGAGACTTTGGCATTCATCCTGAAGAAGGAGAGTTTCATCTTATGTGTCAGGTAAGTTTCTCTCACGCATGCTCACAAAAACAAATATTAGCTTAGGCAAATATAATTGCCATTTTGTGTGAGAGTATATTTAGATAATTTGGTCTTTAATTTAAATAAGTCATCCTTTAAAGTAGCTAAGCATTTTTCACTGGTGATTGCAAATTTCTCCTGTAATGCAGTCATACTAGTTTTATTTCCGACTGTGAGGCTTTTTTTTTTTTTTTCAAGAATAAATTATTTAGTTATTCTTTGATGTACGTCTCTGGGGTAGTAAGAATATCTTGTTTGAAAATGGGAGAATGCCCAGAGTGGTCTCTGTACTGTACTGTCCTAAGGATTCTGTATAGTGAGTTCATTTTTCATCATATTCATACCTTATTCAATTTTGTGGTAGATAGTTGTGATGCTTTACATTTGTTCATTATATTTTGTATGGTCAAATTTACAGGTTCCTGGTGTTGAAGTGAATGCTTTGATGAAAACTTTTAAGATGAAACCTCTTCTCTTCCCGGTACATTTCTTTAGTATGGTCCGGTGCATTATTTTTCCTTCATTAAAGTTTTAATGTGCTAGAAATAATAGAGTATCTAAATGTTATTTGGGAATAATCTGAAACTGTATACAACATTATGGTGACTAGCACTATCTAATGCGACAACAATTTATCCCACTAGGTGAGGTGGGTACGATAATCAAATGTCGTGCTCGGCCTAAATGTTATCTACTCTCACATCAGTGTCTCTCTTTGCATCTGTCCAAATCTTAACCTATTTTTGTTATCCTCTGCACAGTGTCACACCAATACGTCTTTTGTAATTTCATGCAAATCATTGTGTATCCCTGTTCCTTATTGTGTGCCCGCACATCCATCTTAATATTTCACTTCTACTTTGACTTTCATTTTCTTGTTGTTCCTTTAAAGCCCCGCATTCACTACCATATGATATAGTTGGTCATATAAAAGTATGATAAAACATTCCTTTAAGCTTGATAGGTATTTTGCTTACACTTGATGTCTTTCTTCATTTTAACCAACCAGGTTGAATCCTATGGGTGACATTTTTATTAATTTCTCCATTTGGTAATTGATAGAGATCCCACCGTTGACTAGTGAGTAATTAGATGGTAAATGTAATGCAAATAAGTAGTGGATAATCCCTCACCTCATGAGCATGGTTTTGGGAATTGAGTTAAGCCCAAATATAAGAGCCTAACCCAGTGACTGCCTTCAGACTCAATGAACCAGTTGTTAGTGGACAATTATTGGACCATACACATATGTTCAATTCTACATTTTTCATGCTAAAATGTCTAGTCATGAGCTAGCTTTTAAGGTTGAGTTAGTCCAAATCTGAATTATGAGAATAATGTTGAAACCCTACTATGTTGTCGATACTGGCAGTGATGCACGACCAATGTTTTTAAAACCGAACTAGTCACTGAACAAGTGAAGACATGGGTGTAGGGTTTAAAGGTTTAATCGAGGTTCAATCGGGTCCAACCGGATTTAATAAAATGATGTTTTTATAATATAACAAGTATATAATAAGTTCATTTGTAACAATGTTTTTCTATAAAAGAAAGAAAAATAATAAATGTTATTACTATGGTAAGCGTAAATTATAATAAAGGTTACAAATATAAAATATATTAGAGAGTGTAAGATGGATAATTGTTAAAATAAGATGAAAAGACGATACAATAACTATTATTTAGAATTGACGTAACTAATATAAGATAAAAAATAGGAAAAGAACTAAAATATATTATATCTTTTATAAAATAAAGTTATATTAAAAAAAAATTTGATCTTTAATTTTTTTTCTCAAAACTGGTTTAATCCAAAAACTCAGCCGGTTTTCCTAGTAACAAATTTGTTTCTAGACCAGTTCCCGATTAGACCGGTTGAATCAGCTGGTCCGGTCCAATTTTCAAAAAAGTGTGCATGACACAAACTGTAATCTATACATCCTTTATGTGGCCGCAGACCTTCTAGTTGTTTTCTGTCACAACTGTCACTTTAGGAAACACTAGCTAAAAAACTAATGGGTCGTGGCTCTCAAGGTTTCAGGATTTAGTTTTCTCATTTAGTTTGTTGCTTCCTGTACCTGGTATATTCATCATTGATCCCCATTTTTATCCAAAAAGGAATATTACACCTATAATAAAATAGGTTCTGGATTCCCCTTTCTGCAACATTCTGGGTTGACATTTCAGCAAGTTTTTGGAAGTATTATGGAATTAGCTTTCTGGAAACATTTTGGATTGTCCTATTTGGAAGCCTGTCGGAAGCTTTATGGAATCACTTTTCCAAAAGCATTCCAAATTTGATATTCTCGGAATGGTGAACTTTTATTCTGGATTTCCTAATTTGAAATATAAATTCTGGATTTGATCTTTTTAGAATGGTGAACTTATATTTCGGATTTCATAATTTGAAACTTAAAGCATGCAGGTGCAATAATTATTCCTAGATTAAGCTTTTTGGAAGTTTTATGGATTAATTTTTCCAGATTGGTAAAATCATCTTTTGGATTTTGTAATTCGAAACTTGAAAAAATTATATAATTATAGATCCATTTGTTTGAAAAATTTCCACATTTGCCAATCTGGAATACTCCAAAATATGCTTCTGGATCATTAGTTCCATAAAATTAACAGGGATATTAGTGACTTTTCAAATAAATATGTAGTGCAAGATGAAAGAGATTTATCATATGTTGGGCCTTTGGCCTCAATTTGAGTCCAAGAGTTGTTTTTTAACTTATTATAATATATTAAAAAAATAAAGCATGAAACATGATATAATATATCAATAACTATATATTAAAAAATATATATTAAAAGTATAAGAAACTAACTAATTGTAGCAATAATAACTATATTAAAAATACTATATAACATAATAACTAAATAATTAAACATTATAAATAATATAATAATAATAGGAAATTTATACACACATGTATAATAAATAAAATATAATAAATATTACTAAACGATATATTTCTCTCTCTCTCTCTATATATATATACATAGATAGATAGATATAAAAAAGTTTCAATAAAAAATTAAATTAACAGACCTGCCATTTGCTGATGACCAGCTTGCATTCTAACCAAAGTCTCTAAGAGGGTCTAAAATTTAATTAAATGTTCTGAAGTTTGGTGTATACAATTTATATGGGTATTGAAGTAAGTGATTCGTATTGGTACAGCTTATTATAAATGTTTTTGTATCTAACTAGCTTTAGTGTTAGGTTAAAAGGCTTGAAGCCTTGTTTGTACTTGTACTGTCCTCTCTCTCTCTCTCTCTCTCTCTCTCTCTCTCTCTATATATATATATATATATATATATATATAGTGGTGGCTTAATACTGATTTTAGTCACTCTTCAAATTCAGATATAAGTCACATGATCATAGCTTTTTCAAAGGTGATAGAAACCATATGCGGATCTGTTTCTTTGCTTTTGGCGTAGACTTTCTTAAGATAATCCAAATTGATTCTCCGCAAGCCTAGTCTTTTTCTTCTTAGTGTTAACTTACGTTCAATCACCTTCAGAATTTTAACATAATTTTATAGTATGACTCGTAAGATTTATCCATCTTTAGTTTACACACTTCTGAATATCTCCTTTGTTCTTATTTGTAGGAAACAAAGTGCTCCTCCTCCACTTATCTTTTTGACATTTTCTTATGTCTCAAAATCTCATTAACTAGCTAAACAGGCAATTGATACTCTGTTCTCTCTCACATTTCCAAGATTCAATAGTATCACGGTCAAGACCAACAACTTTATAATTTTCCATCCTTTTAATGGTTCTTTTCTAACTAGAACTCAAATGCTGCAATTGTAATCCACATTCTGGTCACCCTTGGATTTCTAATCTTTTCATATTATAGGTTGATCCTTGTCTATCATTGAAAAACTTATAAAAATATCTGTTTGATATCATGATATATGATCAAAACTTTGCTTTCTTCATCCTTAATATGTCTTACCTAGTGAAATACTTGATTTCGTTTCCATTTTTGACGTGCCTATGTGTGTGTGTGTATATATATTATCTTATGTATATATTTATTTTCGCAAAATCATTGTAAAACTCATCAAAAGTATTGGATCATGCTTTATTCACAATTTTCCTTGTCTCATTTAGATTTTTGATACCTTGCCCATTTTCTCTTACTGTACCAAGATTCATTACCCTATGTCAAGAACCATGTTGATTTATTTAAGATTACTTTAGCAACCTTCCTAGCCTTCTTCAACATTATATCCCTTTGAGGTTAGAACCAACTTGTGGTTCCCAACTACTCTCCTCCAATAATTAATGTTTATCACCCTTGAGTTCTGTAACCACTTTTTTGCTTAGATTTGTAACTTCAGATTTTTTGTTTATGGCTCATAAAATTAACATTAAGGATCAAGAGACTGTTTTGTAGTGGCTAGTGACGCTCTCTCCTAGGATCACCTTGCAACCCTTGGAAGATCTTTTATTAGAGTTCCTTACCAACAGAAAAATATGCGATCTTGAGATTCTACTCTTGTAATGATTATAAGTTCTGCCTACATTTTAAAACAAGCGTCTTTCCTCATTTAAATCTCAAAAACCATGTGAATGATGGGCATATCTGATAATTGGGATTCAATAAAAGACACTAAATTTACAGTTATTCCAGAATTGTTTAATAAAAGTTGGAACGTAGATTTCTTGAAATTGTAAGTCATCACAGAAAACACTAAGATCAAATTTAATTTTCTTCTTTCTCATAATCTTTTATTGCAGCTAGCTGGATCAGTAACTGCTCTATTTAACTGTCAAGGCCCACTTGATACTCCTGTATTTGTCGGCACTGGAATGGTTTCTAGGACGTTCTCTTATTTACAGACTGAGACCACTGCATCTGTAGCATCTGAAGCACTTGCTACGAGTAAGGAAGCTGGAGCACTGGCAGCATTTGATCGTGTTCCATTTTCATATGTATCTGCTAATTTCACTTTCAACACTGATAACTGTGTAAGTTGACAGGGATAATAATTTAGCATGGGTTGCTTTAGAGTAGTGAGTTATTTTAAGAGTTCAGCTATAATATGGTAACACTTACTCTGCATATTGTAGGTTGCTGATTTATATGGAATTAGGGCTTGCCTTGTTGATGGTGGTGAAATTCGAGGGGCTGGGAATGCATGGATATGCCCAGAGGTATGCTGATGCCTCTTAGAAATCCGTTTCTTTCCAATTGTTTTATTAAACCATAATTTAGATTTCTTTTTAAATATTCTGGATCTAGAACAGCTAGCATCGTGATGCAAGTTGGAGCCACTGTTAAATACTCTCACCTTTTACCTTTTTTGTGTTTTTTCTTGTGGGAGGGTAATTTTTATTAAAATTTTCCATTAGCTTTTGAAGAATCTTGATTTAATCCTCTTCACCAGCTTTAAATGTCTTTTCTGTGACCCAATAAAGTTATAGTCATTCATGCAAAGGGATGATGCTGATACAGTACATGTATTAGTTACAATACATATCGGATATTGTGATACAATTATTCTAAAAATATATTGGATACGATATATGCATGATACTGATAAATATCTAGGTTTGTATAACACTTTATAAAACAAATGAAAAAAGGTGGTTTCTCGATTCAAACCCATGAGCAATTGGTCACCAAGGCACTATTGTACCATTGCACAATTTGTCGGACAACACTAAAGAAAAATAAATTATAAATGTCATTATATTATCATCCCAGCTATGAACAGAATCAATTTCATCCCTTTTTTGGAGATCATCCATAATTCCATTTTTGGTTCATCAAGGGGCAATGCTTCTATGTTTCTATATTGTACATCCTCCTATATATCATATTTTACAATGTTAAATTTTCATAACTTATTTAGAATTTTGTATACCACATATACTTATTAGTAAAGTCTTTAAAAGGGTGGATATGGTGTAAGACAAATGAAAGCATCGGTATTTCATCATACTAATCTGGAAATTAGGTTCTTTCATTCAGTAGTGCATAAAGATTTGTTCTTATATTTTAATTTCCCATAGGTAAATAAATACTGTTTCTAGAATTCCTATCAACTACCCCAACTAATGTGTAATCTATTATTGCCAGGGTGAGGTGGACGAGACAGCAATAGACGTGAATTTTTCTGGAAGTTTGGCCTTTGATAACATCGTGCTTCGTTATATGCCAAGTTATTATCATCATATGCCCCTTAAATTGGGAGTATTAAATGGAGAAACAAAACTTTCAGGATCCCTTTTAAGACCGTAAGATGAACCATTCCAGTTTATAATAATTTCTCTAGTTTTTGGTAATTAGTTTCATTGACTAAGATTTGACAATATTGTTGCTTTTGATGATAATTGATATCATTTGCTTGGGCGGGTGCACGATGTTGCAATAGTGCAATTTTGCCATGGGATCTAGCTGTGGAAACTGGAGACAGTTTATCTGCTCTCGCAGTTTTGGTTAAATACACCCAACCTTTTGTTATATATAATTCCGTTAGTATTGTAGTTAGTTAGGTGGTTGATGGAGTGTTAACTGTTTATAATGGTCCTATAAATAATAATGATGTTTGTGATATATGTGAGTGGAATATAAAATTTCAAATTCAGTACGCGTATATCTTATTCTCGTTACCTTTTCTTCTCTGTTTTTAGTGAGTGTTTAGTGTGTTCTAAGAAGTGGAATCAAAGCTATTTTTTTGGGGACCTGTGTGAGATGCATTCTGCTGTATGAGAAACACTTTCTTGTGTGGGTTTTCTTTCTGTTTTGCAAATTTATTTGGTGTGGAATTCTTCAAAGTTCAGATGTGAATCATGGTGGGTCTAATGGGTCTTTCCCTGCCAACTTTTCAATTCTTGATGGCAAAAACTTTGATCAATGATATATCAAGATGGGTGTCATTTTTGGTTTCGAAGAAGGGCCGGAAATTTTCAAGAAATGGAAGAAGGTGCTACAGAGGCACAAAGGGAAATTCATATGGAGTCTAAGAAGAAATATTACAAAGCTCTTTTCTTTGATCCATTAATGTGTGGATTTTGCTGATGTTGAGAAGATATCTTTGGCAAATTTAACCAAAGCTGTATGATATATTTTGAAAAAGTCACATGAAGTTGTTAATAAAATCAAGGGAGTGAAGCTTCAATCACTTTGTAGACAATGAGTTGTTGTCCATGGTTGATATTTTTATATGCTACAAAATGTTTCAATTATGCTTATTTTACATCTTTTTGCCATTCACTATGAAAAAACTTGATGCCAATTCTTTTATTCTTACATATTTTCTCTTACATTTTATAAAAAAAAATATGCAGAAGGTTTGATATAAAATGGACTGCACCTACAGCTGAAGGGTCTTTCAATGATGCTCGAGGAGACATCATAATCTCACATGACTTTATTACTGTGAATTCTGCTTCAGCTGCATTTGATCTGTATACGAGAGTTCTAACATCTTACCCTGATGATTTTCATGATAAAAAAGAGTTTAATATTCCAAGAGCCGTTCCATTTACCATTGATGGAGTTGAGTTGGATTTACGTATGCGCGGCTTTGAATTCTTCAACTTGGTTTCTGCTTATGCTATGGATTCTCCTAGGCCGTTGCATTTGAAAGCAGCTGGAAGGATCAAGTTTCAGGGAAAGGTTTTAAAACCTAATGGCAATATTAGCGATGAAAATTTTGATGTGACAAGGCAGCATGTACAAATATTGGAGAAAGGAATTGCAGATAGTCTTGTTGGTGAGGTTTCAATCTCTGGTCTCAAACTGAATCAACTGATGCTTGCACCTCAGTTGTCTGGGTTGTTGAGAGTTTCTCCCAAGCGTATCAAGGTGATGCATAAAATTATCTCATACAAAACAATAATTGTAAGAAATTGTGGATTTATTGAAGGTTAACCTCATTGCTCAGCCATCGCATCACATTTTAGTATCATTGTTCATGGACATTGTTTCCGGTGAAGATGTTTGACTTTAATATTTGGAAAATCACAAAAAATAAATTCGTAGTAAAACATTCCTAGTTCAATAATTACTAACCACTCAATTGGTGGCTACAAAGAATGGATTTTGAACAATTACTTACTGACTCAGTCTACTACTCAATTATGTGTCATCTGTTAATGTTGGTCATATTTGTGATTTACTCAACCTTTTTGATACAGTTTTTTCATTCTTGGTGTCTATGTTAAGCAGCTGATAGCTAGCATTTCTTTGTAGCCAGGGTCAAACTCTTCAAATTCATTTGGTATATTGCTGACTATTGATTTGATTAATCCACTAGTGGATCCTGTTATATGGTCATCACTTCTTTGTGTGCAATATATATAATTTGATCTAAAACAAGTAGAGTCCATTCTCCCTCCCCCTCCACCCCTCTCTTTTCCCTTAACTAGCTAGTCATTCACAAAATTTTTTTGCTGTGTGAGACAGAGTCAGATTATCTGGCTCTATTTATTATACACAGTAGTTGTAACTGTCTATTATTTTTGAAATACAGTTGGATGCCTCTGGTAGACCTGATGAAAGTCTTGCAGTGGAGTTTGTTGGGCCGCTGCAGCCCAGTAGTGAAGATGGTCTGCAAAGTGGGAAATTGTTGTCAATTTCCCTTCAGAAAGGTCAATTGAGGGCTAACATTTGTTTTCAACCATTTCATTCTGCTAACTTGGAGGTAACTAAATTTAAATTTTAGGACCACTATTTTCATCTTGATCTGTCTCTGCTTGTAAGATTTAGGTCACTTGGTAATTAGACCTAAAGTTGATTGTGAAAACCTTACTTTAATTTTTTCATGTGTGGCTGGAGCTCACTTGTAGGTACGGCATTTTCCACTTGATGAATTGGAGCTTGCTTCTCTTAGGGGAACTATACAGAGAGTAAGGCATCATATCAGCCTGTTTAAAATTATTTGTCAGTATCTTCCTCGCTTTATGTTGTACTTCTCTTGCACATATCTGGATCACTACGAAATAGGTTCAGTTACATCAGGGACAGTATCTATGTGAGCAATCCATCTTGACATTTGACCCATGATTCTTGTTGAATATAGTGAAACACTAGGTATAGGGTTATTTTTCCTTGTGTCTAAAAATAAACATAGGGTAATATATTTATAATTAAAAGTCATACAAGTAAATATGGAAAATGCATATATTGTGATTAATAATATTAAAATTATCTAACACTCTTCCTCAAGCTGATGCATATAAATCATATGCACCAAGCTTATTACAAATATAATCAATTTTAGGTCTCAGTAAAAACTTGGTGAAAATATCTGTTAATTGTTCACTTGAGTTAACAAACTCGGTTTTAATGTCTCCAGATACACTCTTTTCTCGAATAAAATGACAGTCAACTTTAATAGTCAACTTTAATGTGCTTGGTCCTTTCATGAAAGACAGGATTAGAGCTAATATGAATAATAGCCTGATTGTCACATATAACATTTGAGTGACATCTTCAAACTACAACTCTTTAAGTAATTGTTTAAACCAAACAAGTTCACAAGTAGCTGAGGCCATATCTGTATATTATATGCTTCAACACTTTGTTTCTTGCTCTTCCAAGAGATCAAGTTACCTCCAATAGAAACACAGTATCTAGAAGTAGATCTTCTATCAAAAATAGATCTTCTATCAGAAGGAAATCCTGCTCGGTCAACTACTTGGTCAACATCTGAATAATGGACAACTTTAGCCTGGTTATTGTGATCATATAACAAACCTTTTCCAGGATATCCTTTAGTGTACTTTAATGTACGGATGACTGCATTCCAATGATCTGCACATGGGGAATTAAGAAATTGACTCACCACATTAACTGCAAAGGAAATGTCAGGACGAGTAATCTTTTGTACTTCTCAAGATTTGAGAGAGGCTCCTCTTGATTAGGTAGGAGTTTGGTATTGAGATCCATGGGTGTGTCAACAAATTTTGAGTTTATCAACCCAGTTTCTTCTAAAATATCCAATGCATACTTTCTATGAGATATAACAATACCATTATTCGATTGTGCTACTTCAATCCCTAAGAAATATCTAAGTTTATCACGATCTTTGATCTAAAAGTGGTGACAAAGGTGTTACTTCATCTAGGAGATGCTATGGTGATCGTTCCCTAGAAGAACAATATCATCAACATATACTACTAAATAGATATACCAAACACTTGAGTGACGGTAAAATATTGAATGATCGGCATCACTGTGAGTCATATCAAACTATTGAACAACATTGCTAAAATTTTCAAACAAGGTCCTAAGAGACTGTTTTAGGACAAATAGAGATTTGTGAAGATGACATACTAATCTCGAAGACTCTTGAGCAACAAAGCCTGGAAGTTATTCCATATAAATTTCTTCCTGCAAATCTCCATTAAGAAAAGTAGTTTTGACATCCAGTTGGTAAAGAGACTATTGTTGAAGAGTAGACATGGCTATGAATAAGCGAATTTGCCACTAGAGAAAATGTATTACCATAGTCCAAACCAAAAATTTGTGTAACCTTTGGCCACAAGACGAGCTTTGAGACAATCAATAGTACCATCAAGACCAACTTTGATAGCAAAATCCCACCTGCAACCAACAATAGATTCTTAGATGGAAATGGGATGAGCTTCGAAGTTCCACTATTTTGAAGAGTATTTATTTCATCAAGCATTGCCTTACGCTAACCAGGTTGGGCTAAGGCATCACCTACGGATTTGAGAATTGATACAGAAGAAATGGATGAAAGACAGGTATAAAAAGGTGGAGATAATCTATAGTAACTCAAAGCAGTATAATGAGTAGAAGGATTACAAGTAGAATGTACACCTTTACAGAGAACAATTGAAAGGTCAAACTCAATTGTCGGAGCATGAGGACACAAAGGAGTTAGCACTAGAAGTGAGTCATTTGGTGGTTGTTGGGATCGTTGTCTTCGACTATCAACCTAGAGTGGTGGTGGTGGAGGATCCGAAGGTGGGCTAACAGAAAAATCACACACAATAGGAATATTGACAGTAGCAAACGACGATACACACGAAGAAGTATGACAAGTAATAAAAAGGAAGACTCATTAAAGATGACATGTAGAAATAAAATAACGCTTAAGACAAGGAGAGAAACACTTATATCCTTTTTGTTATCGAGTAAATCCTAAAAAAACACATTTATGTGATTTAGGAGATAACTTATCAAGACCAAGACTAAAATTATGAATAAAATATGTAGATGCAATGACTATAAGACGTAAGGGATGTAGAGGTTCATGAGGAAATAAAAGAGAATGAGGAATTTTGTTATTTAGAACCGAAAATGGCATGTGATTGATAAGATAACGGTAAGAACAACATCACCCTAAAAATATTTAGGAACCTCACCATGAAGTAAAAGATTAAGTTGTTTCAACAAGATGTCTATTCTTGTGCTCAGTCACCCTATTTTGTTGAGGTGTATAAGCACATTAAGTTTGATGAAGAATGTCATGAGAAACCATAAAATGTTTAAAAGAGCGAGAAAGGTATTCACTGCCATTATCACTTCGCAAAGTTCGAATAAAAATCCCAAATTGAGTTTTAATTTCATTAAAAAGGGATTGGAATATAGAAAAGAACTCAGAATGATTTTTCATTGAAAACAACCAAGTACTTCTGGAATAATCATCAATAAAGATAACAAAATACTGAAAACCTAAATTAGTATTAACATGACTGGGTCCCCAAATGTCAGAGTGATTTAATGCAAAAGGGGACGAAGCACGTTGTGAGATACTACAAGGAAATGAACTACGACTATGTTTTCCTAATTGACATAACTCACATAACAAACTAGATAAAATTTGACAAACTAAGAACAAGTTGTAGCAATTTGGCAAGACTGGGGTGATCTAGTTGAGCATGGAGGAGGGATGGAGACTCCATAACTGTGCCAACATGTGTAAAAGGGTGGAGGTGATAAAGACCATGAGACTCACATCAGGTGTCAATCATCTGTCTCGTCTCGAACTCCGATCTTGTAAACAAACAGAATCTTTGGTAAAAGAAATTACATAATAAAGAGAACGAGTTAGACGTCTAATGGATAATAATAAGTTAAAGGGAGACTCAGCGACATAAAGAATATTATCAATGGATAAAGATGAAAAAAGGTTAACCGTACCAACAACATGAGACAAAACCCTAGACTCATTAGCCATTGTAATCGAAGGTAAATTATTCAGAGAGGATAAAAAAGGAAACAAAGATTTGTTTCTAGTAATATGATCTGTGGCGCCTGAGTGAAGACCCTAAGACCCAAGAGAAGGAGATTGAGTTAGACCAACAAAAGATGTTCCTATGTGTGTAGCAGAAGTAGTGGAACTAGAGTTCTAACGATCCTCATTCCATTTGAAAAATTCATTGAAAATCTGCGGTATAAGATGAAGTAGGGTCCACAATAGATAATTGTGAGGGAGGATCAGTTTGGACAACTGCAGCAGATCGAGGAGGACGACCATGTAATGCATAACACCTGTCAATCTTGTGGCCTAGCTTGTGACAATGATCATGATGACAGAAGAAGAGATATTGGAAGAGGCAGCGGAAGAAGTCATGGAGGAAGAGAGAGAAAAAAAAACCCAAAAAAATTTAAATGACGTGTGGAGACTTCGATCACGGCAATCTCAATGGCGCGGTGGTCACCTAGTATGACATGTCTGGTTCTCCTCCCTTAGTAGCTAGCTTTCGAGTGTGGATTCCCCTAGTGCTTGGGTACTTATCAATATATGATAAGAACTTGGACATTATGGGGTGTCCAAGTCTTTGATAGAGTAGTATATCAAAGTTGGTTTTGATGTTGCGGAAAGGACTACCTACGGATGGTTCTGATCAGTGGCGTGTTTTGAGTAATTGGGTGTTTAGGGAAGTGTAGCTTAGTGAAAGGAGCTGAAACATCAACTCTTGGACTTGGGTATTATGGGTTGTGCTCAAGTCAGACATCAAGTAGTATGAGATGTTTATTAGAGTATTTCAATCCCTTATCCACATTCTCATGAACGTCTCCACATTGTTTTGTTCTAGTGAATCAGGCTCATCCTAACCCCTTTCTAAGATTGGCTATCTTTTTTGTTCAAAAATTTTGAAAATTGATGATGACTTGAAAATATAGGTGTATCAGCCAGGTTTATGTTCCTATAAAATAACCAATGTTGTAGTTGTTTCTCCACTTTTTGTGTTGAAAGTGAAAATTAATTGGCTCTGAATTTGATATTTGCTTCAGTGATCATTCCATAAAAATATTTGTAAAATTGTTTGTTAACATTTTCAATATAATTTTTGTTAAACTGTTGGAATTCTTGTTATTGGATACAAGCTAGTTGAATAAAACAAGGATCTTTAAGATGACCCATTAGTTCAATAGCAAGAATGAACTGCCAAGGCCCTGCCTTTCAAATTATTAAGCTATTACAAGAAGGCCAAGGAATAGTGGTTGTAAATAGTGTGTGTGTTGTAAATAGTGGTTTATTGGGATAATAATATCTTTTAGATATCTATATTGATTAGGATAAAATATCTTTAGAACGTTTTTATTATTTGATTGTTATAGATATGAAGACCTGAGAATGTAATTAGTGTGATTATTATCAATAAAATTGCTTATTGTTTCCTTGCGGGTAGTTTGAGTTGATATTAGAGCTCCTGATCTTGGGAGTGTTGTTTTTATTGTTATGCAAACAGCAAAACGAGGATGCTGCTTTTCACCCGTTGTCATGGTTGAGGCCAATGGTAGGTCAGAGAGGTGCCCCACACTGGTGATCAACTAAATCTTTATATGAAAGCCTACTAGAAGGAACTTGATCGTCTTGGAAAGGAACTCACTCTAAGAAAGGAATTTTCATCTCCCAACAAAAATATATATTTGATCTCCCCAAAGAAATGTTAAAGTTAGGATGTAGAACCTCAAGAGTTCCTAATGAACACTATCATAGAATTAGAAGTGAATGGTGACCCAATCCACTTATCTATGTGTCACACACAACACTAGACATTTCTTCTGTAGTTAATGGGGTGAGCCACTTTATATGCATGATCCAGGAGAAAGACACATGTAAGTAGTTGACCATATTCTCTTGTACACCAAATCAAACATAGGAAAGGGGTTGTTGTTGAGAAGTTGTCAAAATCAAGATTATGAGTGGAATTGTAGGGGTCACAAAATCGTAAATCGTAGGATTGTAACACGGATCATTAATCCTACTCTTATATAATATATTAATATGATGATAAAAATAAAATACCAAGTCATATTTACACATAATTTCACCATAAAATAGAAGAAAGAAACCATGTTATGAACCAAGTCTTAAGTTATAAGTATAAATGTTGATGGCTAAAGTCTAAACAATAAATATCTAATATAAATATTTTAAATTAAAATAAAAATTCGAGGGATCTTCAATAGCTTCATCTTACTCCTTTAAAGGTGGGATGCCAAAAACATCAACCTCTTGCTCTTCACTTGGGGTATGATTTTCATCAAAACGGTGTTCATCATCTCCATTTAAATTTTGAACATCATTCACATCTAAATTTTCATCGTCTTCTTCATCATTTTCCATAATCCAATCATATCGGATGAAATATCATCAAGTTCAAATGTTCCAGATGATCTTCTATCTTTCTTCTTCTCAGTCAGTTTTGAATTAACCATGACATAAAAACCATCATTCATAGTTTCTTGTTTCAAACGATTTCTTCTCTCTATGTGAACCTAATAAATATAAATGCAAACATACATATAAGTAATTACTTACTAATTTACTATTTTAATTCTAATTTAATAATTTTTAAAATCTTACCATCTCAAATACTTTCTAGTTACATTCACATCCAGAAGAACTACATGTTAAACTAAGTACGTGAATGACAAACCTTTGAAGTTTTGGATGTTGATTTCCATAAGATTCTCACGAAGTCGTTGGAGTCTTTTTGCCAATTGCTTTAATAGCCAAAAAATGTCCAAATAAATTTTCTTGGTTCTTGAAGTTTTCAAGTTGCAAATCAATTAATGTTGTTTCATAGGGTCAATCACCATCTTTTGAATGCATTGTAATAGGTCAATTTTAACTTTTGTATCACCTCTAAAGTTAGAAGAATAATGTAATTCAGGATTCAGAAGATAGCTTGCAACATGTAAAGGCCTGTGGAGTTGGTTGTCCCATCTTTCATCAATAATATTCCATAAATCTTTGTAACTGTTAGATATTGTTTAGATATTGTTAAGATATTGTTAGATATTGTTAATCACAATATCAAACAATATCTTCCGTTTATTTTGTTTACTTTCAGTTACTCTTTTAGTTGTACATCTCCCTATTATAAATAGATTACCCTATGTGTGATTTATATACAAGGGAGATTAATTTCAAACTGTATTTCCTCTATATTCAACAGTATCTAAAAATTGAAAAATAATAATTAAGTTAGTGTTTTGTTTAAGTTATTCTAAAAAGTACAGTTGAAATTTTAATTTTGAAATTAGTATACCACCTTTTCTTATCACCATTAAACTCTTTTTATATCTTTTCTTTGGTCTAGTTCATTGCCTCAGATGAAACCCATGGCTGATTTATCATCAAAATCTACCATTCTAAGCACTTGTATTATAGGAAATGCGCATTTCAAACATATGATTATACTTTTCCAAAATTCTTTATCCAAAATCACATCCTCAATTGAACTTCCATCCCTTGTATTAGCTTAATGAGTATTTTTCCATTCATCACTTAAACATTCTAATCAAAGGGCTCTTATGCTCCAAAAGACATCCTAATGTTAAGTAAGAGGTGGCAAAGCGAGTTGAGCCCAACTTTAACAAATCTTTTCCATTTGTAAAGTGATGCAATAGACAAATTAGACCCGTCCTAGAGTAAATATAAGTAGTAATTTTTCTACCTTTTGGATTGTATCTTGATGAACAAAGATCTTTTCAAAATCTTCGAGCATCAAGTCAATGCAATGTGTTGCACATGGAGTTCAATAGAGTCTCTTCATTTTCTTCATTAACAACTCACCAACAGCTTTATAATTAGCAGCATTGTCCATTACAACTTGGACAACATTCTCCTCGCCAACTTCTTCAACAATGTCATTCCATAGATTTTGAAAAATAGATTTTAGAAAAATAGTTCCCTTTGGACTCTTTACTAAAAATTTCAAGATAGTCCTTCTCTTGTTAGTCTATCCATCAGTGATTATAGTGCAACTTGTTTTCTTCTATGCAGTCTTGTGAACTTCTAAAACATGTCTTGTTACCTTAAGTTCTTCTTTCAAGTACTTAACTCTGATTTTATGGACCGAAGGTGGCTTAAATCCTGATCATAATTTGAAACTAAAGCAAACATCCTCTTAAATCCTTTGCTCCTTTTGACATTTTCATAGAAAAATTTAGCTACATCTCTACAAGTTCATTTGATTAATTGTTGCTTGTGAGCTCATTGTTCTCTTCTTGAAAATATTTTTACCACTGCCAACATCTTCTTCCTCAACATCAAGCCTTGTGTTTAAATTGATATTTGTTGATGACCTACAACAATCTCAAACATTTCTCTTTTACTTCATCAATCACACTTTTGAAAGCAATTACATCCTTTTGAGTTCGTGTCAAGTGGTGCTTCATGTGATAAACCCTGCTAGTTATGGTCTTTTGACAAAATTTTCTTGGATCTTCATCAATACATATTCCATGCTTCCAAGCCAAGTTCGTTCTTTTGCCTGAAACTTTGTTTGCCATTTTCTTAAATCGAATATTTTCTAAGGAGAGAGTTTCATCATTAGAGGGACCATTAGAAACCCAAATACTAGTGGATGACATTATAGTAATATGCAAAAGCTTAGTGTACTGTGAAATATGAACATAGTAAGCAACAACAATTATTATTTTTTGCGGAACAAAAACGTGTTTCCACCATTAGTAAGAAGAAAATTTATTTGTAGAAATTTTATTTGGTGCAAAATATTTATACAATGAAGGAGAAAACAAAATTGAGTTATGAAAAAATGAAATAGAGTTGATTGCAGGAGAATCAAACAAAAACAGTACCACTTATATGAAGAAAATGCACACGGAGGTGACAATAGGGAGAAGAGAGCAAACACTCTAGGAAAAGTTGATGACCAAAAAAGAGAGCAAATCATGACACATGAAATGAAAAGATTGTTCTTTAATAGTTTTGAACACAAGGAAACATAACATATTACATGAGGAGGGAATACCAACAGTTTTTTTATTCCACTGTTTTGAATGCAACCCGTGACCCACGATGCAACCCCACTCGCAATGCAACCCAACTCACAATAATGCAACCTAGATAGTGATTCTACGTTTTTTCTGATCTTGGATGGTGATTCCATACTACATTGTTTCGATCTTGTGTGGGGATCTGAAACGGTGATGGGGTGCATGAATTCCACAATTTTCTTCTCAATTTTGACTATAGTTGTTTTTGATGAAGTAAAACACTTTGAAGTATCAAAAGTAGGATAGAGTACCTTGTTTTGTATAAAAGTTGAATTTTGAGCTCTTGCTTAAGGTATGTGTGAAAGATTCTGATTGAAAAATAATTCTGGATGACCTTAAAATCAAGGAAGATATCCTTATGTAGTTGTACTATGACAACAAGTTAGCCATGAGTATTGCCCATAACCCAATACAACATGATTGGATTAATCATATTAGAATTACTACCATTTCATCAAAGATAATCTTGACAAAGGCTTTGTGGTTACAATTCATGTCCTTACTAGAGTTCAGATAGTAGACATTTTCACTAAGGGACTTTTTGTGGGCAAACTCTGGATCTTGTTAACAAGTTGGGAATGAATGCTATTCATTTACCATCTTGATGGGGAGTGTTGTAAATAATGGTTTATTAGGATAAAAATATCCTTAGAATTTTCTTATTTATTTAAACATTTTTTTTTCCTATTTTAGAGGGATTGATTGTTATTAATACGAGGATCTGAGAATGTGATTGGTGTCATTTGTTGTCAATAAAATTATTTTTTGTTTCCTTGCATAGTTAAGTTATGTACATATAAAACCCATACTACATCAATGTATATTTAGAGAAGAGATAGACAAGTAGAATAAAATAGAGTGTGGAAACTCTAATGTGCAAATTTGACTTCGATCAGTATTTCTTCATCTTTGGTCCCATTTTTTTTTAACAGTCCTACTTGAATGATAACCTCTTGGTTGAGGCATTACTTAATGGACATGTCATAGAAACAAGTGTGATATTTTCCAATTGTCTGCTTTTTTTTATATCAGGCAGAAATCCAGCTTAATATTCAGAAAAGAAGAGGACATGGAGTCCTTTCTGTACTTCGGCCAAAATTCAGTGGTGTGCTTGGTGAAGCCCTAGATGTGGCAGCTAGGTGGAGTGGAGATGTTGTGAGTGCATTAGACCATCTTCATATATGTTTGCACATAAATTTTTGTTACCTGTTAGTTTACTTATTGCTTTCTAGGTAAAATGAAATTGTCTGATAGCCTGTCCAGAGTTAATAATGAATGTGGTGTAGTGTTCATTGGTGTAATTCTGCAAGTTTATGTTCTTTTTTAAGTTTAAATTATGACTTGCACAAAGTTATTAATTGCAACGCTGATTTTTTTTGTCTAATACTGATCCCCAATTGGTGCATTATTGTTCAGATCACTATTGAAAAAACTGTTTTGCAACAAAACTACAGTTACTATGAACTTCAAGGTGAATATGTGTTGCCTGGTAGCCGAGATCGTAATCCCGCTGATAGAGAAGGCGGCCTTATAAAAAGGCTAATGTCTGGTCATATTGGCAATGCTATATCCTCAATGGGCAGGTGGAGAATGAAACTTGAAGTTCGAAGAGCAGAGGTTGCTGAGATGCTTCCCCTTGCAAGGCTTCTATCACGAAGTATGGATCCTGCTGTTCGATCAAGATCTAAGGTTGTATCACTATCATTATTTATGCCTTATGAAGTTACATATATTCATCATAGGCAATTCAGATGCTTTGCTAATGCTTTAATGTTTGTGTAAATATAGTAATTAAGGGAATTGTATCTTTGTATTTATTGTGTTACATATATTCATCATAGTCATGATTTGATTAGGCATATAGTTTACTGCATGTGCCTGTTTATTTTCTCTCAACATATTATCCAGAACATAAAGAGAGGAAAACCAAAACCATGCATGGCTGATGTACCCACTGCCCACTGTTGACTTTATTGTCAACTGGTTTGTTGACCTCTCTATACTGCATCAGTTTTCAGTGGATAACTGTCTCTGGCCACTGTTAATCACCTTTGTTTGCTTGGTCATTCACTAAATACCCATCCACAAAGGCAACACCACATGCTCTTGACATCACCAAGGTTTTGCATCTCCTCCAATGTATAATTGTTACTATTGCACATGGTAGTGAATCTGGCTGCTGGCGTTATTACACTCACCTTGAATGCCCTGATAGAAAACTGATACACTGATTTTATTGTGGAAAGAGTAAAGATACATAAATGAATACAGAGACTCTGTTTACAGAAAGAATATATACAGAGATTTGTTACAAGAGTTAGTTATAACTGTCTAACTTAAACGGTTACACTAATAAGAGAAGAAACTATGCTAACTGCCTCAAATAGTTACAGTAACTTCTATTGAGGTGTTAACATTTTGGATTTGATGATCTAACTCACGGCTGGTATCTACTCTTTCCAGTTCCAATGCACCAAAGGACACTGTTAAGAGATCTCCTGTTGGATAGGAATATGGCCTGAATAAGAATACTCCTCATGAGACGTGGGCATTCTTAGGAGTGAGTTCCTGGTCCATTTCATTGGCCAGAATAAAAGTTTATTACATTGGGCATATCACTCCCAGCCCAAGCCTATTTCAGCCTACCCTTCTACACACCCTTCTTGCTTCTGTTCTCTCTCCATACTACAAACCTCCCCTCCCCCCGATGGTCTGTTGTCAGGTTGGCAGGTAGCTATCTCTCTCTCCCGTGTAAAACTGATCAGGTGCAGCTTACCTTTTACCTTTCCTTACATACACCCAAGTAATCGTTGGCATAGGGCCTATATTCTGACTTCAATCATGTTGAGAATGTGTTTAGTAACAAGATATAATCTAGTATCTTCCTCCAAAATCCAGTATTCATCGGTATAATCTTTTTCTTAAGGAAAACTGATTATGCATGTTTCTACATTGTGTATGCAGGATTTCTTCATTCAAAATTTGCAGTCAGTGGGGTTATACACTGAAAGCATTCAACAACTGCTTGAGGTATTGTAGAAAGATCGCCAAGATTTTCCTTCCTAGAGATGCAATATTCTATGCCTGAATTTGTCACCTAGTGTCTTTTGATTTATTATTTATTGATAACATTAATTAACCCAATAAAATGCGTTGAAAAAGTGTATTATTTTTTTTGGCTATTTTCAATGGTATACACGACTTGCAGACAGTGAGGGGGCTTCATGCTCCATCAAATGATGTTGTTCTTGAAGATTTAAGCCTGCCTGGTTTATCTGAACTCAAAGGTCACTGGCATGGATCTCTTGATGCTAGCGGTGGGGGAAATGGAGACACCCTGGTAAAATGTTCAGTTCTTTGTATTCTTGTGAGTTGTATGAATAAACCATTTTTAATATTGACTTTCTTATTCTGTTATTTCAGGCAGAATTTGATTTTCATGGTGAGGACTGGGAGTGGGGAGACTACAAAACTCAGCATGTGTTGGCAGTTGGTGCTTACAGTAATGATGATGGTATGCACCTGGAGAAAATTTTCATCCAGAAGGATAATGCCACTATCCATGCAGATGGAACATTGCTAGGGCCTAAAACCAACCTCCATTTTGCAGTCTTAAATTTTCCTGTTAGTCTGGTCCCAACTGTAGTTCAGATCATTGAATCTACAGCAATGGATGTTGTTCATTCTCTGCGACAGTTGTTGGCACCCATTAAGGGTATATTGCACATGGAAGGAGATCTTAGAGGAAGTTTAGCAAAACCAGAATGTGATGTGCAAGTAAGGCTACTTGATGGTTCTGTTGGTGGTGTGGATCTTGGAAGAGCCGAAGTTGTTGCCTCTCTAACCTCAACCAGTCGTTTTCTTTTCAATGCAAAATTTGAACCTATAACCCAAAATGGTCATGTACTCGTTCAGGGTAGCATTCCTGTTGCATTTGTACAAAATAACACATTACAGGAAGATGTAGAATTAGATAAGAGTCAGGTTACTTGGGTTCCTGATTGGGTGAAGGAGAAGAATAGAGGGACCGTTGATGATGCTACAGAAAAAAAAGTTAGTAGAGATAGAAATGAAGAAAGTTGGAATACTCAATTAGCAGAAAGTCTTAAAGGACTAAATTGGCAAATTTTAGATGTTGGAGAAGTCAGGATTGATGCCGATATAAAAGATGGGGGAATGACATTGGTTACTGCTTTATCTCCTCATGCCAATTGGCTTCATGGCAATGCAGATTTGAAGCTTGAGGTTGGTGAAATAATATAATTTCTCTCAAATATTTGATATTTAATTCTCTGAATCTTTTCATATGGGTTGACTTAATAGGTCAGGGGTACAGTTGATCAACCAGTACTTAATGGACACGCCTCTTTCCACAGGGCATCTATTTCTTCACCTGTGTTACGAAAACCATTAACCAACTTTGGTGGAAATGTTCACGTGCAATCAAACAGGTTATGCATCACCTCGCTGGAGAGTAGGGTAAGCCGAAAAGGAAAGCTTCTTGTGAAAGGAAACCTGCCACTCAGAACTAGTGAAGCAGCCCCTGATGACAAGATTGAATTGAAGTGCGAAGTTCTAGAAGTACGGGCACAAAAAATATTAAGGTTGCTTTCATAACATCTGTAGATTTCTTAAGTTTACTTCTTGGCTTATTAATGGATGAAGAGGGGTTATGTGAGACTAAATCATAAATATTATTGATTTTTGGAACAGCATCTTCCATCATCCCCCTGCCTCACTATATATAGTCTCTGTTTAAGCGGATGTTTTACTTTTTTTCAGTGGTCAGGTTGATTCTCAGTTGCAAATAACTGGTTCAATATTGCAACCAAACATATCTGGGAATATCAAAATAAGTCAGGGTGAAGCATATTTGCCACATGATAAAGGTGGTACTTCTGCTTCGAATAGATTTCCATCCAATCAGTCTGGGCATCCCACTGCTGGTGTCAGTCGTGTGTTTGCTTCAAGATATGTTTCACGATTTCTCAATTCGGAATCCGCTCCTTCAAGGGTGACAGTTTCTCAATCCTCTGGTTCTGGTATTACTTTGCATGTCTTTCAATTTAGCCTGTAATCTTTTTGGCTTATAATTTGGTGCTGAATGATCTGCAATAAGAATGGACTCCCTTATTATTCATTGAAATTGAAAAGCCATTGCTTCTCTTTCCACAAATTTAAGAGCGCCTACCACAAATTTATAAAATGAAGGATCTTCCATTAAATCATAACCTTGTTTAGAAAGTTTACAACTTGAAATCATACAAGAAGATATTGGTTTAGCCTCAAGCATGATAGTTTAGGAAAGAAGATCCTTTACATATTTAATTTGAGATAGAAGAAGAAATCCATCGGACTGAAGATGAAATTTTATACCAATAAAGTAATTGAGATTACCAAGCTGTTTGGGAGAAAAGATCAAATCCATCTTCTGAATAAGACTTTGAAGAAAAGGAGTGTTTCCTATGATAAGCAAGGGTTACAGTTGCTGTCTTTGAAACTAAATTGCAGTAATGTTGTTTTTGAGACAATCAAACCATGCACGTGCAACTTGTTTTAGTCTATAAATTGCTATATGAATTCTACAAACAAGAGAGGCATCAACAACTTCAAAACCTGGTGGTTGAACCATATATACGTCTTCTTTGATAAAATCATTAAGGAAAGCATTAGGAACCTCTAATTGAAATGTAGACCACTTGTAAGTAAGAGCCAATGTAAGAATAATTCGAATAGACATGGATTTAATGAAAACAAAGAGATTCAGGAAGCTAAATGTTATTGATTTTTGTGGTATGTAAAACTAAATGATACAACTAGGTATTTATAGGTTCAGAATGAACTTTATGAAATCCTAACATTAATTTCTGTTGAAAGTCCCACATCGCCTACCTCATGTCATTTGGTGTGGTTTAAATACATGTTAGGCTACTCCACATATAGCCAATTGGTTTTATGTTGGAACCTTAACATGGTATCAGAGCCAAAGCCTAACATCTTTGCGGTTATTGTCATGGGCCAAAAGTTTCCCTTTAGTTGGGTCAAAAGTACCTTTTGCCTAGTCCGGCAGGCTTCGTTGGAGGAGACGTGTTGAAAGTCCCACATCGCCTACCTCATGTCATTTGGTATGGTTTAAATACATGTTAGGCTACTTCAGATATAGCCAATTGGTTTTATGTTGGAACCTTAACCATTTCCTATAATCAAAATAATAACTATCGAAGATATCTGCAAAATCAAAATATTCCAACTAACATTTAAACCTATTATTTTCTATTTAATTTTATCCAACAAAACTCTTCCGTAAAATTAAATCCCTCTTTAGCTAATTGAGATCGTGAGATCGGTCACAGACCGACTTGCCAACTACTTCTTCTGACTAAGAGCTTCTTCCATCTTTCATCCTTCATCCTTCTCAGCTTCTTGTAATTCTTGAACAACACCAAAGGCAATGATTTCTTGAAGATATCAACAACTTGATATCAGTTTGCCACATGCATGAATTCCACATTTTCTTCCTTCACGTTTTCTCTGATGAAATGAAACCGCTCATCAATATGCTTACTCCTCTCATGGTTGATCGGGTTCTTTGCTATTTCAATGACCGACTTGTTATCAACTCGGATCACCGTTGCATCGAGTTGCTTCTCCTACATCGAGCTCAGTAAATTCTTGAGTCACACTGCATGACACACTCTACGATACTACACCTAACAACTCTTAATCTCTTTTCTTCTGACTAAGATCGGTCCAAGGCCAGCCTAAAAAAATTTTATCTCTATCGAATACCTGTTTCACACTAATAGCTCGGTCATAACTTGACAATTTGATCAACACCAACGTGTCGTTGTGTTCTATAACTCAGATCTTCTCATTCATAATAGCTCGAATCTTCTCTTCAATAATAACTTGGATCTCCTCGTTAATAACAGCTTGGCTCTCGTTAATAACAACTTGGCTCTCGTTAATAATAGCTTGACTCTCGTTAATAATAGCTCGAACCTCTCGTCCACGACAACTTGGATCATTTTGTCCACATCAGCTCGGATCTTTTTGTCCTTAACAACTCAAACAGAGTCACTTTGGAATCTATTGCTTGGACTTAGCTCGGACAAGTTCATCTTTGGACTCGAAAGAGTGAGAAATCCATAATCTATCGACTTTGTTGTTTCTTCTTCTTCCCCGATTTTTGAACTTGTGACTACTAATGGTGTAGCAGCTCGACCTTCTCTATCATCCTCCACCGAGTCTCCCTCTCCCAATTCCACTCACTTGTTTCATCAACTCGGACATCATGATGAGCATCATAATTATCATTATGAACCAACTTGGTTAGACCACAAAATTGCAGGTGACCAAATAAATGATCTTTCTTCAACGTGTCCTTTACATTTAATTTTAGACTCCTTTCTCGAATGCTTCTCAGTTGCAACTTGTACATTCTATTCTTTCCCATCTCTACTCAAACAATCAACCTTCCGAACTTGTCCTTCAATTGTAGTATTCGGTCTTTTATGAAAATCGAGTATCATTTCTCCATCAGTTGTTTCATTCTCAAAAGGTTACTCTTCAGATTTGGAACATAAAACACATGCTAGATTGACCTGACTAGGCTATCCTTTTGCAAGAAACAAATACTATATCAGCTTTTTACCAAGACCTCTGAACCATCTCCAAAAGACACATGATTGCCCTTAAATTTTTCCAATTTGCTAAATAGGTGTTCGTTCCCACACATGTGGTTACTTGCACCCATATCCAGATAATATACCGACTTGTGATCAGTATCTTCCTGAACACCATCATTGTTATTTCCCGTGTTAAGATTGTCCATCAAAATTATTGCCTCTTCTGAGTTGTAATCTGCTCCCATGTGTATTGTTGAGTTATGATTGACTTTCTTGTTAGTTGCCGAGTTGTACTCGACCATCAACAATATTGCTTCTTCAACTTCCGCCTCTTCTGTGAGATAGGTCTCTCCCACCTGTTTCCTAACTTGGTATTCTTTCTCAAAATGTCCAACCTCACCATAATTATAACACTTGTCCAAGTAACAATCCTTTGTATAGTAGTCATATTTGTCACACTTAAAGCATTCAACATTATAGATCGGTAACCGACCTCCTCTCCAACCACATCCACTACCAAGCCAGTTTTGTTGATCTCCTTCTTCCTTTTCACCACCTTGGTCTCAACCATTACGCCCATGCCTTCAAGTGTTCTAAGAGTAGATAGCTTTCTCACCTGTCTCACTCTAGAGCACTTGCATTGTTGCGTCCTCCTTTTTTTTCTTCTGGTGTTTATAGACTTCAAGAGAACCGATCAACTTTTTTATTGTAAGCTCAGATGAGTCCTTTGCTTGCTCTATCCCACACATTACATTCTCAAAATCATTGATTAATGATCTTAAGATCTTTTTTCCATAATTTGTTCTATGGGAAACGTCTCTCCATTCTAATTAAGCTGTTTCACTACGTTTTCAACACGCAAGTCATTGCAGGTGGTGGAGGGGGAGGAGGAGTGTTTTTTGAAGCCATGGATCATAATATGGCTCTTGATACCATATTGAAAGAAAGAAAACAAGAAATATATATTGATACAGAATGAAAAATTGCCATCAGTAAAATTCATATGATTCTATGTTACAGACCTATATATACTAAATAGAGAATTACTAACTATTAGTTGTAACTGAACACAAGTACAACGGAGAGGAAATATAAAAAAGAAATATCTCTCACATTTATTGTCTATATTTCTCTTTTATGTTTTTCGTTAATTATAACTATTTATCAACAACTTAGTGTATGTTTATATATATAGGTTTGTAACATAGAATTATATGAATTTATTGAATCTACTTTTTCTTTCTGTATCAATATATCTTTCTTATTTTCTTTCTTTCTATAGTCATCAATCTCCTTTATTGATTTTTGGTCCAAGCTCAAAGTGGGCAACTCCTCTGCATTGCTCCTGTCTTGAGCCTGTGGGGGTATTAGGGTAATCTATACTCTTGATAGCAATATAGTCAGCTAAGAGTATGTTAGTTACGGTTCTATTAAGGATAGCTATCTTCTATATATTGTTGTATCCTTTCTCATTGTAAACCACTTTTTATAATATAATTCTTCTCAGTTTACATCTATCATTCTTTTGTGTGTTTTTCTATTAGGTGGTAGTGTCGATTTTGTGTATAACTGTGTGAAATCAAATAGTATTTTAGGAAAGAATAAATCAGGAAATTTGTATATTTCCTTGTAATCTGTACAGATTTGAATAATTAGGAACAATCCCATAAATCAAGGGATCCTAGCATAAAATAGAGTTATTATATTTCCTAAAATAACTTAGGTCTCCTGTATATATCTTATATCATCTCTTTGTATTGATATAATAAAAATCATATTTCAGCTTAATCTAATTTTCCGGAAGGTATCGTAGCTTCCGATCTAGGAAGCTCTGTCTACGCGAAAAACCCTAAGATAGCAACCTGCATTGCCGCTGCATATTTCTTAACCCTAAGACTAGCAGCCTGCATTGTTGCCTGCATTTTTCTTAACCCTAAGACTGGCAGTCTGCATTAGTGCCTGCATTTTTCTTAATCCTAAGACGACAGATCTGCATTGCCGTTGCATCGCACCTTTTGCTATAATGTCAAGGGAAGAGGAGATAGAAAGGGTGAAAACCGTTCTTAGTAAGCTGGAAAAACCTACATGTATGTGTTCTTTGGCATACTCAGGTAAGTTTCCACCTTCTTTTGGATTAAATGTCTCAGATACGCCTTTTAACCATTGTTGGATATTGGACTCTGGAGCCACAGATCACATGACACCATTAACCAAACACTTCTCCACATATTCCCCATGTCCCAGCAACAAGAAAATTGTCACAGCAGATGAAACCCTTATAACTGCAGCTGGTCAAGGAAATATCCAAATCAATCCTTTAATAACCTTAAAAGATGTTCTCCATGTCCCAAAGCTGTCCGCGAACCTAGTGTCTATACAAAAACTTATAAAGGATTTGTCATGTAAAGTTGTTTTCTTCAACGATCATTGTGTATTTCAGGACAAGGATTCGGGGATTGGACATGCTAGAGAATGGAATGGCCTTTATTATCTCGAAGATTCAAGTCTGCCCAGCAAGAATAGAATCTCTCACTCCTTCATATCTGAATCCTTGATGACCAACAGAGAAAAAATCATGCTTTATCATTGTCGGTTGGGACATCCCTCTTTTGGAGTGATCAAAATTATGTTTCCCTCTCTGTTTACCAAGTTATATGTTGAGAGTCTTCATTGTGAGCTGTGTGAACTTGCTAAGCACAAACGTATATCTTTTCCAATAAGTAATAGAATTAGCAATTTCCCTTTTTATCTTGTTCATACTAATGTATGGGGACCTTCTAATATTCCAAATGTGTCTGGTACTCGATGGTTTGTCACCTTTATAGATGAATGTAGAAGGGTCACTTGGGTTTTCCTACTTAAACAAAAATCAGAAGTCAGTTTTGTCTTCCTAAACTTCTACTCCATGATAAAAAATCAGTTTGGTGTTAATATTAAGAGGCTTAGGTCAGATAATGTCAAAAATTACTTCAATCATGTCCTTAATTTTTTTTTGTCAAAAAGAAGGTATAATTCATGAGTCCTCTTGTGTCAAAACACCACAACAGAATGGAGTCGCAGAGAGGAAAAATGGACATCTATTAAATCAGATTCGGGCATTGTTGTTCCAAAAAAGTGTCCCAAAAAATTTCTAGGGGGAAGTTGTCCTTACAGCAACATACCTTATCAATAGACTACCCTCTAGAGTCTTAGGATCAAAAAGCCCTATGGAAGCTTTGTCGTCTTTCTATCCAAACTTGTCTACTACAAATAATCTTAAACCAAGAGTTTTTGGGTGCATCTCATATGTTCATATTCATAGTACAGACAGGGGGAAACTTGATCCTAGAGCCTTAAAGTGTGTCTTTGTTGGTTACTCACCCACTAAAAAAGGGTATAAATGCTACCACCCCCAATCCAAAAAATTCTTTGTGTCTAGGGATGTTACCTTCAATGAACAAGAGGGCTATTTCCATCAACCTTATCTTCAGGGGGAGAGTTTCAAGGAAGATAAGGAAAGTAGTAATTCTGGTTTTCCCATTCTTCCAGACTTGACATTTGAACCTAAACGAAATCATATTGAAAGTAGTAATTCTGGTTTTCCTATTCTTCCAGACTTGATATTTGAACCTAAACGAGATCAAATTGAAGATCAAATTGAAATTGTAACAAATGAAACAAGTCAAAGAATTGGTCAAGAAAAGGAAGTTGGTCAAGAAAGTGAAATTAATTGTGAAGCTGATCAAGAAGATGTTGAAGCTGGAAAATTTGGTAAGAAGCTGGTATACTCAAGGAAGACAAAGGTCATTCCAGGATCAAGCCATGTTTAAGAATCCAACTTGACTCCACAAAAAGAGGTAACAATTTTTTCTCTAGTTGTGCAGGTTGAAATTGAAACCCAAAATGATCTTGACCTCCCAATTGCCATTAGAAAAGGAACAAGAAAATGCACCAAACAGCCACTCTATCCTCTCTCAAATTACCTGTCCTTTAAAAATTTCTCTCCTACCCATAAAATCTTCCTAGTAAACCTAAATACTGCACTTTTACCTAATACCCTATTTGAGGCATTGTCTGACAGAAAATGGAGGCAAGCCATGGATGTAGAGATGGAGGTATTGGAGAAGAACAACACCTGGGAGTTAGTCACCATACCAATAGGAAAGAGGCCAGTTGGATGTAAATGGGTCTATTCAGGGAAATACAAGGTTGATGAATCAATTGAGAGATATAAGGCAAGACTAGTTGCCAAAGGGTTCACCCAAACCTATGGAGTTGATTATTTGGAGACCTTTGCTCCGGTTGCCAAAATGAACACAGTTAGGGTGATATTGTCCCTTGTTGCCAATTATGGTTGGAACTTGGAACAATTTGATGTTAAGAATGCTTTCCTACATGGAGACCTTGAAGAAGAAATTTATATGGAGATACCTCCGGGATATGGTAAAGATGTTGCTGTCAACACTGTTTGCAAGTTGAAAAAGGCATTATATGGGTTAAAACAGTCCCCCCGTGCATGGTTTGGCAGGTTTACTAAAGTTATGACAGGTCTGGGTTACAAACAAAGCCAAGGGGACCATACTTTGTTTTTTAAACATTCGTAGTCAGGGGGAGTAACAATATTATTGGTGTATGTGGATGACATAATATTAACTGGAGATAATAAAGAAGAGCAGCAATTATTGAGCCAATGCTTAGGCAAGAAATTTGAGATCAAGACCTTGGGAAAACTAAAATATTTTTTGGGAATTGAAGTTGCCCACTCCGAGAAAGGGATATTTATATCTCAGCAGAAATACATCACTGATTTGCTCAAGGAAATTGGTAAGGCAGCTTGCAAACCTGCTAGTACCCCATTAGAACCAAACCTAAAGCTTGGAAATACAGAAGAAGATGTTGTTGTTGTAAAAGATATGTACCAAAGATTAGTGGGCAAACTTATATATTTGTCGCATACCAGGCCAGATTTGCCTATGCAGTGAGTTTAATTAGCCAATTTATACATAGCCCAAAGGAGACCCATTTACAAGCTGCCCACAGAATTTTACAGTACCTTAAAGGAACTCCAGGAAGAGGGATTCTATTCAAAAGGAATGGTAATGTGAAGCTTGAAGCCTATACTGATGCTGATTATGCAGGGTCAATTGTGGATAGAAGGTCAACTACAGGATATTGCACCTTTCTTGGAGGAAATCTTGTGACTTGGAGAAGCAAAAAGCAGGGTGTAGTGGCTCAGTCCAGTGCTGAAACAGAATTCCGAGCCATGCCACAAGGTATATGTGAGTTGTTATGGCTTAAAATCATCTTAGAAGACTTGAGGATAAAGTGGGAAGAACCTATGAAGCTCTATTGTGATAATAAGTCAGCAATCAGTATAGCCCACAACCCAGTGCAGCATGATAGAACAAAGCATATTGAAGTAGACAGACACTTCATCAAAGAAAAGCTTGATAGTGGCTTGATATGCACTCCATATGTGTCCTCTCAAGACCAAATTGCAGACGTTCTTACCAAGGGACTGGGCTGCCATAATTTTGAGAAGATTGTATCCAAGCTGGGAATGGAAAACATCTATTCACCAGCTTGAGGGGAAGTGTGAGAAATCAAATAGTATTTTAGGAAAGAATAAATCAGGAAATTTGTATATTTCCTTGTAATCTGTACAGATTTGTATAATTAGGAACAATCCCATAAATCAGGGATCCTAGTATAAAATAGAGTTATTATATTTCCTAAAATAGCTTAGGTCTCCTGTATATATCTTATATCATCTCTTTGTATTGATATAATAAAAATCATATTTCAGTTAATCTAATTTTTTCCAGAATAACAATCCACTCATTCTACAGAATCTGCTTAGGTCCAGAATTAGAGTCAGAGTTATTCTTCTATATGTTGTAAGCTGACTGGCTGCCAGTTCAGTATAGTTTGTTTCTTAGTTAAAGCTGTTGTTAGTTGTTGTCAGCTCAGTAAATATAGTGTCTTAGTTACTTAAGCTGTTGTTCACTGTTGCCAGCTCAGTAAAGTCTGTTAAGGCTTATTTTTCCTCTAAAATGTTAAGAGCATGTTTATTTTGAGAGAGGAGAATAGCTATTTTTTATTGGGCCATGTCATTCGAATTTCCAAGTCACGAATACTATCAAATTTCTTTAACAAATTCTGCTTGAGATGTTGAATACTATCATGAAAATATTGGTGTTTCTCTGCAACCAAATCAGGCCCAAAAGCACCCCATATGTTGCATTGCTGCAACAAAACAAATGTACTAATCATATTATGTATTGCTGAGTCCAAACCAAAGCATTAACTTGGAAACGATGCTTCCAAAAGAATCTCTAGGAGACAAGGGTTTAAAATTTACAAATTTCAAATATTTTAGACTATTTTTTACCATGTATCATAATTCATAATAAGCCTCAGGAGATATACCTGGGTCAATCATTTGATTGCTTGATCTTCTACTTTTGCTTATGCTGTTCATAATTTAGTTCAGTTCATTATGTTATATCATTCACAATGGTTGTTTGTACATATTATGATAGCTTCTTTCCTACAAAATCAACAGTGGCAGTTAACAAATCAACTCAGGTTGAAAAGCAGATGGAGCAAGTGCAGATTAAACCAAATGTAGAAATCTGTCTCAATGATTTGAAACTTGTGCTTGGACCAGAGTTGAAGATAGTTTATCCTTTGATTCTTAATTTTGGAGTAAGTGGAGAGCTTGAGTTAAATGGTCTGGCCCATCCCAAATGGATAAAACCTAGAGGCATACTGACATTTGAGAATGGTGAAGTCGATCTAGTTGCAACACAGGTATATGTAACATTTTATTTTTGCGACTTTGGCAAATTGTACCCTGCAGTGTGGTTTCTTTGAGGCTAGTCTTTTTTGTTGTCTTTGGTGTTTATTAACTCATTGTTTATGTTCATACAATCCATTTCAAATACAGGTGAGGTTAAAACGAGAGCATTTAAACATTGCAAAATTTGAGCCTGAGTGTGGACTAGATCCAATGCTTGATTTAGCTTTGGTTGGATCTGAGTGGCAATTCAGGATTCAAGGTAGAGCTAGCAATTGGCAGGACAAACTTGTGGTAACCTCAACACGTTCTGTGGAACAGGATGCACTCTCACCTACTGAGGTAAACATATTCTCATATTATCTTACAAAACCAATTTGGAGCTCTACATTCAACTATTTAGTCTACGCTGATATTGTCAAACAGGCTCATGTGAAGTACCTATAGATAGGATGATATTGTTTAATAATTACACTTGTTCAATAAGATTTGCTTAATTTTGATCTATTTATAGTATAAAGCAGAGATGGAGAGAAATTGAGATCTATTTTTTGTATTACTGAATACCAGAGTTTACAGAGAAGCACATGTATATAGAGTCCTAGAGTTGGTTATATGTAACCAACTCTGTAACAAAAAGATACAAATAACAGCTGTCTATTAACATTGACGAACCACTAACAAAATACTGAACTATTCATGTCAGAACACTAACAATTTAAAATAATAGCAAAATAAAAAAATGAAAAAATTATTTAAATTGAGAATCACAAATGAAATGAAAACATGAAGGACCTACCCCTCAAATGGCTTTATTTTCGCCTATAAAGTTTGTCAGACTCCTTGCTTCCACGCTATTGAATTCTTTTCTGTTCTAGGTAAATCCTTGCTCTTCAATTCTGATATAAAAATGTTACTTTTTTTTATTATAATCGTTTCTGTTTGCAAACTCACATTTCTCTAACATGAATATTGATAAATCAAATATATTCAACTATAAGAAATCAAAATTAATTCATCTCATAGAAATTACTAACAGAATGTAATCATGTAAATGTGCAAGTCATTTTCGTGATATAGAAATTAACTTGAGGATATTCAGTCTATTTTACATCATTATTTGTATGTTGTTAGTATTGGATTAGTCCGTAAGCTGATTAATCTCTCAAAATCCCCAGTTGGAACAAAACACTTGGAGCCTAGGACTCTTATGTGGATTTTAATATATTAGTGATAATGTTAATAGTTTCATCTGTGAAAATCAGCATCTTTGTGATTTGATTTTCTGGCAGGATGGTTCTATTAATTGTTTATATATCTATGCAGGCTGCCAGAAGGTTTGAGAGTCAGTTGGCTGAATCCATTTTAGAAGGAAATGGTCAGTTTGCTTTTGAAAAGCTTGCAACTGCAACTCTGGAAAAATTGATGCCACGAATAGAAGGGAAGGGAGAGTTTGGCCAGGCTAGGTGGAGGCTAGTATATGCACCTCAGATTCCCAGTTTAGTTTCTGTTGACCCTACAGCAGATCCTCTCAAGTCACTTGCCAGTAATATATCGTTTGGTACAGAAGTTGAATTTCAGCTTGGGAAACGTCTTCAGGTAAATTTTGAATTCTTTTCTACTTTTTTCACTTAGAAACTGTGCCAATATTAAAGCTTGCAGGTTCCTGCTATCGTTTTTCTAAAGCAATCATTTTTTCTTTCAGGCTACCATCGTTAGGCAAATGAAGGAGTCTGAGATGGCAATGCAATGGACATTGAGCTATCTGCTTACAAGTCGTTTGCGAGTGCTCCTGCAATCTGCTCCATCTAAACGCCTTCTCTTTGAATATTCTGCCACATCCCAGGATTGACTAGCATCTCAAAGTAACATTTGCAACTACATCCCCACAAACCCACCCACATAGAACTGTATCACTGTTAATGGTAGCAATCTGGAAATGCGTTCTGTAACTCTCGCCTTGGTAAAAAGTGGCAGCTTAAACAAATCCACTTCAAATTTCCCTTTCATGTTATGTTCGAAGGGACTTTTGGGATGCTTTTTGAATGTGAAAAAGGTAGTGTATAGATGCATATTATTTTTTGCTCAGATTGAGCCTGTTAATATGTAGATGCTTAATCCATGAATATTTCAGCCAGTAGTTTTGTACATAGATTCAATTTTAATGAAAAAAATTATAGCATGATTGTTTCATGAAGCTATGCAGCATGAATATTTCAGCCAGTGCTTTACTTTTCTGTATCAGAACCCTCAAACTAACTTGCATCCTTACTTGTCCAATTTAATCTCTTGATTGCGTGCAGTTCATGCTACATTTGGAATTCTTCTAATAGCCGCTTTGAAAATTTAAAATGCTTGTAATTTCACAAACATGTATTGTAGTAGTCTCTGAAGTGATCAATCTGAACTATGGCATCCAGTGACTTAAATGAGAGATTGGAAAAATGCATTTTGTGTTTGAAGATGGTTGTCATTGTAGTTAAGTTTACTAATGATAGGTCCACATTTACATTTTTCTCTACAATTTCTAATTTTTCGATTTTCCTTTTTGTGGAACTCTAGTAACTTACTTATTAAACTATAATTTTTTATAATAAACTTTTTCTTCAATTATTTCTCGCCTTTAATAAAATATTTATTTCCTTAATCTTTAAATTGTTGTGATTTAAGGAATCAATTCCATTAATAATATAATTAAAAATAAAAATTAAAGTATTTAAATAAAATCTAAGTTTATTTATTTAATTAGACTTCATTCTAATTTATACACCAAATTTTATAATGAAAAATAAATGTCTAATATAATATTTTATTTCTCTTTATTTATTTTTTATTATTAGTTTTTTATTCTTATTTAATATTTGTTTTCATTTTTTCTCTGTACCCATTTTCTATTTTTCTCTCGTACTGTCTTATTTATCTTATTATATTAAAAATTGATAAAATAAATTTTTTATAATTTTTGAAAAATGAAATTATTAAATTATCTAAAAATATTATACGATAAATTTGTGATATTATAAATGTTATTATTAAGTTATAATCATTTAGAAAAAAATTTAAATAATTTTTTTTAAATTACCTAATTTCACTAATTATCGATACTCAATTTAGTTATAACTAAATTAAATTACTAATTAAAAATATATTTAATTCATAAATATTTGATATTTTTTAATTAGATAAATAATTAGTTTATTATGATAAAATAATTTTAAATTAATTATTTATTGTCACAATAAATAAAATTATATAATATCATCATAAATTTAAATGATTAGTTGATATTTTTTAGTTTAATATTGATTTAAAAAAATAATTTAAATATTTTTATTAAATTTTAATCCAGTAGTTTTAATTAAAAGAATAAGTTGGAGGAGGATGAAGAAATAATAAGATAGAAAAAAAATAAACGAAGAAAGAGAAAAAAAATATGAGAAGAGAAAAGAAAAGTTATACGTGAATCTAAATTGATCTATGAGTAAATAAATTAATAAAATTTTAAAATATAATTTATATAATTGATTTGTGATTTAATCCTGATTTTGTTAAATTTATACAATTTAATTCTTTTGTGGAAATTGACATAAAACATAGTATTTATGATTAGTGAAGATTTAAATCACCTGCAAAAACCGTTGTAATTAGTTATAGCTAAAAGGCTTCACTGTTTAATTTATAACTAATGAAATAAAAAACCTAAATAACTAAAAATAATAAAGAATATATTATAATATGTATTATTGGAATAAATTATTGATTTTTTTATTTATGTCAATCAAATTATTTGTCTGAGTAAACATCCTTGTATTATACTTTATGCATAAAATTAAAAAGTGATATGATATCTACACATCTCATTATTTATTTATTTTATCAATTTTGTGATCATATTAGTAAATAATCAATTTAAGTATTTAACTCTTTTTCAAAATCAATTCAATTTGATTATTTTCCAAATTAGCTCAATGTCTAGTAACCATTTTATCTGGCACTATTTAATTTTCTCAATTAATACATTTAGTTTAAAAAAACTATAACTTTAATATACGGACAGTTTTAGCATCACTATGATGTCATAAAGATCTTAATATTAATTAATATAAATATTAAAATTAATAATTTTTAATCTAGTGCTGATTTTTATTTTATTAAATTTATAAACTACATATCTTTATTATTATTATTATTATTATTATTATTATTATTATTATTTTATAAAACGCTTACTCATTATTTTCTACTTAAATTTAATTGGTGATCATCTAAATTTGTATATTTAAAAATTAATATATTTTAAAAATATAATCAACCCAAAGTTCCTTAGATTAAAAAAAGTGTTGCGAGAAAATAAAAAGAAAAAAAAACTTATTATTAATTTGAAATTAAAATAACATAAACATGAAAGAAAATATATTTTTTAAATAATGATAAAAAAATAAATTAAAATTAAATATTTATATAATTACAAAATTAGTTATATAATTGTTATTTTATTCTTTTATAAATTTAATAACTCTTTAAATTAATAACTTTAAATTGAAATTTATTTTTTAATAATATATATTTTGATATGTAAGTACCGTACTTTAGTAATTTAAAAGAAATAGTAGTTGATTCGAGTAAAGTTTGAAGTTTTTTTACCTTTAAGATAAAAATAGTTAAATAGAAAATTATTATGTTTTAAACTTTAATTTTTTAAATAATCACCTTTTTTAAACTTTAAATCATGTCACTTCTCTTTAAAAAATTTATATTTAATTTTTATTTTTTTCTAGATTCAAGTACATTATTGTGCTCTTAGCGGCGAGGAAAATATTTCTGATAAGATTTTAGAGTATTTCTACAAATTTGGAGTTAAGGTTTACATGTAGGCATTCGAGTCTTGCATCTGACCTTGGTGGGGAAAAAATGAATCTTGACTAGTTGATTTGTTAATTGGAGTTTTCTGTGAAGAGGATCTCACTTCCTAAGAAATTGGGAATTTGTAGCTTTCAAGCTTAAGAGCACTGAAATTGGAAGGTAAGGGAAGGTAGTTGTTCTTTGATTTTCATAGTACTAGGTTAGAAGATATGGACTATGGAGCATTGCTTTTTTTTTTTTTGTAGAAAATTGAGTTGTATCTTAAATTCTTATTGAATAAGTTAAGTTTAGTGTAATGATATATATAAATTGTTACGGTATGATAATTATAATTGGACTATATATGACATACTTTAAAAGGAAATTAAGTAATTAAGTTTCATAAGATAGTATTTGATGTCTACAGTGTAGTTTAACACGAGTTTAGCAGATTTGTTATCTACATATTTTGCTCAAATGATAACTAGTTGCTCAAGTGAAATATGCATAATAGAAAATTATATCCTCTTTGGTGCATTTTCGCTCTAGCGAAGAAAAACAGTGGAAGAGGCTTATCTCGAGTGTCTTTCATTCAAGCGAACAAATTTTCGCCCAAGCAAAAGTGAGTCTCGCTTAAGCTAGAAAAATTTTGCTCAAGCAAAAATTTTCCAAAAAAAGATGATTCTTGAATATATTTTCGCTTAAGTGACAATACTTTCGCTCAGGCAAAATTTCTTATAATTGTTTTGTCCAAACTTCTAAAAATCATAAAAAATAGTTTTTAATTCTAAATTTAACATTCTATATATGCAAATCGAAGCCCTAAAAATCAAGAATCCAATTAAATAAGAATTAGTTTAAAAAAATATTTGTAGAAAAAGTTATGCTCAAAAAAATAGATATAGGTCAAATCCCACAAATTCATTCTTTGCTTAAATGTGAGAAATATCATGTGATGTCCTTGTATGTATGTTATGTTTGTGATGAATTGATGAAAGTTAATGTAGTAGTTTCCAAGGAGAAGATATTATGTTGAAATATAGATAATATATTGAATTTGGGGATTACAAAGAAGATACTCTATTGATACTGGACTCATGTAGAGAAAAGTATTAGGTGGTGAGAGTTGAAGGAGATCTTTATGACTTAGTTTATGAACATATTTCATTTATGAACCTATGTTGGAGATATCCACTTAGGGAAGTTAATGTAACATGTGTAAATCTCTGAGTATAAATTCAACGCATGATAAGAAGAATCTTCTAGAAGTAGAGTCAAGTGTCTATACTTGTGAGTGTTAATGTATGATGAATATGATATGTAACTTACATTTTGAGATATTAGATACTTAATTTATTATATAGTGATTTTTTAATTATTTATTCAGATGTAAATATTAAGAATATTTCGTAATAATTATATGAATAAAGGATTTTATCACTAGTTTACCCTAGTTTGTATGGTGTGTTAGTTTGAACTGCAATGAATGTGTTACTATACGTGAACAAATAATATTTTAGGTGATCAATCTCAACATTGAGTTGCTGAGAAAATGGAGAGAAAATATTACATTTGATTTATTTTGTTTGAAAAAAACAATATATAGGAAACTTATAAAATATGATAATTTTTTTTAATACCTATACACGTGATTTAAAATAACTTAATGTACTTATTTTCAAAAGTATTTTAAATTTTACGTTTCCTACAGACATAACATGATACATAGTTATTTTAAAATAAATAAAATAATATTATATTAAATATATAAAATTATTTATCTGATTGCTTATTTATCGTATTCTATTAAAATAATATAATTAAAAATCGATAAATATAAATAAAAATATAATTATAAAATAAATAGTTATTTATTAAAAAATAATTTTATCAAACAATTTTATTTTATATTTTTTTTATGTACGAGTGAAAAATAAAATTCATAATTAACAATTAAAAATAATATTATTCTTTGTCAGTCTTTATCTACCTAATAAAAAAATTTCTTTCTTCCTACATTAGTTATTTCTCCATTTCCTACACTTTTAAATAATTTTTAAAAAAATATAGATTAATGGCCTTAATTTGTTAGAAAATGATTAAATGTACTTCTGTTGATTAAAAAAAATGAAAATTTAATATATGTTGATTTTTTTTTTGAAAATTAAAAGGCTTTCATTACAATAAATTAAAAAAAAATGTAAATATTTCTTTTTGTGGAAAGAAATGAAATGCATAATTGTTTTCTTTTGTGACAATAACGTAGTATTTCATTATCATCAAAATTTTATGTCAGTGGTTTGTCACAAAAATTATCTTGTGATGAAACACTTTCTATGACACCAAAATAAACGAAAAATTTATCAATATTAATTATATTATTTCTAAGAATTTGATTATAAAAAATAAGACTTTTTTGACAAAATAAATAAAAATAGTTTTTTTTTTCTTTTTCTTCTCACATTTTTTTTTCTGTCTCACTCCCTATTATAATTGTATCTCCTCTTCAAATTCCTCATTAAATTTGGTAAAGAATGATAAACAACGCTGAAACTTGCAAAATTAAACTTAAAAAAATTTATATAGTACATAAAATAATTAAAAAATATATTTACAATAATAAAAAATAATTAATTTAAAATTATTTATCATATTAAATTCATTATTCTTTAATTAAAAATATTATCAAAAGAATTTGAATATACTAACTTAAAAAATTAAGAAATTAACTAATTATATAAATTAAATTTAAATAATTTTAGTAGTTTTTAGTATAAAACTGTTTTAATAAAATTATAAATAAATACTAAAAAAATATAAAACATAGGTTTTTTAATAAAACAATATATAATGGATAAAAAATATAGGTTTTACATAAAATAATTAATTTTTATATTATTATATTATTATATTTTAATGGATAAATATAAATATTGTATAATTTTAAATTATACATATAACTAGTAAATATAGATGTAATTGAATTTAAATAAATTTTTTAAAATAATTTTTTAATGAATAAAAGTATATTTTTAACATATTTAGAGTTTAGAATTTCAACCCATAATTTAAAAAAAAGTTCAGATTACATTTTCAATCGTCATAATATGATACAGTATTATTTACTGGATTAAGAAAGTATAATTTTCAACTAATTATATAAATAATTTATCGAAATATTATATTTATAAAAATATTATTTATTTATTTTTAAACATATATTATAATATACACCTTTAGTAATATACCATATCAAAATAAATTGACTCAATTTGATCTCATTTATTATTAAATTTAATAAAATAAAATCAGATTTTAATAAATAAATATTAATTCAAATAAACAAACCTATAAAAATTGAAAACGAAGAAAAACTTCTTCATATTCTACAATAAATTTTCATTTATATTTTATTGTTATTATATAAATATAGTGATTGATTTCTAACCAAATCACAATTGCGCAGAGAAAAAGAATTGAACTTCTGTCTCAATCATTTTATCGGTGTTTTCTTTCAATCACGGGATCTCCAGAAGTAGGGTTTCGTCATTTCGTATTTACTGGTTTGTTCCCATTTTTTCATTTTCTTTCTTTTCTTTGTTTTCTGTGCAATTCAAATCGCAGTATTATTTACCATTTGTTGCTGATAAAAAGGCTAAATGATCAAATTATTTTTTGGAGTTATAGGGTTCCAATCAATACTTCTTTGGATCCATTTATCGCTGCAAATTTCATGTTCTTTTAAATTGTTTCAAAACTTTATTGAAGTTTAAGTTTAGCTTGATCTTGCTGGTGTTTGAAAAGGGATCACTGAAAAGTGAAATTTTAAAGCTTTGTTGTTTTCTCGGAATAAATTCTTGATCTGATCCTTTTAATTTCTGTATGAGTGCTCCATCAAGGAGGGTAGAAACATATGTGATTGAATCTATGTACTTTAACATGCATTTATTAAAAGGGTTAGAATAAAATTTAATGATTGAATCACCGTTGATATATTGTATTTTGGCTCTGTAGTTTACTGATGTAGAGCTTGTTCAATCATACTCTACTTTCAGATTTGAAGGTTTGGATTCTTTCTTGTATTTTAATAGATGCCCGAAGAAAATAATTTACCTTTTGATTTACTTTAGCTTCATGTTGACTGATTTCTCTTGTCTGTGTGGGGAAAGGAAGATCAAGAAGAATAATTAATCTGCATCTGATTCAACTCAATGAGGCCGCTATCATCGTCTTTGAATCCATATGCAGCCTCGTATGTTCCTCTCTCTAAAAGGGGGGCAGATGGTAGAACAACTTTGACAGAAAAAGATTCCAAGAATTATGATGGGAATGTTTGGTTTCAGACTCGTCAGGATGCCACAAATGATCATCAACTTATCAATTCTAGCTCAGAAAGGCTCTTTAAACCTGAATCTTTTCCAACAAAAAGCCAGCCCGCTTCAAGTTCTTATACTTCATCATCTCAGAGTGTGGCAGAGGTGACAGAAAGTCAACTGCTAGCTGAAGAACTGGATATGGATTTGGAATATCTTAGGATTACATATCCTGGCATATCTTATCAGTCCCTTGTAGATGTCTATAATGTAAACAATGGAGACTTGGATGCTGCTATTGACATGCTCAGTCAACTTGAGGTATAGTTTTTAAGTTATTAGTTCATCCAGTTCCTCATTTTTATTCTTCCAATTAATTAACTGACAAAAAAGCCTTCTATCTTCATATACGTAAACGTAGTCAAATATTGACTTACATTCATGCTGTGTAAATGTTGAATCAGGTTTTATACTGTGACACTGGACTGGAAATTTGGGTTAAATGTGTAATAAAATGTTGATGAAATAATAAATTGTTTCCATTCCTGTGTTTCCTGAAGATTGTCTCTCCAGATGACAATGGATAGAAGAAAACGTTTTCCATCTAATGGTTGTTGAACCTTATGTGATATGAGATTTCCATGTCAAGTTTTTTGTTTTTTTTTCTTTTCTTTAAATACCACTTTTATTCCTGTTTACTGTGTTTGATACTTCTTAATTTTCATTAACAATTGGTTTCCTTTTCTGTTTCTTCCCAAATGTATAAATAATTATAGGGGTTTCATGCAATGTGATTTAATTTCACTCTCCCCTCCCCGGTTATTTTTGTTTGTTTTAAGGAGCAGGATTATTGAAATATTACATATCATTTGCAGATATGAATGTTATCATGTCTAAAACCTCCTGTGCCAATTAATGTTAGTTTAAAAGTTACTGGTATTTTGGATTGATAGAATTATCATAGTTAAATTATGTCAATCAAACATTCAAAAGGAGATACTTTTAGTAGTCAGGCCAAGTGTTAATGGATCTCTTTTGAAATACATTAAGTTGCAAACCAAATTTTGAGGTTTTTCTGTATTTTGTTTACAGTTAGAGGGTGATGAATCTTCTGGAACTCTTCCAGAGACACTTGATATTGGTGATGTTTCAGAATCTGGCTTGCCAGCTGATTCTACTTCCTTAAAACAGAAGAATGTAGCAGAGGAAACCAGCACTTCATCTACTCAAATGGCATCAGGCGATGTCTTATGAATTGGTTTGTCATTCACAATTTGATTGTTCGGATAAAAAATAAGTGTAAAAATCAAAGTATTTTACTTATAGGATGAGATGTCTCGATCATCGATTTAATGGTTTTGTATAGTTCTCAGCTTTGTTTTTGTCATTATGGTCTGAGATGTTTTCTTTTGATGAGTTGCTTGAGCAATTGTGCAATTTGGAACCCCCTTTTACAATTGCATGAATTGGAGGGTGAGAGGTAAAAGAAAAACAACATATATAAGTGTAGTATCTTGATGACTTGTTTGCTGGATTGTATCATGCCGAGTTAACTTGGGCTTTTGCTGCAATAGTTATATACAACATATTTTGTTGTCCTTTAGCTGCAAGAAAAGACTTGCCTCATCCAACACGAACTTTGAATGTGTCACAACAAATACAATTACAAACAATATATATATATATATATATATATATATATATATATATATATATATATATATGAAAACATTTTAAAGTGGGAAAAAGAATATAGGAGAATAAAAACACAATATACAAGCATTTTGTGGAACAATCTTTCTAAGCTAAAAACAAAAGTGTCCAAACTTAAGTTCATCATTTTACAAAACAAAGTTATTATTTTTACTTCATTGTATTCTCTCATTTGTTATATAAATATTTCATTCTCAAGTTGAGACGGAAGAGATTTACGAAAGTGACATAAATAATACTTACATTTGATTGAATAATCTCATTCTTCTTATATTGAAAAGATATAATTCAAATTTTAAGTAAATCAATATAAATTAAGTTATTCTTTCTTTAAATTTGTAAAATCGTAGAAGTTGAGTATTTGTAGCTTGCAAACTAATAGTGTTTTAAAAAAATCAAAAGCCAAGTTTAAGTTTTTAATTTATCCACTAACACCTTATTCAATCTCCCCTTATGCCGTTGACTTATATCATACAAATATGATAACTTATTTTGTAATATTTTATTTTACTTTTTCATGATATTTCATACTTGTATGTTAACGATGAGTATATTCATTCACTATGTATTTTATTTAAAATAAAATAAATAAACAAATGAAAAGATGGCTTTTTAATAAAAATAAATATTAGATTATACCACGGAATTTGTTTTTATCGTATATTGAATAATTCCGCTATATATGATATGCAACAGAAAAATGTTTCTATAAGATAAATATCAAGAAAATGTTGAGATGTTGTCAAGAAAGACTTCCCACAATTCCAATTCACCTACCTTACTAATGCATACGGCTGCAAAGATAATGTTGATTGTGCACTTCTAGAGTATGTTAGTAAAAATTTAACTGTCATGTGTTCAGTGTAAATTTTTAATTTTGGTAAATATCCAAGTAGTTCGGCTTCAATTATTACTAGTTCTCCTGCTGTTGCAACATTAAATTCCTTAATTATTCTGCCATTAGATTTTTTTCTATTCAAATAACACTCAAAATACATCAACGAGGCTAAAATAAGGGGTACTCTGCAATGAATTGGCTTTAATAAAAATAAATACAATAACAGAGACTGAGAATAGCCAATTGATGAAAATGGCACGGACTTCACGTTAATATATATATTCCTGTGACTCATTTACATGAAAATGGCACCATACGCTTTGATTCCGATCGTCAATACCACAGCTTATGGCCATGATGAGCGTCCCTTGAACAATTAGTTGCAACACTAGACTACAGAAGGGGATGCCTCGTACCGGCCACCGTAAAGTTTCAACATGAAAAGGAAAATACATCAACAAAAATGATATGGAATGGATGACCCCAATCAAGCATCCTTCCAAAGAGGGGGAGTGCATAGAAGAAACTTTACAAAAGTACAAAGTATGCATATATGTATAAAAGGGGCTTCAGATTATTTCGTTTTCATTGAGAAGGCCATCTTGTTGTTACGAGAGAAATGCAGTTTATTGTGTAGGAACCCACCATTGCCTGTGCAAGTCCCAACAGTTTCATAAATAGGTGATTAGTTCTTTCTCTCTGGTAACTTGCCAGAGGAGACTATCCAGTTCTCAAGGAAAATGAGAGGGCCGATCCAATTGTGTATTTGTATATAACTGGACTAAACTGAGGAATTGGTGAGACCATTCTCAATCCTGCTCTCACTCCGATGTTGGCTGGCATCTTCTCCTGAGACCAATCCTGTTACATTCTCACCAACATCATTCTTGCAAAGAGGGCATAATGCATTTATCTTCAACCATTTATCCACGCAGTCTTTGTGGAAAAGATGAGAACAAGGCAATTCTCTCAGCTCATCATTATTCTCATACTTTGCCAGGCAGATGCAGCAAACCTGTCGAAAATTGAAAGAAATTCCAGGATTTTCTATCATATGCAGCAGACAAACAAAAAAATCTCTTTAGGGCTACATGCTCTTTTTAGGTTCAAACACTTTACAATATAATGAATTCAGTACCAAAAATGAAATAGCAGTCTAATTCAACACAACCACACCAAATCAAACTTCTTTTACCTATGGCATGGATGTGACACCTACAAATAAAAATTTTATGATACTATCGCAACTAAATAAGCGCTAATTGGGTGAATTAATACTCTCCCAAGAGATGCTTAAACTATATTACTCTTCCCTCTATTTTATAAAATTATATATTCTTTTAATAAAACTGAGAATGCTAAGACACTACCATGTTGTTTGTCATCCCAAGTGTTGCCAAAATATCATTAAAAAGAAGAAAATACAAAAGTGGTGGGGGACCAATTTAAAATTATATTATTCTCCCTTATATTTTTAAAACGTATATTACTCTCCCCCCTATTTTGGAAAAATCCAACCCCTCCCCCCCACCCCAAAGAGATTAATGAGTGCTAAGCTTATAATTTTAATGTGAATGAATGGGCAATATTTTTCTGCAACTCTGTATCATCAACAGCTAGTTTGAATCCCTAGCAATGAAGCTGCAAAGCCAATAATAATTGGTAATCAAGATTGCATTACCATCTTCTACAGAGATAGATATAAAGTCTCATGTAAAGCCATGGGATCTGTTGGCAGTCGTTAGCTGTTAAGAACATAGAATTCAGTTACTTTACTGTTAACAGTAACGGCTTTAGTTGCCCCCCAAACAGGCCTGTCAGCTCATATATCATTGTACCTCTCAGATTTTACAATCTTTTGGTAAGAAATAATACAATTTTATAGTGCATAGCTTTTCTCTCCCATTCTCTATGCCCAACAGGTCTCTCTTTTGTGATTTTCTATCATTTATTCAGTATGATTGAATTTTAAATTAGTATCAGTTGAGTTGGAACAATGGCTCCTCTCATCACTCACACAGATTTGCTTCCACGAGTTGTGTAGACTGCACACACTTGGAGCAAGGCAACTTTGGGAAGAAATTAAAACTTCTTCCACACAACTTGAGTCAAGGGTCAAAGTTGATATCACAACTAAGAAATACAAAGGGAGAAATATGTATGAATATCTATTGTGTATCCAAGTTCTTGATATTCATTCATCTCAACTGGTTCTGCAGTTTCTGTTCAAGAGCATTTCGATGTTGTTATTTATGGTCTTCTAAGTGTATTCAAATACTGTGTCACTTCAGTCAATAATAGAGTTGATTCTTGCACAATTGATGAGATAGAGTCTCCGTTCCTCACTCATGAAGTTCAATTGAAAAGGATCAAGTTGGCACTAGGCTGGATTAAATGTCCATAAATGTGGTTGATACTGAATTGTCAGAATTTCCCTCGGTCTTCCACTACCTCATCACACTTGTACTCTTCTCAAGGCCAACAATACTCAAATTTCTCCAATTTCAGATGACCAGGACATTGAGACCAAGCTGGTAGAAATAAAGAAGGCCATGGTGAAGATTACAGAAGTTCTAATCAATGTCAACTGTTGGAAAGCTTCCTTAAGTGCGGCCACCTGCCCATTTTAATTATGGCCTCTTTGGTTTTCTTTCATAGCAACTTCCATCACCTTTATTTTGCAGGAGCGGCCATGTTTACTTCGTCATCCCTAGAGATACAGCATAAGTAGCACTTCTTTCTAAGGCTTTGATAGTCCTTACCTTACAAGTTAATTTTGTGGAGTTGAAATAGATATTAAAATCCAAATTTTAAGATGGTATCAAAACCTGTCCTAAATCCATTGTTGGGCCACCCATGTTGCTGAACTCCAGGTTCATAATCATAGGTATGCGCAGCTGTATTGAAAAAGTTGCCTTAATTGAAGCCTATTTGGTCTACATCATTGTATTTTGTGAGACAGTGCTTAGTCCCATATCAGTTAGAAACATGACTTAAGCAATGCTTATACCGCTTGGTCAATCCTCATCATACAAATAAGTTTTATAGGATTAAATTAAGTCTAAAGTCAAAGACAAAATGTGCAATAAGCTAGGCCATGATGTTCATCATCCTTCAGCAGATTATGTTCTTCCACCTCATAAACATGGCCTAATGATTTCAATCTCCAAAGCCACAACATTGCAGAGGATCTAATTCTTAAGTTCTGTTTATAGAAGTATGGCCAGTCCGATGTAGAACACATTCAGGATTCAATTTTTACAGACTGAACCCAGTCTTTTAGTTCCATCTTTCAGTTCCTTCGTGAAAAGGTTCAAAAGAAGTCTCTTTTGTCTCAAGTCCTTGATGGAGAGCAAGTTTATGTGTGCTCATCAAGTCACTCTCTGAACTCAGATTTCACCGTCTGGGAGATGAGTGGTTCTTTCCAATTCAACCCGTGTTTGCAGGGGTTATAATGGATATATACAGTCCTCTCCTTGGGTAGATGTATTGTCTGTCAGCAGTTGTTGATCTGTTTGGATTCAGTTATAGATACTGTTAACTGTAACAATTAGTTCTTCAGTGCATAGCCGTCAGCTTATGTATATCATTGTATTCTCACAGATCTTGCAATCTAAGTAAGAAAAAATACATTTCTATAGTGCATACATGTACATCCCATCTTATACAAATATACCTTTCAGATCCCCACTAAACTACACTACAATCACAGTGCTGTCATGCATGATTTACAACTATGATCATCCTCTTTTGTTCATCCAGCATCTCATCCTTTCCCCCATTATTCCCACTCTTCCATCACTATTACAAGGAAATGTATGTTTTATAAACATGGCCTGGATTGTACCTCTTGTTAGAAAGTTGAAACCTTCAAATCACTCTCCCTTTTCTCATAACCTGTCATACGATGCACTCTCCACCTCCTTTTCATTCTCTTGTTTCCCTCCTTTTCCCAACTACCACTATTAGATAGAGGTCTCATTTCCCATCCTTATCCCAACTAATTCAGTTTGAGGTCCCTAACTACTTGACTGCACTGACAGAAACTATCTCGGGCTTTATTATTGTTTCTTCACCTCTATTTCACCTAAAATACACCTCAGTAAGTGGGGGTATATCAACACTCACCACTTCTCAGAAATTCAACTATATTAAAATGGACAGTATAATGCACACACACCAACTCATACATACAAATATTAAATGGTACTTGTACTTACTGCATCATCTCCAGATATAATTCTCTCTTTTTCAGTTCCTGCAGCAACAACTCCACCTTCAGCTGAGTTGCCTTCGCCATTTCTTTTATTTTTCTTCATCTTGAACTTGTAAGTTGGCAAAGCATTAATAGATTCTGAAGTTGCCCCTCTGTTTTGAGACATGTCCTCTCTAACCCCAAGGATGGAAATTATACAAGGAAGACAACAGCAGATTGTTGAACAGAGAATGAAGGGCATAGCATAACCAATACAGCTAAATGCAAGAAACACTATACATAACCTGCAAAGTGAAATGAAGCAGATATAATTTCATGACTTGGTTAAATCAGAGATTAAATTCAAGAATGAATTAAATGCTATACCTGTACAGGTTAGGAGCTTCATCAGCAGACGAATGTCCCCCAAAGATCCATACATTTCCAACAACAAACCATACAGCAAAAAAGCAATCTAAGGATATTTTGAAGTATTCCACTAGAGTCTTCATTCTGTGTTGCAAGAATAACAAGGACTAAGCAACTTCATAAGCTATTAAAAGTTCAAATACTTGGAAGTTTTAACCATGAAACAATAAATTAAATTTTCAAATCTAATAAATAAAGGGTGATATTAGTCAGCAGAGGAACATGGCAACAAGTATGACATAGGCTTAAATATTAGAATGGATATTTGCTTCATATCAGTTTAAAAAAAAATAATAATAACTTAAGACCAATCTCAGTAATTCTTTAAGCCAGTAATCGTATCACAATTTAAAAAACAGCTACATTCTTTTATACTTCAATTTTATTGACAAAACCTAACCTCAATTATACATCAGAAAGAAAGAGTGAAATGAGCTGGTATGCATTAACTCAAATTTAACCACAGGTTTCTATTATTGAATATTCCGCAGCTTGTATTATGCAAGGAAGAAGGAAGATATTTAAATATGCTTCAATAACATTTTTTATACTAGTGAATGTGTCAGCATTATGTCTCTAACCTACAAACTTTGCTCAACATATGAATGCACATTAACCTGATATAACTGAATAAGAAAGTGGATTTAAGCTTAACTCAACCTCACAAAATCAACTTATAAGAAGAGGTGTAGCCACTTACATACTATAATTTGGTCATATATCTAGTCGATGTGGGATCTCCAATACACCCTACATGCTGATGATTAAACATCTCAAATATGAAACGAGATATATCCTGATAGCATGTGGTTAAACCCAATAAACCTCATTAGGATATACTCTAATACCATCTCAGAAAATAGAATTTAAACCTAACTCAATCTTACAAAATTGACTTGTAAGGGAGGTTCACACCAACTTATATGCTGCTAAACTTAAAGAAAAAGAGAAACATTGAGCTAAAGCCATGTGTTTCTATGACAACAATGTGATTTATTTATATTGAGAAAAAGAAATCAATATAATAAATAGAAGAAATTTAATATCCTCTAATAATAAAGATATGACAATTCACCTTAATATATTTAGTTCTTTCGTGAAAGACAAAATTAGAGGCAATGGGTAATGTTGCCTGGCTGTCAAACATAAGGTTCATTCGGAATCTTTTTCAAATTTAACTTATTGCCTGTCAAAATGAGTTATAGTGAGATTATTAAGTTTGTCAACTATATGTATCTCCTAGGGTCTAGATTTGACTCTCCTTGCTCGGTAAAAGTTTGATACTTGGATCCATTGGTGTGTCTACTACCTTAACATTAACATCATTGTTTCTTCCAAAATATCCAAAGCATATTTCCTCTAGAAAATGACAAACCACACTTGGACTGAGCAACTTCAATAAGAAGGAAGTACCTGAAATTGCTAAGCAAGATATTGTTTTAGGTGGACAATATAATCCTTATCACTAGGTGTGATAACAATGTTGTCTACACATACAATATGGTAGATACACCCTTGGGGATAATGATGCTTAGAAAAATGAATGATCATCTTCACCTTCTATCATTGCAAATTGCTGGATGACAATCCAAAACTGTCCAAACCATACTCGAGGTGATTTCTTAAGTCCATAAAAGGACTTACAAAGACATCACATCTTATCGGACGACTCCCCCTGAATAACAAATCTAGGAAGTTGTTCCATATAGACTTCTTCATCAAGATCACCTCAGAAATGCATTCTCAATATTAAGTTGAAACATATTTTAATGACTAATAGTGTCAATTTAAAAACGAGAGAATGTGCCAATATAATCTTGTCCATAGATTTAAGTATATCTATTGCCAACCTAATGAACTTATAGCAATCCATGTTCCCATAAAGACCAATTTTAAGAGTATACAACCCCTGACACCAAACATTTGTTTTGGAAGAGAAACTAATTCCCAAGTACTACTATTTCGGAGGGCACACATCACCAAATCATACTTGTCGTCACTCTGGGTGAGATAAAGCTTCACCTAGGGACTTAGGAATTGGGACAGAAGATAAAGAAAAGAAAACAAGTATAATATATGGAGAAAAGGCAATGATAACTTAGGCTAGTATAGAAGGGTGAAAAGTTACAGGTAGAATGCATACTTTTTTTAACACCAATAGGCCAATCAATTTAGAAGATGAGACTAGATTTAGTATGGGAGAGAGTGTCGAGTTGGGGTCAAGCATGGCCTCCACTATGTAATTATCTGTTGGAGACGAAGATGCCAATTGAACATCAATTGGTCATGGATGGCATTGATGTACTTTAAAAGGTGTTGGAGAAGCATCTTGAGGTATGGTAGAGTCATGTGGTGATGATGAAGGAAGATTAACATAAGAAGGAAAGTGATTGGATATGTTCTTATTAGAAGGAACAATATCAAAATAGGAGACAAACTCGAAGAAAGAAACATCAACAAAAACAAAATACATATTAATATTAGAAAAAGAACGATACTCGTTTTAAGTACGATGATATGCCAAATAGATACATTTCAAAAACCTAGGTGAGTTTGACTCAACCAGGTGTGAAGTTATGTACAAAAACTTGTAAAACCACAAACAAGTAAAGGAAGACATTATAGCGAGGAACGAGGAAAAAGTATAGAGTAAGATACCTTATCATTAAGGAGAGATGAAGGCATATGGTTAATGAGATAGCATATTGTCAGGACAACATTCCCCAAAAATGATATCGAGCATGAATGTGAAGAGAAAAAAAGTTTGAGTAGTTTCAATAAGATGTTTATTTTGGCATTCAACGGCCCAATCCTATTGATAAGTGTGGGAACATGAAGTTTGATGAAGAAACAATTGGATGCCATGAGCTATTGAAATTCGTGAGACAAGTATCAACGAGTATTATCACTACAAAAAGTGCATATGGATATACTAAGTTGTGTTTTTTATTTCATGATAAAATGCGTGAAACATAAAAACAACTCTAATCATATTTTCATTAATAAAATAATAGTCATCAATAAAGAAGAAAAAATATTTAAAACTAGAAGGAATAACAATATCAGAGTGAGCTACTGAAAAAGGAGACAAAGCTCAATAGAGGGTGGCATAATAGGCCTAACAAACTCCCTCATGTTGAATATTGAACATCTGGAGCATGGGGCTAGATATCTATGGGTGATTCAATAGTGTTCTCACAAAGGGTAGGACAATAGGCCAAACAAACCTCATCGGGATATGCTCTAATACAATTTTAGAAAGTGGTGGTTAAGTCTAACTCAACCTCAAAATCGATTTGTAAGGTGAAGTTTAAACCCACCTAGATACTATAGTTTGGTCATATCTCTAGTTGAAATGAGATCTTAAACAAATTCTATAGACTAAAGCAACGATTTTGATACAATTGAATTCACCACAAGTAGTTGCAATATTCAAACTTCTTAATACACCAAAAATGATGACAAATGCAAAACAATGCCAACAAGACCTTATTTTTATCAATAGTTGAAGGATGATTGCACATTAATATATATTTAACATTTAAACTAAGTCAAATCATAGTGAGAGCACTTAGTAATACTTTTTAGGGGAAGTGAGAGCACTTAGTGATTGCCCGAATCCATCATTCTCATAGTTTGATTGGTTTGAACGGGAAGCAACTGAAGAGAAAGGTCTTGAGGCATAGGAAGAGTACTTTGTAATACTTTCTACAACTAAATAAGTTTCCTATCCTTACAAAGTTTACATGGACAAAACATAGACGCAGTTCCTTAAATACGTTTGGCGTTGTTTTCCGATCAAAATTATAGCTTAACATAGATTACTAAAGTAAGAAGTCCAATTTTAATTGGATGACAACAAAAATACCCAAGGCACTATAACTATTTTTTGTCAATTTCAGATGAACTTTTTGGCCATTTTCAGTTTTATTTCTAGTCATTAATATTAGTCACTGTGAGGGACTAAAATGTAAGCCCACTAAGACTAATATTGATTCCTAAAAATGAGAAAAAAAAAATTACTGGGAAAAAAGCAAGAAATCTGAAATTTATAGGAATCAAAACATTATTTAAACTAACATATTAATTGATTTGGTTTGGTTGCCGAAAGAGCAAGGGAAGAAAACAATGTCCAAACCAAAAATCTCTTGAAGGCTAAAAGCTAGATTTTGTAGACCAAATTGTTCAAATTTTGCATATCCTAAGCTCAATTTTCAAATTTTGCATATCCTAAGCTCAATTTTCAAATTTCTAACTACATTGCATCCCAGGCTTTGAAACCAGTTTTCAACAGCAGTCAAGGGGGCTAATAAATATTAAGCTCTATGAGGAATTCACAATAGAACTTTCAGAAATCACACTGAAGGAAAAAGGTGTCATTCTAACATTGCATAAAAAAATTGACAATAGAAACTAATTAACTACCTTCTATTCATCAACACAGAAGCTTGATTGCTTCTGGAGGATGCAACAGCCTGACCCTCTTCTCCACCATTAGTTCTGGAACTGAAAAGTAGTGTCCCTGAAGGATCATTAATCCGAGGAGATGTTTGCCTTGATTGAGATGAATCTTGCTCTCTTATATGGTTATGATGATAATACCGCCAATAAAGCAAAGGGAGGGTAGCAACACATCCAGAAGCATAACCAATGATCCATTGAAACAATGGAGTACGTGGATGTTCATGCCTTGACAAAGACAAAACAACAACAGATGCAACAATCTGGCTCACTAAGAGGACCAGCTCAATTGATATCCATAACCCCGAATGCACAGGACTCCTATTCCGACGAGTATCCCCTCGTCTCATGAATGAGGAATTCCTATTATTAGACCCATTAGATAAGCTACTGACTGAAACTGAAGGCTGAGAAAGAGGCGTCCTTGCACCGCCAATTCTTTCTTCATGCGGTGTAGCATCTGTGCCATTAAAATTCCTGTCATGATGTGTCGCAGATGCTGTGGAGGCATCCGTACTGCCAGCTATTTCTATAACATGCTGACTGCCGTTTAAGCTCCCGGGTCGCTCCATCAACAATGGCAGAGTGTCGCTTGGACCTTCAAGACACAGTTCTGGTGAGATAACAATAATATCCATCTAATCTAACTCCATCACCAAGGGAGCATAGATTAACCCAGAAAAAAAACACACACATACATACACCACCTTTGAACAACTTCACTGAAAACAAACTCTCCTCCTCGCACCAGCAAAATCAGGATGCTGCAAAGTCAGCTACTTCCATGGGTAAGCTGTTAAGAAGCAAAGTTTACTTCCGAAAACCATACATAGTTCTCATCTTTCACCATAGATATGTTAAAAAATTAATCTAAATTTTAAACAAATTGTTAAAAATAAAACGAATACAGTTGCTTTGCTTGCAAAGCGAGAAAGGAATATCACCTAACCTAATTCCCGCAAGTGACTTGATCATGCATAAGAAAACACCGATTAAAATCTGCAAAACAATAAAATAACAACAGCAATCATTTCACAGCGATGAAATTGGAAATCTAGGCAGTTAAAAAATAAAAGAAACACAAAATTGAATACGTGTTTTCTTCAACGGAGAACAGTTTGCGATTAAGCGTCACGATGCGCGGGTGGTTTGGCCGAATTTCAGTGAAGAGTTAAAGGAAAGTCGGAACGAAAGGGAGTAGTTGAGTTGGAGAGTGACGAAAGAAACCGTGTGAGGAAGGTGCTTTATGATGATGAATCGAGAAAACGACAATTAGAATAAGGCAAGCGGTGGCGTTGACTGGAAGAATCGCGGGGAAAAGCAAAGCGCGAGGAAAACGACAAGGCGGAATGAGATGGAGAAGCACATCGGAGAGGGAAGAAGAGAGAGAGGAAAGAGGAAATGGAAACGGCGTCGTATGGGGTTTGGGGATGGTGACGGAGGTAAAGAGGAACCAAGGAACGGGGTCACAATCACACAAAGGCTGTCATGCACACTTCCGTTGCTTCCTTGCGGTGCTACCTCGCAGTATCCTTTCCCTTCTTCTTTTTTTTTTTTTTTTTCTTCTTCGAAAATGGTGACAATGCAAAGTATACAACTAAAATCTAGGAGGTAATCTCTTTGTTTTTCTATGAGAATAAAGTTAAAACTTTAGTTGAGTTTCTTTATTTTTCTCACTTAAAAAATTAGTTGAGGATTTTTAAGATTCAAAGAATTTTATGATTTATTTTTAGCAGTCAAAATTAGTTCAGTACTTTTATCTTTGATTTTATCTATCTATTTTTTATCATAAAAATAATGTATAATAATAAGTAATAAAAATGACTTGTCGTAAAAAAATTATTTAAACATTTATATAAAAATATTTTTTTCATTATGAGTTGCTTATGTTTGATAAATAATAGAACATAAAATGTTTCCAAAATAATAATAATGCATAGTATATTTCTTATTCCACATAAAGTACAATTAAATGTATTGGTTCATAGAACGTATAATGATACAGATTCAAAGTACTACATTCAAGTTAAATATAAACTAGGTTTAATTTTGTTTTAAAAACATGCAAAAGAACATCATAAAATAAATATTTACATAATAACTTCGTAGAGTGTTTTTTCAACAATAAATAATATAAGAAAATTAATACAAATTTTATTACAATATATATATATATATATATATATATATATATATATGTGTGTGTGATGACGATGATGAATATTCGTATTATTTAAAACTAACCTTTTTTTTCTTATATATTAAGTGCATAGGAAACCTTTTAAAGATACTAGAATATTAAAAAATTTAGATATTATAATTAAGTACAAGAAAGATATTAAATCTGTTCGTAATTAAATCATAAACACATTTTAAATTGAGGATCAATATATTAAAATAAATAAAATTAATATAATTTAAAATATTATGTTTTTGTTTTAGAATTCTTGAACCTAAGGTGTCATTGTATTAATAATGTGTGCTAAGGATATTTCAATCATAAATATTATTTCAAATTGGTTAACTAACTTATTAATTATATTAATGAAGGTGATTAACACCATTTACAAAGTCAAGGTCTGTCATGTGTAATGAATGACACGTTCATTAAAAAAAAAAATATCCGAATGATATTTACTTTGTGTTTCTATAGGATATTTATCTAAAAAAAATTATAGATTTTTTATATTTGAGTATATAAATAAAATAATTTAACATAATTTTAATTTTTTATCATAAAATATATTTTAAATAAAATTAAATATAAAATATTAATGTAAATTAAATTAAAATATTAATTTAAATAAATTATAATATATAATAATATAAACATAATTTTTTATCAATATCTATTAAAATATTATAAATAAGAGAAATTTGTAAAATATGCATAACTAATTCCCCATGTTGTCTATTTTGAAACTAGGTCAGATTTTGTTTTTAAAAATGGTGTACAGTGAATACTAATATTTTATTTAGAAACAAGACCATCACAATCTTATATTTATTTATTGTGATTATTTTCTTTTGATTAAAAAAAATATATAATTCGTGATTGACGAGAATTATTAAGTAAATAATTCTTAATATAAGAATTAACTCAGATAATATTATTAATAACTCGAATAATATTTTAAATATAAAAATTAACCCAAATATCATACTGTTAGTGTGGAATCGAGAAGTCTGATCGAGAAACGAATTGAAAGGGAATTTTTCGATGTCCGATTATAAAGAACGTGACACATAAAATCGAAAGGTAAAATCGGAAGAGTAGGTGTAATAGTCGAAAGCTTAACATGGAGTTAAGGTTAAAATGAATCGATACCAGGTATGCAAAGTTCTCGATTAAATCGAAGGGAAGGCTCGTTTTCGTAGATATCGTAACCTCGGTTAAACCTTGAAAGGAAGTAGTCAAAACGCACGTACGGAAAGCAGTTTCTAAGTGATGGAAAAGTCGAAGATCGTGAGAACATGGGAAAACTGTAAAAAGAAACCGTCATACGCACGAAGAACGTGGTAGCAGTCTCGTTAACTGCTCTTAGGAGGCTTGAACAACACCCTATAAATAGAACAAAGAAAGGAGAAACAGGGGGGAGCGAAAATTGGCAGAGCACAGAATCAGTAGTGAAAAGTCTACCGGAGAAACGATGAACACCATGAAGTTTCTGGCGATCTGGATTTCTTTGCTCACGGAGTACATTTATCGTTTTCTTTATTTTCCTTGGTAATTTACTTTAGAGCAATTTCGATTCAGCAATTTCATGTTTTGTACTTTACATTCGATATCATTTTGATTCAATGTCAAATTAAATTCCTGCATTTAAGTATCTAGTCATTCAATATTCTGTCTATTTCGATTTCTGCATGTTCGATTTCCTGTTATTTACTTTTTCGCGCAATCTTAATGGGTTTAGCACTTTACATTGTCTCGCACTTTAAAGTTTCCGCTTTCTCGATTTGACGCTTTTACTGCTTTCGATACTTAAAATCCAAAAAATATCAAAAATAGAGTTTCGATACATGTAATTGTCGATTCTCATACACGTTATCGATTGAAAATCAAATTGCTAGCCTAAGTCAGAAAGAGCTTACGTGGTAGAATTTCGATTAGGACTTACACACTTTAGAATCGAAATCAATCAAAATTCCACCAGAAACAAATTGGCGCGCCAGGTAGGGGGTCTTGTGTTGAAAAAACACAAAAGAGGTTAGTTTGAGAGAGTGTATGAGATTAAGAAGTGGGAGAGTTATAAGAATGAGTCATAATTCATCAAGTAGTCAGAATACCAACGAGGGTCTAAGTGGTGTGCTCCCACCAAATACTGGGGGGCAAGGGCACAATGGGAGTATGCCTGTAGTGTCGACAACTGTTAGTACGTCGATACCAGCAAGTAATGAACAAAATTCAGGTACATTGGCAAACACCCATGTAGGGTCTAGTATGACGATACCAAACAATATGCAAATTATGGGAAACCCCATAACTACATATGCAGGGCCATATACGAGTGTAAGACCACCTGGTTTTCTACCCAATAATACGAACGGAGCTGGCACTTCGTCGATACATAGAAATTCACGATATAGCTTAGGAATGCCTTCAAACGTAGGTACATTTCAAACCCTAGGCATGCCGCAAAACTTTGGAGTTGTTTCACATTTAGGGACGTCTCAAAATTCAGTGACATCACAAAATTCAGGGAGTGGGCAAAATTTAGGTATACACCAGACATCTCCGAATCTAGATCCTAGAGGGAATCCCGATCATGGGAGGTATGCATTTGATAGGGACTATCATCGATCTAATTTCGAGAATATCGAAAATACCAATACTGGAATTTCCAGTAACTCCCTAGGAATACTTAGACAACAAATGGATGAGAGTAATTTTGAAATGGTGAATATGTTATCACAGCAGTTGACTACTGTCTTAAACCCATTAGTTCAAAATACTACTGCTAGTTTCGAGATATTAGCGGATCAAATGTCTCGAATTGGAGACGCATTGGCTGTACCTCGACAAACGAGGATGGAGAATCATGCCAATCAAAATATTAATCCCCCTTATTTATTAAGAAGAAATCGGAACAATGATCAATATCAGCAAATAGGGAATGAATATCAACATGTGAGGAATGATATTTATGGAAATATGAATGAGGGACTTCAAAATATGCGTAATCAGAATAATATGCAATATAATCACATGTTAGGACAAAGGATGAATCTCCAAGGGATGGATTTAAGACCACCTAATCAGACATATTTTGTATCTCCTTTTCCAAATGCGATTCTCGAGACAGAGTTGCCTCGAGGATACAAAGTGCCTAAATTCACTAAGTTTGCTGGAGAAGTTGGCGAATCGACTATCGAGCATGTAGCTCGATATCAAATTGAATGTGGAGACTTAGCGATGAGTGAAGAGCTAAAAATGAAGTATTTCCCTAGTTCTTTGACTAAGAATGCTTTTACTTGGTTCACTTCCTTGCCACCCAATTCGATATATAATTGGTTGCAGTTAGAAAGAAATTTCCATGAACAATTTTTTAGAGGAGAGACTCAAGTAAGTCTCATTGATTTGATGAATATAAAACGATATAATCATGAGAACATAGATGATTATTTGAATCGATTT